GAAAATGTTAAATAGTAGCTTCTATTGCACTAAGTTGCTTCATAAATTTACTGTTTCTTTGAAATAATCTTTAACAAATTTTTTGTCATGTTTTATTGCATTAAGATCATTCGTACAAATTGCTTTGTGAATTTGAGCAAATTCTGTGAAGTTCTGGTAGATTTGTAGTCGAAAATGTTAAAAAGTAGCTACTTTTGCACTAAATTGCATCATAAATTCACTGTATCTTTGAATTAATCTTTAAAAAAATTTTTGTCATGTTTTATTGATTTAAGAACATTCACATAAATTGCTTCGTCAGTTTGAACAATTTCTGTGATGTTCTGGCAGATTTGTAGTCGAAAATGTTAAATAGTAGCTTCTTTTGCACTAAGTTGCTTCATAAGTTCACTGTATCTTTGAAATCATGTTAAACAAATTTTTTGTCATGTTTTATTGTTTTTAGATCATCTTCACAAATTGCTTTGTCAATATGAGCAATTTTTGTTAAGTCTAGGCAGATTTGTAGTCGAAAATGTTAAAAAGTAGCTACTTTTGCACTAAATTGCATCATAAATTCACTGTATCTTTGAAATAATTTTTAACAAATTTTTTGTAATGTTTTATTGATTTAAGAACATTTGCACAAATTGCTTTGTAAGTTTGAGCGATTTCTCTGAAGTTCTGGCAGATTTGTAGTCAAAAATGTAAAAAGTAGCTACTTTTGCACTAAATTGCATCATTAATTCACTGTTTCTTTGAAATCATGTTAAACTAATTTTTTGTCATGTTTTATTGATTTTAGATCATTTTCACAAATTGCTTTGTCAATATGAGCAATTTCTGTGAAGTTCTGGCAGATTTGCAGTCGAAAATGTTAAAAAGTAGCTACTTTTGCACCAGGATGCATCATAAAATCGTTGTATCTTTGAAATTATGTAAACAAATTTTTTGTCATGTTTTATTGATTAAAGAACATACGCACAAATTGCTTTGTCAGTTTGAACAATTTCTGTGAAGTTCTGGCAGATTTGTAGTCGAAAATGTTAAATAGTAGCTCCTTTTGCACTAAATTGCATCATAAATTCACTGTATCTTTGAAATAATGTTAAACAAATTTTTTGTCATGTTTTATTGATTTGAGAACATTCGCAAAAACTGCTTTGTCAGTTTGAGCGATTTCTCTGAAGTTCTGGCAGATTTGTAGTCAAAATGTAAAAAGGAGCTACTTCTGCACTAAATTGCCTCATAAATTCACTGTTTCTTTGAAATAATGTTTAACAAATTTTTTGTCATGTTTTATTGAATTAAGAACATTCGCACAAATTGCTTCGTCAGTTTGAACAATTTCTGTGATGTTCTGGCAGATTTGTAGTCAAAAATGTAAAAAGGAGCTACTTTTGCACTAAATTGCTTCATAAATTTACTGTATCTTTGAAATAATGTTTAACAAATTTTTTGTCATGTTTTATTGATTTAAGAACATTCACACAAATTGCTTTGTCAGTTTGAGCAATTTCTGTGAAGTTTTGACAGTTTTGTAGTCAAAAATGTTAAAAAGTAGCAACTTTTGCACTAAATTGCATCATTAATTCACTGTTTCTTTGAAATAATGTTAAACAAATTTTAAGTCATGTTTTATTGATTTAAGAACATTCGCACAAACTGCTTTGTCAGTTTGAGCAATTTCTTTGAAGTCCAAGCAGATTTGTAGTCAAAAATGTTAAATAGTAGCTACTTTTGCACTAAATTGCATCATTAATTCACTGTTTCTTTGAAATAATGTTTAACAAATTTTTTGTCATGTTTTATTGATTTAAAATCATTTGCACAAATTGCTTTGTCAGTTTGAGCAATTTCTGTGGAAAAAAGCTATGAAAGACGAGATTAAGTCTATTTATCAAAACAAACCTCTACAATCGGTTGCAAATGGGTTACCAAGCTTAAACGAGATGAGAATGGTCAGATGTGTTCTTATAAAGCAAGATTAAATGCTCAAGGTTTTTCTCAAAAGTTCGGAAAAGATTATGATGGGGTATTTGCTCCAATAGCTCGATCAGCAAAATTTACAAGCAGTTTGATATTAAGACTACATTCTTAATTGATGATATTCCAAGCAAGAGCTTGGAATAAAATTTATCATGAAGCGGTGATTAGCTTTGGATTTAAGAAAAGTGAAGCTGACAAATGTCTGTACAGCATGAACAGAATAAACGATACTTGCTATATGATTGCTCATGTCGATGACATTCTTGTCGGATCAAATTTTAAAAAAATTGATAGATCAATTTAAGAATCACATTGGAAGTCTTTTCGAAGTAAAATATATGGGAAGTGTTAAGCATGCTTTCTCGGAATTGATGTTAAACGTAATAAAAATGGAAATTTTCATATAAGTCAGAAACAATATATTGAAAAGGTTGTGGAAGGAGCTGGACTGAATGATGGAAAATTTTCAAAATATCCTTTGATGACTGGTTATTTCAGACATCATGATGAGAATTATTTAGAATCAAATAATGAGTAAAGAAATCTCATTGGTAAACTGTTGTATGTGTGCACCGATTTGATAGAAGCGAGAAGAATTATTCGCTATCTGAATGGAACCAAGAATCTAAGTTTGATGTTGAGTGACAAGAATAAAGTTGGGAAATTGGAAGTTTACTCTAATGCAAGCTGGGCTGAAGATTCGTTGTACCGAAAATCTTTCAGTGGTTTTCTTTGTGGAATTAATGGGGGTGTTGTTTCATGGTGCAGTAGAAAACAAGAAATCTATGGAAGCTGAATTTATGACACTCTCAGAAAGTTGCAAAGAGCTAAAATGGGATAAGATGTTAAACGATTCTTTTTCTGAGTTTATCGTTCTAGATAAAATTACTCTATATACAGATAGTCAGAGTAGTATGAAACTGATATTGAATCTGAAATTCAGCAATAGAACTAAGCACATCGAAGAAAAGAGGGTTACAGATATTATTATTATTATTTTATTCAATTAATTTGAGAAGCTAGAGCATCGTCATGGCTTTATTGCATTGTAAACAATATCTACGTTCCACTCTGCTCCGACATCACATCTATCTATCTGTTTAGCTAACGGTTTGGCAAAATTCAAATGTTAGCCAATTATATCAAACTAGAAGTTTACACGTTGTCTCATCGTCAGCAGTTTAATAAATCAAATTAAACATAAAATTTTTAACATTGACATAAAATGTTTCTTGTTAGCAAAAAACTTATTTATTGAAGTTTTCTTTGCAATTGGTTTAATAATTATACTGTAGTGAATAATTTGACGAAATTCAATAGGTCTATTGTAAACAGAATGAGTCTTTACAAACCAATTCCATTTTTTGTGGTGAATAGAAGGTATTATGGATCTTTTTTTTCGGCAAAAATGTTAGAAATGGATTTTTATTATTTTGTGAGATTTTCAACTGTATCTGCTTCAACAAAAACTAACCCGAGACATCAAGTAAAGCACATGATGTTGTATAATTAAAGAATGGACTATTTAAGTGGAAAATCTACAACCGTTTCAAATGGTATTTTAAATTAATCCAGATTATCGTATTCATTTTATTACATTATTGACTGCATATTTAAGGTAGTGGATTTATTATATCTTCGCGTGGTATTATTTTAACAAACGCTCATGTTGTTATCAACAAACCAAGATCGATTGTATCCGTTAAATTGCATGATGGAAGAACTTTTCAAGGTTTTGTAGAAGCTGTAGATCCTATATGCGATCTAGCCACAGCTCGTATAAAATGTAAAAATCTAAATGCAATGAAGCTTGGGAAATCGTCAGATCAAATCCTGTTACAGGGAATTAAGTTAAAAAAATTATAATTTCAGGAGTTGTAAACTGTACTTAACGACCATCGCAAGAACTTGGATTACGTAGAAGAGACATTAATTACATTCAAACAGACGCTGCAATTCCTTTTGGTAATTCAGGAGGGCCACTGCTTAATTTAGATTCAGAAGATACCAGTATTAATTCGAAGAAAGTTACTGCCAATATTTCATTTTCGATTAAAAACCGACAATACAACTACTGAAAGCGTTTCTGGTAAAAGTTATATAGGAATCACGATGTTGTCTTTAACACCTGATATAATTTATGAATTAAAGCAGAGAGGATCTTCAATTTCAGATAAAATTCAAAATCGAATTTTGGTTGGAAGGTGATAAGTGGTTCTCCTGAAGCCATAGGTGGCTTAATGGAAGGTGAGTCAATTATTAATTTAAATAAAAATTAAAATAAAATTAAAGAAGAAACGTCAAAAAAGTGTTATCAAAATGATTTAAAACACGCTTATCATCCTGTTTGAGTTTCATGTACAAAACAGATTAGTTATTTTTGTATTTTAGTAAACAAGTTTGAAATTTAAATTTTTTTTGAAATGTGACATAATTTTAAGTATCAATGGACAGGAAGTTACACAGTCTTCAGACGTTTATGACATTTTGTCAGGGAGAACTGAATCGAAAGATATTCTTATGATGCATGTTTGGAGAGGCAAACTCATAAAAATTGCTGTAACACCAGAAATTGTTAAATAAAAATCAGAGATCGAAGCCGATCTTTTCGGCTTAACTCAATTTTTGATTTTTTTGGTAGAAAAAAGCCATTTGACACCCATTTCAAGTATTTTAACTTGAAATTCTGAGCTCACTATAGCTACATGCTATAGGGTAAGGTCTAAGTCTAAGGTACAATAGATTCTGTTCTAATTTGAATCGCAGTGCCTCCAGCTGAAAGGCTGGGCCCTTCACACATTATTATTATTATATTATAACTACATGCTGACAAAGTATTACACAGAATCATAGTAAAGCATGTAAAGTTCAATTTAAATACTTGAAATGGGTGTCAAATGGCTTTTTTTCTATCAAAAAAATCAAAAATTAAGTTAAGCCGAAAAAACCGGTTTCGATCTCTGATAAAAATAAATTAAAGCTTGAATTTAGAATATTTAAAAAAATTATTCTTTTTATTACGAATTTTTTTTATGCATTTATGATGGACATTGTAAGTAATCATTTGTGTTAAACAATGCTTATTTATAGTACACACAAGTGAAAATAGTCATACTGGTAATAAAATGATATAGAATTTTAAAATCATAGATTATTTACGTCGTTGTAATTGTATCTGAAAAAGATTTCGTAATTTTTTGCATATTCTCTTGGCAAAGAAAATTTGACGAAATCAGCTGCCATGTAAATTGAACCTAATGCAGGTGACACTCCAGTTTTAAGTTTAAGCAATCTAAGTTCAAATGGAATATTGTGTAGATGAAGCTCATCTATAAATCCTTGTTTTAAAAGCTCCCAACTTATCCAGACTGATCCAACGCATAAAATAGGCAAATGGCAACTTAATATTAATTCAGACGATGCTTTCGGTAAAAGAGCTACAATCATTCTAGCCAAAAGTTTTCCAGCGTCTTTAAATACACTTTTACATAATTCATCTCCATTAAATGCACAAATTGACATTTGATGGCATAACTTGGCGAAAAATGATTTTTGAAATTTAGCATAGCAATGTTCAAGCATGTCTGTTCGATTTTCAACCTTGAAATGATTTTTTATCAATTCCCATGTGTTTGCCACATCATATTTTGACTTTTGTAAATTATCTTCGTGATCAAATACTGTCTTAATGCCTTTATGAGCAATCCAATATGCGCTTCCTTCATCTCCCAATTGATGTCCCCATCCGCCACACTGAGTCGTTTCTAATATTTTAATTAATAAGTAGCGATAAAGCAAATAATTTTATTTTCTCTCACCTCCATTCGGATTTCGTAGAACACTATTTGAACCGGTACCTGCAATAATTACAATTCCACCTGATCCAATAGTCAATATACTGCCCAACGTATCACTACAGACTACATAATTCTCAGCTAAATTTGGAAACGATTTTTTGATTTCTTTCTCTAATGCTGCATTCGTCGATTCTTGCTCACAACCTGATAAACTCAAACCAATACATTTAAATTTAATTATTATTGGAATGTTTGCTTCTAGTTTTGCTTGATCTGCCATTACTGCAATTCTTTTTGCCACTTCTGAAATGCCATCCAACCAAATATTACATGAATCGCCTCGCGCTCGTGCAACAATTTTGCCATCCGCATTTGAAATCAATAGCGTCGATTGCGTCGCTCCTCTAAAACAATAAATGATTTTTGCCAAGTTAGGTACTTACTGATTTTAATTAATATATACTTATATATTGTAAATTAATAATGAAGGTAATAATTGTACAGGAAAGAAATTCATTTAATTAATGGTTTGATTACTTAATGTAATTTGTTTTTGTTTTCGATGAGTTTGATGGCACCTCATCACGATATACTATTTATATGCTAATAAAATTGACCCAATCAAGCATTTCAACTTTGCGAGTATTAAAATAAAGCTCGTCGAATGTGGGCTCGTCGTCTGCTTGTCTGACTTGTCAATTAATTGAAATTGGTCTGCTTACTTGCTCAATGATCAAACTTGTAACATTTTTTATTTGAAAGAAATTGTGACTCGTTTTCAAATAGGCGTTGAAAGTTAAAAGTAGATTTTAATTTTTTTTATAATTTGTATCGAACAAAAAAAATCTTGCACATTCACAAAATTACTAGCTTGTAATTTTTAAATAATCAAATGCTATTTATTTGCGAAAATCAAATGTTACAACATAATTTGGAATATGCATAGCATGATTATTTTTTTAAAAAAACTAGGCCAGAATAATCGAAACAAGTTTCGGCGAATGAGTCTATTCTATTTTGTTTAAATTAAGGGACAGTGATTAGAAATTTTAAAATTTTCAAGGAACTTTGAAAAAACGAACGACAAATTTTACTTTAACTATAATTAAAATAGCGCGAAAATATATGTTCATCTGAAAAAAGATGTCGTGTACAAGGCAGGTTTGACATAATCATTAGATTTAAGTAGTTCCAGGAATTCTCAATTGAGTAAAATTTTACGCCCTTTGTTTACTCAATTAAGTCACTGAATAGCACAGTCATAAAAATCCATAGCATCATGAATAAATTTAAAAAATTTAAATTTATCGCTTAAGCCACACAAATCTATGGATATTGTATAGCTTAACTGTTCATAAATAATTAATGCAAAATGTCAAATGTTGTTTAGTTAAGCAATTTCAGACGAGCGAAATATTTTTCTGCGTATTTAAACTTTTACTCTTGAAATGCTATCTCAACAATATACTGAATTTTGAGGACTTGTTAAAAAATCTACTCTGATAATCTTTATTTCGCTTGCATGTATTGAACGTACTTTATTGTCTTTAAATTTCCAAAATAAAATGAGGTGATATAATTTTTTTAAATTGTCTCCCAAAGCTTAATTTTTTTTTTTTTTTGATGACCTTCGTAATATGTTTAAAAGTGCAGTATGCATAAACGTGATTTTTTTAATATTCTTCTTTTCTACTTTTACTTTTTTTTCATAACATTTCTAAAAAATCATGCTTTAAGTACTTACCCTTCAACGCCTGCAAAATATATTTCATCCATTACAAGTTGTATCTTTTGAGACTCTCTTTGAGACAAAATAAAACTCAACTATATCAAATGAAATAGAAAGTAAGATAGAGAGGAAAAAAATTAAGCCACATTAAAACTATTTTCATATTTAATTCTTCACTAGATATCAGAAAGGTTCATAATGCATTAAAATTAATGCATAATTTTTTTGCACTAATTAAAATTAATTTTTTAATGCCAAAAAGAAATACCTCTTCTAAAGACAATCAACGTCTGTTCGATTAACTGGACTCGGTTAGAATGCAGAGAAATTTCGACGTTATGTTTTTTATTTTATTTTGATGAAGCAAACGAAAAAAAAAATCAAAGAGAATGTTGAACAATTTTGCTGGTTGTGTGTTAAACAACAAAATTTAAAGTTTTTGTAAATGTAGAGCCACGCTTGCTTTACATTGCTTAAACGAGTTATTTGATCGAAATAAAATTCCTTACTGACTTGTGTGACATGCATGTTCCTATCCCAACTTTTTTCTTCTCTCCATTAAAGCATTACTACTAATTTTTTCTTTTATTATTTTATTACTAATGATATTTTTTCCCTCAGTATATGATGATAACAAATACTATGTTAATATTTGACATACATTATACAGTTAAACCAATATATCATTGTTTGCAACTCTATAAATTTTGCAACATTTATACTAGTTAAATATTGACGTCAGGTGAAGTGAAACTATCAGATAAAACCATTGAGATGAAATTCTTATTTACTACCAATCATGTGTGGTTCAAATCAACTGTCGATCTTCAAAAATAATGCTTACACTGTATGAGTTATTAAAACTATGTATCATAATGTTATCACTGCTTAACTTTGGTCATATTTTAATTTAAAAGCCTCACAGGTAGGATCATTAAAAAGTAATAAAATAAGATTGGAAGCATTTAACGGTCGTAAAGTAATGTTGCTCAAAATTTTTAAATTTGAGCAACAAAGGACAATAAATCGATCCATACGAATCGCGTGGAAGTAGACAAAAAATAATGAAAAATTAAAATATCTTAATTAATTAGATAGTTAAGCATTAAGGATGGATTCACAGAAGATAATTAAGCAAGAAATTGTAGATCATAACTTACAAGTCAAGGCAATTATCCAAGTATGTCCATAGTGTCTTTATCTTAATAATATTAAACACGTCGTTAATTATGCGAGATTTATTCTTCACAGAAAAAAAATAAATAATGTTTGCATTAAGTACTTGGTGAATTATTCTATTCAAGCAGTGAATATAAACTGAGTATAAAAACAAACAGCATCACTTCCTGATTATAAAAAAAAATCCACAAAGTTTTCACGATTTCAAAAATGCAAAAATATTTTAAAAACTTCTTTATGTTCACTGTATTAGTTTACTAGGTACATTATTAAATAAGTTTAACTTAATTTTATTTTATAATTTCGATTTGAATGTTTAATTAAAATGTCTGAACATGAATAGTGAACGAAATAGATTTTACGAGCAGACAGGAAAATTTTCTTGCAATAAATTATGATTTTGAAAGCTACTTAAGTAAGAGCTTTTTCCTTGTGAGCAACATTCTCATAAAATTATGCTTTTCGTTTATATCTACAGGATATTTTATCATTCAAAGGGTCACTTCAAGATTTAGAGCTATTGAATGAAGCTGGAAGAACAAAATTAGCACAATTAAGAAAGTGTATTGAAAAATTGGATGATTGGGCCAAAGATGAAAATGATATTACTTTATCAAATGAGGTAGATGCTTATCGTGAGCAATTTTCAAAGACTTTACAAGCATTTCGAAAGGCAAACATTAGTACAATGTTGGAAATTGAAAAGGGAGAAAAGGCTGAGCTTTTTACAATGAAACCAGAATCTGAACTACGGCAGCGTTTTGGAACTAGTGGTTTAATATCTAAACAAGAAAGTGTCACAGAGCGTATGCTTAGTCTTTCAAGAAATTTAGCAGAAACAACTCAAAAAAGTGCCAATACACTTGACTCACTTATTCAATCATCGACTACTGTAAGTGGAACTGGCGAAGAGCTGCAGAATACAGCAGGGACTATTCAACAGTCTGGAAAATTACTTAATAAATATGGACGACGGGAAACTACTGACAAAATTTTACTCTTCTTTGCTTTCATGTTTTTCCTTGCTGTTGTATTTTATATTGTTCAAAAACGTTTATTCTAAGCTTATTAATTAATAAAAAAATACTTATTCCATGTTGATGAAGGTTTTTTTTGAGCTAGCATTAGAATTTTACCCCAGATGCTTTCCAGTCTATTTCGCATAGTGAAATTTTCTCCAGTGATTTTTTATGAAAATTAAATGATTCTTTAAATTGTTTCAGCATGTCTTTTTCGGGTATTTTTCCTCCATATTCTTTAGGCAAAATTGAAACATCAACATGCTTGCCAACAAGTTCATTCATATCTTTTGTACTAATCAATCGATTTCTTAATTTTTCATTTAAAGCTCGTTTGCCGACATCGAATAGAAATGAAGCAAATGTAGGTAAATTAACAAAATAGTTTTCTTTTTCTCTTCCAATAGTTGCATGCTTTGCACAATGAGCAAATTCCCTAATATCTTTGAGACTAAAAAGATTAAAATAACGATATGATACATCGGTATAGTCAGAAATCGAAGATATCCCTAAAAAATTAATATATAAAAAATAAAATTTTAAACAATTTAAAATTGTCGACTTACCAGCAATTTGTGTCTCTTCTTCTTCCATCAAAGTGCTAGCTATTAAGACTAACAAACGAATGGCATCACATGAATTAAATACTTTTGTATCGAATTTTCTGACTTGAATTAAAATTATCTTCTTGCCTTCATCATCTCGATCAATAAGCGGATAAGCATAGCCACTGTCAAAAAGCATCCAAACCTTTTCCATCTCATTATTGCTTAAAATTAACCATTTCGTGTACTTCTGACGAAATATAAAAAACTTCTCAAAAGAAATGAACGTGTTTTCAATATTGTATTTTCGTATTCTTAAAAATTGCAGCAAGAAAGTATCGTCTGTAAACATGTTTGTACATTAATAATTATTATTTTTACATGCTCAATATCAAAACTTAACCATTTCGACAGCTTTTGATAAACGGATGATTTGATAGCCAAATTTTAAATTCCTTTAATTTCTCATTCTTAAGTTGTTCATCTTCACCCAATTCTTTGCGTGCTTTTTCTAAAATTTTATCCATAATATCCAAAATGGTCAGCACTGTTTCACATGTGAATAAATACTGAACCATTATTACGCCATCACTTTACGCAAGAAAAAAAAATAATTCAATGGAAGAGATACATTAAAACCCGGAATTAGTTATAAACTCATAAATTGAGAGTATGTATCAACTTTAAACGGTCTACGACAAAAACTTTAACTCTCTTTAGTTATGCAATGATTTCTCTCAAATTTTTGAATGCTTGTTGCAAAGTAATATAAACATAAAATTCAAAATATTCTTTTGTAACTGTAGCTCATCACTTATTTCCTTTAAATTACGATGTTTCTAGATCAGCTTACAAAAAAAAAACTGAACAATTATGATTTAATTTTTTAAAGACATACACTTAACACATTGATGGTTATGACGTAAATCATTGATCATATATTACATAGATCGTGTATTCTCTTCATTATTTGGCAAATTCGTACATTTGTAATTAATTTCATTCATAAAGTTAAAAAAAAAATTAAGCTATGGGGCCGTTCACTTATTACGTTACGCAAAAAAACGACTCCCCATTCACCCCCCCCCCCTCCCCCCCTTGTTACAATATGTTACAACTCACACCCCCCCCCCCCCCTGAACGTTCATAATTTATTTTATTTTGATAATTTTTCATAAATCACAGTTAGAACGTTACATACTTCTTGACACCCCCCCCCCCCCCCCTCCTATGTTACATTTTGTTACAATTTTTCAAACCCCCCTCCCCCTTAAAATGCGAACGTAATACGTGATAATTTATTTCTTTATAAAATTAAATGAACTAGCTGGCTACTTGTGGTGTGGATTAATTATAAGGAGCGTTAACAATTTTTCAGAACTGAAATATTTCAAAAGTGAATTGTGATTGCATGTTATCATGGCATGTAAATCATCTAAAACATTGAATATTTCAGAATCTTTTAATTACTATCCTTTAATCATTCTTGGCTAGATAATTGGAAAAAAATGAACAAATAATTTTGAAAACTTTTTTGCAGTCTTGTTGCAGTGCTCTAAAGAGAAATTTCTAAATTTAAAATGCGGAGTAAAATAAGGCTTCCCACAAAATTGACTTATTTCAGCTCAGAGAAGTTAACAGCTTCAGAGATGTATCGAGAAATGCTGACGAAATTAAACAATTTTGCTAAGATTATCGGATGTAATGCCTTCTCAGCAAATTACACTGCATGGAACATAAATTTTTTCGGAGTATTGATACTTTTAGGAACTACAATCGCCGAAAATCTCACTTTTATATACTCAAACAGAAACGACATCACACAATGTATATTTGGATTGACATTTTTTTTGTCTTTCATACAGACTTTGACACGAATTTATGCATTTATTTTCAAACGAGAAATTTTGGTGGAAGTGTTTGATAGAATTGATTTATTTTATTTATTAAACGACAAGGAATGGTCAAAGACAATTTTAGAAAAAAACGTGCTTAATTCTTGCCATATTGGATTGTTTTTATCTGCATTACTTTTTTGTGGAGCAATTTTGATATCAATTTATCCTTTACCAGTTTATTTGTTTCTGGATGAACTTGTACTTCATTTTGCATTCAAACTATTTTTGATTGACTGGAAAACTCCTTTTGGATATACTCTGAATTTTATTATTGATATTATTAGCCTCTTTCTTTTCTGCCTAGGAACCATGCTCGTATGCCTTGATATTACTATGTGCGTTCTGTGTGCATATAGTCAATATGATATATTAAATGTATTTTTAAATCAACTGGATGAGCTTTTGTCTGGAAATGGGAGAACTAATGATAAGAAAATCAAAAAGCTAATAACAATGATTGTAGACATGCATAATTTTGTCAATGAGTAAGTAACAATTCACATTTTCCCACATTCCTACCCTCGAATTTTTTGATTCTTTCTAATCCTTTTTAATTAAGTTTCATAGATACTTTTAATGATTTGTTTGTTCCGTATTATTTTATGGAAATTGGATCGCTAATTATCCAAACATCTATGACTCTATTCGCTATTACTAATGTAAGTTAATTGCATTAATTGTAATTTGATTGATTGATGTAAATGTAAAGTAATGCATAATTGCAAATTAATATTGTAGTTGAATTTTTATCCTGGCTATGTAATTATTATGGTTACAATGTATCAAATGCTAGTCCCGTGCGTTTTTGGCACACTTCTAAGCATAAAAGGAGACGACTTTTATGAAAATTTATGCAACATAAAGTGGTACATGCTTTCAATTTCTGATCAAAAGTCTATTGCTCTGTTGATGACTGGAGCGTTTAGAGAAAGAACTCTGTCGACAGGTTTAGTCACACTAAATTTAGAGACCTTTGTTGAGGTAATATGCTGCAAAACGCCTTTAATTCTTGTTTCTACTATTAATTTCTTTATTAATCTTTATATAGATCTGCAAAGCCGTATACTCATACTACACTATTTTGACTTCTTTTTAATAAGATTCCTTGCATTTATAGATATATTGATCGACAGCTAAAGACAGAAAATAACGGAATTTAAATGAAATTTAAATATGTTTGTTGTGTAGAAGTTTTAATGGTTTATGGCTTCAAAAAATATCCAACAAATCTATTAAGAAACATATCTATAGTTAAAATTAATTGAAGCATGAATAAAATATGATATTTTTAAGTCTACAATGTATTAAAGATAGGCAATAATGATTTAAAAATTTTACTACTAGACAATAGGTAATCGACATTCGAATGAGACTTTTGTAATTTGGAACATTTTTGTAAAACTTGGATCATTGAATAGCAGAAAACTGCAGAATCATAATAAACAAAGTTTTTGCTTGAAATTGTTTGTTTTTTTGTTAAATAAAGTTATTAATTTTATTCAAAATTTCCAAGTATGAAGATTAATGTGACTACTATTGGGGACTTGACGTTTTCGTTAGAAGTGTCTGAAGATTTAGAGCTGGAAAATTTTAAAGCATTTTGTGAAATAGAGAGCGGCGTTACAAGTATTAATAATTATTTAATTTCAATGTCGAGGTCAATGATTCTATGTCTATTTATAGCCAGTGAAATGATTATTTTGTTCAACAATGTCCCTTTAAACGATGACAAGAAGAATTTAAGGGATTATGGCATTAAAGATGGTGATTTGGTATCATTGCAACAAGTTTCATCGCGTTTTCCAGCTTCAAATGGTAAATTTTAGTCCTGTTACTTATTTTATTTGATTAGTAAGAATTCCATTTAATTTTGTGCTCATAAATATTATACACACACTAGTTCCGACCGCTCTTGAAGGGCTAGATTTTAGTGCAATTCAAGTGCCTCAAACTTCTAGCCCATCAACACCTAACCGAAATAATCGCTTTCCCGGATTCAATGATGATCCAGCGATGATTAGGGATATGGTTCTTGCTAATCCAGATCAGTTAGCCTTACTCCAGCAAAATAATCCAGCATTAGCCGAAGCAGTGCTTTCGGGTTCTTTAGGTAAAAAAAAGTCCTTCCTTTGTATTCTGTATTTGCTATTTTTGTTGCGCTGGTCATTAAATTTAAAATATTTTCCAAGCTTGAGGCATAACTATTGTTTTTATTTCAGATCAATTTGCCAGTGTTCTAAGAAGACAGTATGTTGAGAAGCAACAGAAAGATCAACAAAAAATGAAGCTTCTTTCATCAAATCCATTTGATTCAGAAGCACAACGTCTCATAGAAGAAGAAATCAGACAAAAGAATGTCGAGCACAACATGGAAACAGCTATTGAGTATAATCCAGAGATATTTGGAACTGTTATTATGTTGTATATAAACTGCAAAGTTAATGGACATCATGTAAAGGCATTCATTGATAGTGGCGCTCAAGCTACAATTATGAGCTCTGCAGCAGCAGAAAGATGTAATATCATGCGTTTAGTAGATACTCGTTGGGCAGGAATCGCAAAAGGTGTTGGTATTCAAAGAATCATAGGAAGAATACATATGGTTCAAATACAAATCGAAAATGATTTTTTAACGTCTAGTTTTTCTGTACTGAACGATCAGCCTATGGATATGCTTTTGGGATTAGATATGCTTAAAAGACATCAATGCTCAATTGATCTTAAAAATAATTTCCTGTTGATTGGAACTACAGGCACAAAAACTCCATTTTTGACTGAAGCTGAATTGCCAGGTAATGGAAAAGCATAACTAGCTTTTATTTTTTATATATCTATATCTATTTTCAAAATAATAGATTGTGCTAGGCTCACAGGAAGTCCAGAAGAAGAAAAGAAAGCCATTGAAGAATCTAAAAAACTAGCTGAAGAGTTAGAAATAAAAGAAGCACTTGAAAGAAGTTCATCCGGAGCTGGACCATCTTCATCACACAAAAGTAGTGTACCAATATCAGATTATAAAGATCGTATCCTGCCGACAGATAACTTTAACGAAAACGATATTGCAGATTTAATGAAAAATGGATTTGATCGATCACGTTGTATTGAAGAATTGAGAAATTTTAAAGGAAATAAGACTCAAGCATTAGCTTCGTTATTTGCAAAAAGTTTAAAGTTTTAACAGGTTTTAATTGAAATTACTAACTCATTTTATTAAAGTCCTGATTTTTCATTTTATTTCTTTTACATTTTGGGTTTTTGATACAATTGTAACTTAAAATTAACGGTTTCTTTATTTTTGAATCTAATATTATGAATTATAAAAATTCATTCACAAAAAATATAAATAAAAACAAAGTTTTAAATAAAATTAAAATTGGAGAAAAGGAATGGAATATCTAAGTGATCAGCTCAATAAATGTACGAGTGATAAGCACATCTACAAGTTCTTATTTAAAATTAGGGCTAATTTTATCAATAATGCTGCAGATATCGTAAGATTTCAATTATTTCACATTTTTTTAAAAGTCACAGATTATTTTTTAATATATTTGATTCAGGATAAATTGTTGAAGCAGAAATTCGTTGGACATTTAGCAACAGTTCTAAGTAAAAGGGTTGAAAAGAACTTCCAGTCAGAGGAAAATAATAAAATCATAGATGTTTTGTTATCAATCTTAGCTAATTGCACTTATAATAACAAAACTGCCACAAATCAGGTAATAGATTAATTAATATATTAAAAGATAATGCTATCATGTTAAATTGGCTCAAGTAAAATTTAATGGCTACACTTTTTTCTCAATTTAAATGACTTTCACTTAATACAATTTTAAGTTTTTTTGAGGTAAAAGCTTTTAACTATAATGTGATTCACCAGCTTCAAAATGAGTGTCTACATACACCCATTTTTAAAAACGCCCTCCGACAATGGGGAGACTCCTTTGTAGAAACCGATCACGTTTTAGCCAAAAATTGTCAAAGTTTTATTACATATAATTTATAAATAAAAATTGATTACACAATCAGGTACTAAGGTACACAACATACAAGGTTTCCAAGGACAAGGTTACGATATAAAATACTTTTACCATTCCGAAAGCTTTCGACCCCCCAAAAAGAGCTTTCATGAAGTTTCCTCAAGATTTAAATTTGAGAAGAAAAGTGTATCTAATAAAGCATTTCTATTACCGTTAATTATTTCAAAGGTTTACGATGCAAACATCATAGAAAGTTTGATGACAATTATTAATAAGAGCGAAAATGGGATATTGATGGCCAAAACGTGCAGACTTCTTGGTAATTTAGTTCAAAAAAATGAGAAACTTGGAATAAGTTTTGAGCAAGCTGGAGCTGCTTTAAGTCTATCGAATTGCTTGTCTGAAAAAAGCATATCAATGTTAAGTACCATGAGTTTAAGAGCGTTACGATTGATGTGGATCTCGAGAAGGAAGTTTCGATTTGAAATTTTGTCATTAGGTACAATTTTTAAAATAATCTCATGCCTTCGTAATACTTTAAAAAGTGAGTTTAAAAAGGATGCAAATGAAGTTGAAGCAGTCCCATCAAATATGGTAATCCTTAAAAGAGACAGCGAACCCGACCGTTTAATCTCAAAACAAAAGTTATCCAGTATTTTGACAAAGATGGAAACACAAAATGTAGAAACGAAATACGAAATATTAAGAACCGAGAAAAATAATTATGAGTTTGCAATTCCAACATCAAAAGACAATATAGAACTTATCACTGGACTTTTAAAACTGCTCCTTACAGTTACAGGAACATCATCGTTACTTACACAAATTGCCAAAAATGTTTATGCTGATGGCTTAGGAATCGAGTGCTTGCTATATCTAATCGAAGAATCTCCAAAATTTCGTGGATCTGCTTTAAAAATTTTGTCCAATCTTTCCTTCAGCTCAAATTCACAAGAATATCTCGGTATAAACAATGAACTAATACCGACTATAAGTAGCTTATTAATGAAATATGAGACATTGGAATTAAATGAACAAAGGAATTGCCTTGAAATTTTATGCTTATCGACAGAAAACTCATGCAACAGACTAAAATTAAAAAGAAGCGGTGTCTTTAAGATATTGCTGTCTATAGCATCTAATTCAAAGATCCGAGAAGAATTGAATCTCCTAATTTTTGCATTCTTTCAATACCGCTACGATGAAGATAGTCTAAACTTGTTGATCCAACTCAATCTAATTAATGTTTTAATGAAAGTCATTAATGACATAATTGAAAATAAAAAGGTGGATCACATAAAAGTCGATGATTCTGATAAGGATCGAAAGGATGAACAAAAGACTAAACATCAAAGAAAAAGAATTAGCACTGAACCGTTACAATTTGGTGGATATACTAAATTTATGCGTTTCGAATCGAATTCTCCATCAAGCAGCGGATATGGGAGTTATCAATACAGCCCTAGTCGTTCCTCTTCAGACGGCTTTTCGCCATATAATTCACCACAAAGATGCTATCAAGATTATAACTCAGATTCTAATGAATATTCGCCTGTTTGTAGTGATAATGAAGAAAATAGTGAAACATCTAAAAAGCAGGATAAAGACTTTGATATTCTTGATTTTATTTATAATAACGATGAAATTGGTCGATATGAAGTAAACGAACAGCAAAAAGATATTGGAGAAATTGAAGATGAAACAACAAGTTTAACATTAAATGATCATGATTCGGATGACGAAAGCGGCACAAAAATGGAAATACATCAAAGTAGTAGCAGTAAAAATCTTCCTGAAACACTGAAGAGCATTGAAGCAGATAACTTGCAATATGTTTTGCTACTATTGTGGAAGGTTTCCATAAATCATAACGATGCTTTAGCATTTACAAACATAAAAAACTTATCAATATTAATTAGAGTATATGGCTTAGTCAAAAAGCCACATGAAAAGATTTATCAAATTTTGCAAAATATTTTAGAGCAAACTAGGAATTTCGTTCCGATTTTTATACGACAAGATTTTGTATTTCAAATTTATGACACAGCCAATACAGATTTTAATCATTTAAAGTGTTATTCCTGTGATAAAATGAAAGTAACGGGATTTCAGTTGCTGAAGGATTTTCGAAAGGTTGCAGAAGGAGGCTATGGTCAAGGACAAATTGCAGATATTTTATTGCAGGATCAAATTGAGTTAAAAAGAAAGGTTGCCACCAAACTAATATACGTTATATCATCTCCTGAAATTCTCAATAAATTTCTTTTTAATTTCGGTGCTTTGGATATAATTATGGATACTATTTATAGCAATGATGAGGTCCTATCAGTGGCTGCCTGCAATGGAATCACAATTTTATCAAATAATTTAAACATTCGAATTCCGTCAGAAGATGACGTATTCCAAAGAATCATTCCTGATGAATTTGAATTAGAAAACTCGGAAAAAGAAGATTCGAGCAATGAACAAGTTAAATTTATATTGAAAGATGGAGATGCATTGTTTGATAAAGACCTTCTAATGGCTTCAAGTGAGGTATTTAACTCCATGTTTTCGGGCGATTTTAGAGAATCTAATAAGAATGAAGTGAAATTTCCTAACTACACTGTTTTAGGAATGAAATATTTCTTTCAATTGGTTAAAATGAGCAAAGAAAATAAACTAAAACCCATTGCACCGAAAATTGATAATATGGATGTAGTTCTTCAAGCATACGAGTTGTCAATTCTTTACATCATGACAGATATACAGCAGCCTCTTCTAAATATTATCAAAGTCATTCTGGATGAAACTAATGTCAAAAGAATTTTCGAATGGTCTATAAGAAACATTAATCAGGACCTTCTTATTTCATCCATATGCTATTACTTGTGCGGTGCAATTGACGGAAAAACGAAGCTGAAGCTATATCTTGAAGTTAAAGAATCACAATATAGCAAGGAATTTAAAGACCTCATATTTGATTGTATTTTAATGAAATGTAAACCTATTGACGATTAAATAATAATTTTAAGTTAAAATAAATTAAAATGCTATTAAGTTAAGATGACAATTCGTTGATGTAACCAAACAAAAAGGATTTAAAATTCAATAAATTTATTTTGTTTGACCACATCTAAGAATCGTGAAACATAATTTAATATTTTTCATATCGACTTCTTTCTTCCTTCTTTTTTTATTGAATTACTTCCTTCCATTCATAATTTTCTCTGGGTTAATTCTTTTTATTATATGCAATTCTTCATAAAACAAATTATATTGTGAGCCTCTCGGCGTTCAATGATGCTGCTTAATGATGAAAAATAATGAAAACTTTTGAATTCAATGCTTTTCTTCGTAAATGTTGATCTTGTTGAGTAATGGAAAATGCTTGAACAAAAAGCTTTGTTTTCACATCTAATATAATCAAAATAGATTTTAATCTTTATACTTTTCTATGATATTAGTCATTTCAGACATGTAAGCTGAAAGTGGATGGTGTTTTTTTTTTTGTTATTTACTTATACCTTCGAGAACAATAAGTTTTATGTACATTAAGAGTTTATTTTTCTAACATTTTAATACCTTTTTGTACTTTTTTTTGTCAAGAACAAAGGAATCAAATTTTCTACAATACGCTTTAAATTAGGGGTTTTTTTTTTGTGAGAAAAAAAATAAATCAATAAGCATTAGCAGAACAAAATAAGTTTCTTGTTAGTGTATTCAAGTCTTTTGATTTTCAGTGCAGTTTTCGCATATCAAGTAAGTTTGTTATTTTTTTCTTCAAAATATAAAGTCAGATAAATGCTTTAAAATAAACATCTAGGGATCTTGTTTTGCCCGGTATAGAGGTTTCCCGAAAAAATTTTAAAATTTTAGTTCTTTATGCTCCTCTTTATTTCCAAAATGAAATTCAGATGTCCCATTCTACATTTAATGCATCTTTACTCATGGATATAAACAGCAGATATCTTTATAGTTTGATTTGATGAAAGTTAAGAGACAAAACATAATAATAATAATTTCAAAGTCATGTTTGACAAAAATTAAAAATTTTATTGATTGATTGCGACAAAAATGCATTTTGACTAGCCGTCATTAAAACGGCATTATTTTGACTTAAAATGAGTTTGATTTAAATATAATATTCGGTCTAAAATGTTCTTTTTCTTAAGTTGTTTCTTACATGAAAAGTTTTTTTTTTTTTTTTGTATAAGGATCACATTGATATTTAATTTAATAATATATATTCTTTAAGTTTGTGTTTTTCGTTTAGGTCAAAATTATTGTTTAGGTTTTAAATGTTGAAAATTAAGAGGAGTTATTAAAAATCTTTCATTTTTCATACATTCTCATAGTTTTTTTTTTTTTGTTCAATAATTGATTGCTATATACGTGATGTATGTGTTTTGTAATCATTAAAATGCAATTCAATTCGTCCTTCATTAGAAGAAGGTTATAAAAATTTTCATCATTTTTCATCACTTCTTTTGTAAATATATTGGAGGAAACTTCTAAATACATGCGTAAAATAATTTTTTGTCAACGAATAAAACGAAAAATTGGCAAAAATCTTCACCAAATGATTGATAAAATAAAAAGTATTTGTTTAATAGTTGTAATAATATATAATTTGTTATTTTTAAAAATTTGTTTTGGTTCCGAAAAAGATAAAGATAAAATTAAATATCGAAAAAATTACTTTCAAGTTCATAATTACAGTAATGTTGCTACAATCAATAGAAATGAAAATTTGCATGCTTGTTTTAAGGAATATTACTTTTTACAGTACTAAGCTCATTTCAAATAAATAAAGAGAGAGAAAAATCTGTCGGAAGCTTAGTTCAAAGTTTAGAATTGCATCATTGATTTTTTTTAGTCATCCTTTAATCGTTTCAAAAGAAAATTTGTCCATTCTAAATGAGAAAAAAAAGAAAGTTGTTGTACGCGTTGTTGTGTGTGTATGTGTATATTTATGTATGTGTGTGTGTTGTTGTTGTTGCTTATGGATGATGAGAGGGAGGCTTGATGATTTTAAACTGCTCAGTTGTCGACTATCTTCGATTAATAAAACCATTTGGCGTTTGAGGACTGTTCATATACACCAATTCGACTTCGACCAATAATGGAAAGTGATCACTTGGTATTCTTGGATGTGGACATCCGACAACCTTATTTTCTCGCAACCAATCCGATGACAGAGGACCAAGTAAACCCAAAGGAACCATACCTTGTTTGGAGTAAAATATGTAGTCGATAATACCTTTAAAGTCGAATGTGAAATTTGTATAGGGCATGATATCCTCACTATACGCTGAAGCGAGCTTAAAGGAATGAGTAAATTCATTGGGCGTATCACAATTTGAGATCTTCTGCAAACATGATTTATAACCAAGCTCTTTAAAATCTGCATGATCCATAGAAACACGGCCAGTATTTAGAAATTCAATTACTCCAGAATCGGGAAGTGAATTGAAATCACCACACAAAAGTAATTGAACATTATTACTGTCGTATTTCTGTCCTGGCTTAAAGCTATGACACACTTCATCAAGAATTGTCTTTAACTCATTCGAAAGCATCATAGTTTGAATCAACTTGACGTCACAAAACTCTGGATCCCAATGAATGTGAGCTGTACAAACGAGAATCGGTTGTGAAATAGCAGCTTGCTCTGGTGAAAGTCCTTCCCATGCATTTTCTTTTACTTTCAGCACAGCTGCTAAACCGATATTATCTTTCGGCATAACACGATTAAGCATATTATCAGATCCCTCAGCATTTGCCATTGCTAATTGATTGAATTCTACCAAATGTTCTTTGATCAGGGAAAATCTGTAAGTTAATAAATCTCATTAAAATTTATTTAAGGAACAAAAAATATTTATAAATCTTACTTATTTGCACGGAAGAAGATGGCACATCCGTCAACGTATTTACGATCGTTTTCTGACATAGTCTTAGCTCGAGATTTCGGTGAAAATATACCCTCATATCCATCATTCTTGAGTTCTGGTTTAAAAAAATTGTAAAACTGATCTGTCTCAACTTCTTGTAAGCTTATAATGTCTGCTGAATAATGACGAATTTCATCCAATATTGCCTAGAAATTTATTTTTTTCAATTACAACATTGATCGACTAAATTTCTCTTTGAATTACCTTCTTGCGATATTCCCAAGTAAGAGCCCAACTTGGACAGTATCCGTACATTTGTCTTGTCGCATATTTATCGCATAGGACATTATAGCACATGACGGTGAATATACCTTTTAATAAAATAAAGAATATAAATAAAAAATCAACATCATGAATCATTCGTGAGCTTAGTTTTTAAAAAGTAAGAATAAGCTTACATGCTGGTCTCGATCGATTAGGTCTTGCAAGAGGTATCCATGGTCTTTGTGGCGGCGAATTACCCGATACGGTTACTAGAAGAGACCAAAAGCAATTTTATTGATTAGATTAATTAATAACATTTAATTTATCGACGTAGTTTACAATAAAAGCTAGATTTATAAATTATTAATACTATTTCTCTTTATTCAATCAACAATATGTTCTTATAGGTGAATTAAGTTATGACTCATACATAGGTGATATTAAGCATAAAACTATTGAAACTTTTTTAATTCTCCAAAGACACAAAAACATCAATTGTCTGCGAGAATTTGTCAACAATAAGGGAAACGCGAGACAATTTTTTTCTCTTCGATTAATGTCTGATAAAAATGAACGACCCAAATTGAAAGTGAAAAATTGAAATGAATAACCGCTTCATTTCACAAATATAAAGTTTTTTGCTCTTTTTCTTTCTTCTTCTTTTTGCGAAGCATATAAAACTACAAATTTTACTTTCACTATAAATTCATTTTTTCAACAGCGTTATTTTCTATATCATCATCCAAGACTTTATATTTCTTTGTATTGTTGCATGTCTTTACTCTTTTCTCTTTTTCTTCATTAATTTTTCATTTTCTGTTTTTATTATTATTTATTTTTATTTTTATTAATATCTATTTAGTTTAATTTGATCTTCAAGTCTTTTCGGTTTTCGGAAAGAAAAAAAGATTGATTCTCATAAATTGTAATTTTAATTTAAATTTAATTCTTTAATGATTAATTTATTTAAGCCCAAATTATGCACGTGAAAGTAACTGATCAATAAAAATCATTTCTTATGAACAGACATCCGTACATGAAAAAAAAATAGTCGGAAGTAAATGTAATAATGTTGATTTAAGATTTTCCGTGTAAAATAATAAATAAAAAAGCATAAAGTTTCACTTTTGAGTACACTATTGAGCACTACCTTTTTAAGGTGTCATCAAGAGTAAAAGTCTCAGACAAGTAAAAATTTCTCTTTTCAGCTGATGATTGAAATTTTTTTTCTCATACTCGTAGGAGCGTTTTTAATCAACATCCATAGATTATACTTTCTTTTAGGGTTCGGAAAACCACTAACTGATTATCTACAGTTATCAACTTTTAGATTATCTACACAAAATCTACAGTTATCAACAGTTAGTAAACTGTAGATGATTTCTTTGAATGAAGAAAATCCGTTAAAAAAATTTGCAAAGTTTTGTAAACAAACAATTTTTGTTGACTTTTTTAATAAATTTATATATAGAATACACTTATTATACATTAAGAGAGCTCAAATGTCAACATTAGCTATTAAAAATCAACTTTTTGTTTATCGAATATTTGTAACGGTTATATGAAATTCAAATATTGTTCACATGTTTGTAAACAAAAAAAATTTGCGAAAATTTCTTAATTTTCAATTAAATCACCATACAAACGCTTTTAAAATACTGAATGAAGCCTAATGTCACTTTATTTGAACTGTTACATGCTGTTGCAGTCCTGATTTTAGCATTTCAACTCTTTTTTTAGTAAATTAATAACGTTTTTTTCCACTTTGAAAAAATTATCTACAGTTACTTATCTACAGTTACAAATTGTAGATAACTGTAGATAAGTGTTACTAACTGATAATAACTGTAGATTTCCGAACCCTACTTTCTTTTCACTTAATTAAAATCATCTCACTTTTTTAAAACTCTCAGAAATGAATTTTTTTATGGACTAGAATAAAGAACTTTTAATATAAAAATAATTTATGTCTAAAAACTACAGACAATTGACTTTATATATAGCTTTTAGAAGATTAATTTTAATTTAAAAGTTTATTCAATTCAAAAAGGGTATTAATTAAATTTATATAAATAGTGAAAGATTCTCAATTTCATTTTTAAAATGAGAAGAATAATTTGATTCATCATGGCTTATTAAATTTGAATAAAGGAGTTCATCACATTTTGAGTCACTATCAAAATTGTTAAATCTATTGTGATTGGTTTCCAAAATATTACTTTCTTCGCTTTTCATCAAATTCATTTGCGCAAATAAGTTTTGAGAGAAAAAGTTTGATTGATCTTGTTTCTTTAATGGCGTTTCAATAAAGTTTTCGAATTTCACTAATGATGCGGAAGTGTTATTTAAAATCATTCTATTATTCTGCTCTGTTATGTTTGGATTTGCATGATTATCGTCTAGAAGATTGAAACCAGACAATTGATGCGTGATAACGTTAAGCTCATTATTGGAAAAATCTTCATTAACAGTTTTAATGGTAGATGATAAATTATCGTCAGAAATTCTTAAATTATTAAGGACTAAATTACAAACGGAGCTGTCTAAAATGTTGAGATTTGGATTGTTAATGAATTGACTCATGTTATTCGACAAATTTTGTTGGTTCTGCTCTGATTCAATGATATCCATTAATGTAAGTAGAGATTTAGTGCATGATTTTCCTTCAGATTTTGAACGATTACTGCCTATGACACCAACATCCTTTGTTGTATTTTGATTGTAAATATTCTCAATGTTACATGGTGAATCTTTTGATTCCATTTTACCAGCTGAATTATCCGAGAAGGATCTTCTTAAAGGAAATGACCAGATTTTACAATTTGGATCGCATAGACGGCAACTACATGATGAGTTGGTTGATGAAGACAAGGATGAGTTTGAAAGTGAAATTGGCGATGATGAAATCGATGAGGAAGCGTCATTTGATGTCAATAAATTTGAATTAAATATTGTGTTATTAAAATATACATTTGCATCACATTTTGTTGCCTTTAAATTTCTACTATTTTGACTATAGTTGTAATTGTTGTTTTCGTTAACACAGTCAACGTTTTTGTCGGAGAGATTTTGCATCGTTTCGTTTGTAGTCGAAGAGAAAGTGAAAGGAAATGTTGATGAGGCATTTTCTACTGTCTGTTGTAAATTATTCGTCGGTTTTCTATCTTTTTTTCTTCGCTTTCTCGGCTTTATAATGCGTGGCAAAAATGTTCCATTTCCATGATTAAGCGCAATATGCACTTCACCATTATCGCATGCTTTTTGTGTTATGAAATTTTCAATCTTATCAATCTGTGTATTTTCATCATTAAAAGGATTCTGTTCGATCTGACATCCTATAAGGGGCTTTGACACTGCGTGATTCACTTTTCTCACGCCTTTATTATAATTATTTCTTGGTTCATGAAATGAATTATTGCTTATACGTCTAAAAGGTGATGCATCTGCAAACTTTATCAATGGAAATCCAGTCCAATCGTTTGCATTTGAGTAGCTAATCGTTGTCTCTGATGAGTTTTGATGCAGTGGAAAATTGTTTGAGTAATTAAATGACAATGATGGTGAATGATGCGTTGCAGTCTGATAGTTTTCATATCTTTTCATGCATGATGAAGAGTTCATCATAACATACTTTTTGAGTAATGTTTCCGAAACTTAATTAGATACACTTGCGATATATATGTATGTATAATTAGATTGAATCCAGTTTTTCTTATTTCAGGATCATAATATTGTCACGAATTTATTTGAGCTTTGAACAGTTTGATTTTCTTTTCTTACTTCAAATTTGAATTGGACAAATTTGAGCAGATTCACAGGTTTTTATTAACTTTTAAGCAATTATTGTAACTATAATTATTTTCAAAGTTCGATATGCGGAACAATTAAATAATCACTATCGGAGATTTTTTTTTTCCTTTTCCAATATGCATTGAAAGTTTTCAATTTCTTTTTGCGGTAAATACACAACTTTTTTTTTTCTTCTTTCCGATGTTGTTTACATTTCGAGAGTTGGCGAACAACTGATTACTAAAACTCACTTTTACCAACCCAACAAACTCAAAATAAAGCATGAGAAAAAGAGAGTAAGAGAATTATCCATTGACTGATTGTGAATTAAAAACTCTCTTTTAATTTTTGAACCAAGTTCTGGCGGAGTTTGAGTGATTTCTAATTTCTATGCAGTTGAAAATATTTTGACACTTTTTTCTCTTTAACATTTTTTACACATAAAAGAATGGTTATAATTTTTTTGGGACACTTTTGAAGATATCGTGATCAGAAAATCAATAAATAGGTTGTAGAAGTCACTGTTTATTTTTTAAAAAGAGAGCAAGACTGTGATTGAAATCATTTAAAAACGGTATTAGAAACTTAATTAAAAATGTTTTTTGATTAGGGAATTTATTATTTTTGCAAAATAGAAATCAAACGTTTAATATTAAAAATCAATCATCTTTGATCATATTTTAAGGATGTTGTTTTTCAAATGTTTTTGAAGAGTTTTTTTTTAAACTCAAGTACTATCTATCATATATATATATATATATATATGAATTTAATTTTATCAAATAAATCAATTGAAATTTTGTGGTACTCACAGCTAAAATTGTCCAACATGTGCGTCAAGAGTTTGTTGGTGCCGTTCATGTCATTATAAATGGAAAGAATGTCTTTTGTTAATGGATTTCCATGCAGTCCTAAAACAACAAGATGAAATAATTTCCCGAGTTCATAAGGCAAACTACGGAGCATATTATGATTCAGATGTAGTTCTCTGGAAGAAAATTAAACATTCGTTTTAGTGACATCAAGAGCATATAATTTCAAATGTTGAAAAGTACCTTAATTGAATTAGTTCACCTAATTCAGCAGGCAAGCTCCTTAATTTGTTATTGGATACATCTAAGGTCCTCAAATTAGCAAGGAGTCCAATATCAGGTGGTAAACGTGTTAAGCAGTTATCATTCAGATATAATGCAGTAAGATGTTCGAAATGCCATAATTGAGGACTGATGTTTCGTACATTACCTATGAAAGAAATGTAACTAAAAACATTAGGATTTATGAAAATTACGCTCATTTTCAACTTACCATTTATTTCAACGCCCTGCCATGATGATTTTCTACCTGATGCAACATCTTCTGGTGACATGAAAGTTTGTTGCCTTCGATTGTTTGTCTCATACTTTTCCTTTCGAGACATCTTGTTGAAAACACTATCTAAATTTACATTTTCAGAGAGAAGACAGCAGAGAAAATGACACATTATAATCACTTGCTAGCTTCAGTTAAAAAATATGATTTTTGATGGTCTTTTTTTAGATAGATAATAATCAGAAAAGTAATTGGAACAAAAGAAACTTATTATTTATGTTAAAAAATAAGGTTTATGCAATATACATTTAAAGATGAGCATAAATGCAGGAGAAGAAACAAAAGGCTATGCACGTAGATGTAATATTGTAAGGAAACGGGAAAAATTCACAAACAAAAAAACAACAAATGATAACGAAAAAAAAGGAAAGATCTTATTATTGAGCTATAGGGCTTGTTAGATTGAAACTTAACTATTTTTTTCCTTCAGCATATCGGATGAAATACATAGATCGACGATTGTTTATGCGAGTTTGTTTGTTTGGTATATATCTCTTTGATTTTTTTTTTTTTTGATTATTATACAAATGTTTTTATGGCAAATGAAACAAAATGAAATGGATAAAATTTTAAAGAAATGTTAATGAATAAAGAAAGCACACACATTAAATGTTTAAAATTATGACAAGCTTAATAGCTAAAATAGTCACAGATTGCCTTTACCAATTTTTAATAATATTAAGCAAAAACAGATTAAGCTTAGCTTTATTAAGCATTCATGAGAGCTTAATTAGACATTATTGCTTGAAATTTCATTGATATTAAAAACACTTAATAATATAGTGAATTCAGAAATAAATTATGGCAAAAATTTAAGCTTAAAAAATGGATGCTCTTCGAAAAAAATTTTACCATCAATTTCTATTGCGAATTTTGTATTTTGGACATTAAATAAACGATAATGAGATTGTTAAGCACTTAAAACACACTTGAAAACTTAATTTATATATTATTTTGATTGATATAATCACTAATTTACAAATATTTTTCTTTTTAAGTTATTCCTTTACAAAAAAATTCCGTCTTGGGTGCACGCTCCAAAAAATATCACTCAAACTTTTCTCAATAAATACACAAATTTCGTTTATAATATTAACTTAACGGCATTCCTATATCAATCTATTTGATTTTCTTTAATAAATTAAACATTCAAAAACTTGTTAAAATCCCTTTTTCCTTTAATTTTCTTCAAATTTAATCTTATTAATTTTCATATGAACGAATTTTGAGCGTGTATTTTACAAGGGGAGGTATCATTTGCAAAACAAACCATTTTTTTACACACAAATGTTACCCCCTTGATGATTAGTAGTTTTTTAATGGGATTTTATCTCTACTTTATGAGAAACAGATTTAGTATTCGTTCTTTATCCACATGTCAAATTTTATTTTTGTAGATGCTTTCGTAAAAATGCGCCTATAATTATTTGATCTTTTAGGCATTTTATACGATATAATGAAAAGTGTGTGTATTTGAAGAAAGTAAACAAATAAATGCTTTAATTCTGAAAAATTAAAATTTAAAAATGCTACGGTTGGCAAGGTATTTTGGGCCATTAATAAGGCTTGAGAGACACTATTTGAGATGCTTTTCAACGGAACCAAGGGCTTATGAAAATGCAGAAAAGGATAAGAAGTTTAAGATTCTAGAATTGGAAATTGATGTAGGTAACATAATGTGTATTTAAACCAAAGGAATGAAAGAATTTTAATCAATCTTGTGCTAATTCTCATTTATAGATTATGAGACAAGAAGGAAGAAAGGTTCCTAGCAAATTATCCGAACCAGAATGGGACAGAATCTTGGAATTAGGCTCAGTATCGGCAAGAAGGAAATATTTAACATTTTTGTTTACATGTGAAATGAAAAATCTTAATAAGCAAAAGAAAAAAGAAGACTTAAAGGTTGAACGAGACGAGAGAATATACGAAAGACGAAAGAAAGCAGAAAGCAATGAGATAGTGTATGGTCTAGGATATAATTCATATTTCTTAAAGATTTATGAAACTACAATGAATCTATGGAATAATAATAAGCTTGTAAATTCTATGCTATTTGGACAAAAACTTGTTATAGATTGTTCATATGACGAGCATATGAATTTTAGAGAAGCTGATAATTGCGCCAAGCAATTGACGTATACTTTTGCTATGAATAGGCTTTCAGAACAACCTTTTGATCTTCATTACTGTAATTTCGATAGATCCTCAAAATCTGGGAAAAAAATGATGAACAGCATTCCAACGATGTTTAATCTGGATTTTCCAATAAATGTGCATGAAAAATCATACATCGATGTGTTTGATAAGAGCCGACTCGTTTATCTAACTCCGCATTGCAGAAATGAACTTGTCGAATATAATCATGATGACATCTATATAGTTGGTGCTATGGTAGATAAGGAAAAAAATGAGCCACATTCACTTGCTAAAGCTAAAAAGTATGATTTAAGAATGGCTAAACTTCCTTTAGACAAATACTTGGATTGGGGAAAAGGAGGAAAGTCACTGACAATCAATCAAATGCTTCAAATCTTATATGAAATGAAAGAAACAAATGATTGGAATCAAGCATTAAGGTTTGTACCAAGAAGGAAATTATTCAAAGAATTTCAGCAGTCACATCTAATAAAAGATGCAAGGAACCGATCAGTAACAGTACACAAAAGTTTCTTTGACGATGATGAAGAACTGAGAGAAAAAAAGAGTTCACAGAATAGCCAAAAGGAACGAAAGCATTTTCAAAACTATTTCGATTTGAAAACATGGGGGAATAAAAATAGTAAAAATAATAGTAATAGGTAACTTGTGTATGTTGACTTATGGAATATAAACAATTAATAAACCAAAATTATAGTTTAAACTTAACGGTTATTGTTGTATTCAAACATGCTGCTAGAAAAACTTTTTCACATTTTCAGCTTAGATCTTGCTGTTTATTTATTTCCTACATTTCCTTAAAATTAATTGTCATAACTTCAACACATGTTATTGCTTAATTTTTTATGTTTGCAATCATGGTAATTATTTGTGTTGCGGCTATTAGATTTGGTATTTTTTTTGACAGAAGGCAGTTGCTATAAAATGCAACAGCACTGACATTGTCAGCTGAGTCCAGTATTAGATTTATAAAAAAACTTGTAGAAGAAAAACTTTGTGAGATTTTGCACAAAAATTAATTAAAAGTTGTTAATTGTGATTTTAAAAGGATCAAAAGATTTCAATTAACATAAATTAAGTAAATATCCCATAAATATGCTCAAATAATTTCGGGGGATATAAGGGAGATGATTTTAAAAAAAAACTCGTAAAATTTTAAATGATCTTAAAGTACATACTTTTGGAAGGGTTTAACAGATTCATATAATACAGATTAAATCATATGAAGTAATTATTAATAAAATGCATTTTAAATTCTATGACATTAGACTTTAAAAATATCAAGAGTCAATTTTCGAATAATTCAATGATTCATTGCTGAGAGAATTTTTTATGTATAGCTTCTGACTAATGAGAAAGCTTCTGATTTTCTCTCAAATTTTAGTTCACGTTGAGAGCAAAGCGAGATTACACGCCTTTTGAACTAGTCAGTGTGATAAAAGGAAAAAAAATTAAAAGCTTTATTTCAACACTTTCCCTTAAATACTTTACTGGATTACTTAATTTAAATACATCAGGTATGAATTAATTAAATAATTTAAATATGTTGCTTGAGCAGTGAACTTTCTTAAAACGAGGATAAAAAAAATAAATTCAGAAAACTTACTGTCTAATGATGAGAGAAAAAAAATTAAGAACATTGATAAAAATAAGTTCAGTTCTGAAATAATACTTAAAGAAAAGATAATTAAAGTGATTTTGTGATGAAAAAACGACCAAAAAAGAAGCCTTTAAAATACGCATCAAATGAGGGACGAAGAAAATTTTTTGCCAAAAAAATATATGTGGATGCATTTTATGGGGGAAAATTTATTGAAAGTGTTGTATGAAGAATCACTGGCTCGTTGAATAATAATCGATCTAAATGATGACGTCCTTAAACAAAATAAATTAAATAATTTAAAACATCTTTCGGTTATCCATATATTTTAATACTGGTTGTGTGTGATAAAGACAAAACTAATTTCGTGAATCACAACATGGCATCACGCAAACTCCATAAACGAATAAAAGTCGTTTATATTCTCGGTCTCGCTTTTTGTGAAAGCGTGTATTGATTTTCCTTATGATTTTCAAGAAGAGTTTTTTATGTTATTCTTCACATTGCTAGCTTGTACACACATACAAACTAAGCTATTCTTTGCATTGAAAAAGCTTTCAAATATTTGCGTCCTTTATAACTTGGAAACTTCTTGATGAACATGCCGAATAACATTGTAGGAAAAGTGTTTCAAAAGTTGAAAGCACTAGAGTAATTGAGATGAATTTGTCTTCCCTATAAAAATCGGTAAATTGAGAGAGAATATTATGAGCACTTAATGCTTCATCAAGACTATTGATTGCAAAACAAACATTTTTAGAAAATGCCGCGTTTGCTTGGATACTTTCATGATTGCTTATATTTATGAAAATGAAGTCGTGCTTCCTCTGTCTTTCCTTACTGCCTGCTTTTTTTTTTTTTTGTAAATATAATTTTAATCTTTATTAATTGAGCTTTTTCAATCGTTTGTTCAAAAATACATTTTGCTTAAACAATTGCTCAATAGTATTTATTTGTTTAACGTTCTAATGATGACTTTATCATATACTGTTCCTAATCATTTATACGTATTAAGAAAATTAGCAGCAAGATGTGCAAATTGTTCAAGTTTTTTTTATATGATATATGTAAACGTTATAGGAAGAGATTTCCTTAAAATCGTAATCTCAAGATTGAGTTTCCCTTAGTTTTTGACCGAAGTGAATCATATCTTTCAATAGACTTTAAAAATTACTCTTGGACATTAATACAATAAAAAAATCTTCATAACACAAAAAATCAATCGTATTTCATTGTAAGCTTTATTCTGCATGTATTTTCCAAAACACAATAAAGCTTGGTTGTTTTCCAGTATTCCACGTGTTTATCTTATTTGACAATAAACCCTTGTTTAAGATCGATTCATCGACAGAAATGAAAGATTTGAAGAAGATACATATTAGTATTTGGTTTTAACTTTAGTGGAAGATTTCTATAGACTAGAATTTATATTAATATAAAAGCCATCTTTTATATCATATTTTAAATTCCAATTCATTAATAGAATGCCAGCACCAACTACAGAACCAGCACCTCCGCGAACAGAATTGCAAGAATTGCAATTAAAAGCAACAGAGAAGACCGATGAAGTAAGTTTATAAACAAAAAGGAGCTTTTTTTAAAAACAAAAATGAGTTTTTGCATTAGAATTTCCTTAACTTTGAGATATTAAAGTAATTTTTTTTTAATTTTCAGTCCCTTGAATCGACTCGCCGGATGTTGGCTCTTTGCGAAGAGGTAAGAAATGCTTAAACTTTTTTTTTACTCATTAATTCGATAATAGCAAATATTGACAGTATTACTTAGAATCTGATAGTATACATCAATTTTCATTTTAAAAAGAAATTAGAATTATACTATTGAAATATGTTTAAAAAATCAAGCTAATATAAAGAAAAAGATTGATTATTGAAGGTCAAAAACTTGATAAATGAAAGCTTGTATCATTTTTTTCTCGCAAAAGTGCAATTTTTTTATTTCTCATAAATTAATATTGATTAATGAAAAAAAAAAATAAGATAATTTTGAAATTGATGACTTATTAAATTGAATCGATTTCTACTTCTCGAAATTTTTTATTTAATTTTTTTAAACATACATAAGTTTCTTTTCCAAAGTCTATCTCATATTATCTTCTTTGATTTCTGAGCAATTAATCAATACGATAGAATCAATGCATTGCCAAGAATAAATTATAAAGTTATTGATGGTGTTTTAAATGTTACATAATAATTATAACAATGAAGATTCCGAAAAATCTTCATTCTTAACCGGAAAGTAAATGTTGCTGTGGACAGTGTAAAGATTAAGGTAGCAATTTATGAAATATCTCCTAGCATTTTTACCTTAAAAATATATAATTATATAAAACCTTTTGTTTAAATCTTTTATTTTAATCCTAATATTATATTATTTTATAACGTTATATTTCTGAAAATGAATAAACTGGTAAATATATTAAGTTTCTGAACTAGTAATTTCTGCTAGAGACCATGTTAAAAAATCGGGATGTTGTTAATATATAGCTGGAAAATATAATAAAAATATTTGTTAAACGTGAGATTACGTGATAATATTGTACGCTTCTTTTATCTTTCGCAAATCTTTCTCAATTTCATCTTCTTCTTTCCCTTTTCTTAAAAAAATGTTCTACTCCTCTTCTTCTTCTTTCCAATTTGATTGTTGATAAAAGAATTAAATGAAAACAATGATCTCTATTCCTTATTTTTCAACATACTAAACAGAACACATTTTTGCGAATGATTATATTTATAGGCGTTTAAATGGAAGCCTGTTGATGTTGCATGTTTAAAATGTCATAAAATTATTTATGATAATCATAAAGATAAAAAATCTCATGGGTTTTCAATTTCTTAAAAAAAAAATTATTGGCTAAACTTAATACATGAGAATGAAAATTCTGAATTGAAAACTTTCATGATGATGCAGTGTATTTTTCTTTATTTTTATATGTAGTTGAATGTTTTCATTTATCTATATACTAAGTGTCGTAATATGTCTTTTGGAAAATATACATAAGGAATACTATCCTATTGTTGTAGCAATCATAAACTTATTATCTGCACATTTAACTATCTAGGAAATGCGTTCTCCTTCTTGCAACATTTTATTTGTTCTTGCATTTATTATATCCTTTATGAGAACGAATCAATGTCTAAATGCAATTCATCTCCTCTTACTATAATAAGTTACTTCTTTTTCTTTGAAGAAAAAATAAATAAAAAACTCTTAAGAAAATTCTCTGTTATTTTGATTTTATATGAATTTAACGATTAAGAGCTCTCAAGAATCTCATCAGTCATGAAGTTTTATCCCTGAAATTATTGTTTTTAGAAAAATCTTTTCCGTCTTTTTAATGTTCATTTGAATCTAAAGCATGATTCGGTTTATGTTAAAAAAAAGAATTTAAACTAACATCGCAGGAAATCAGTTGATGCACACATGTCAAAAAACAACAATTTATTATGTCTATGTTATGAATGGATAAATTTTGACTGAGACTAAATTCAAGGCTCCCGCAGATTATAATCTTTTAAAAACGAAAATTATAATCTTTGTATGAAAGATTATTTAAGATTATAATCTGCGGGATCCTTGACTAAGCCTGAGTGTTATCATCATTTTTAAGAGGACTTAAGAGATGCTTATTATATCAAGAAGGGACCATTAGCTACAAAAAAGAACTCTCAAAGTAAACATGAAAGACAAAGTTTAGTTCCTTAATATCTATGTGTTTTTCCTTGAGTAGTCATGTATTGATACTGTTTTAATTATATTCTTTTGTTGCGTATTCGTTTGCTTGATCTCTGTAATCTTCATTCTTCTTTACAAATGTCTTAAAAATCCTATGATAAAACAGTATCAAATACACAGTAAACAATAATTGTATTTTACAGTTTTATACAAAAATATGACGAGAACTACAAGTTGTTTTATGTTTCTCCAGATAATATTTTACATTTTACAATTTTATTAACTTATTTTTCTTTAAATTATGTTACTGATATTTATTATGTTATTAAAAAAATATAATAATGACATGAAGATGCTACAGATACAAACACTGATCCACTGCATTTTAATTGTTTCTAATATTTTACTAAATAATTATACAGATACATGAAGATATTGCTTTAAGTAAATAATAAAATTACGATCTACAAATTGAGCGGAAAACGGATTTATTTTGCATAGTGATAAACATCGAAGAGAGAAAATTGTTAAATAATTTTATAGCAAACAGAAATGGGAAATTGCTTACAAAATATTGATTAATAGCTTCAATATTATACTTTTATGTTATTCATCATGCATTAGAACTATACAAACAAAAATATCCATCAATACATATAAGAACTTAAGAGTATAACTAATCAACATCATAGTTTTGATTTTATTTTTAATCATACCTAATATTATATGAACATCAAAATCAATGGATATTCTTTATACTGTTCAGAGAATATATAAACACTTTAGTTTTCATTATTCTTTTATCAAATAAGATTTTTTTTTAAAATTTCTTGCTTCAATAAACTCACACACAAAAAATTTGTTATGAAATATGCCTACGACAGAGCAAAGAAGCCGGTATTCGAACTTTGGTAGCACTCGATGATCAGGGAGGTGAGTGGAAAATGACATTTTTCTTTTCCAAATAAGAAAAAAAAGTATCCGTTATTGTTTCAAAAGTTGACAATTTTTTAATTATTTTATATTTTATGGTTTGAATTATTGCTGATACGTTTTTCCTTTTTTCCTTTCTTATATTCATTTCCTATGAGTTTACAAATGATTATTTACAAAAGTATATATAAATATATTATATTTCGATTCACTTAAACATTATCCAGATACATTTGTTTTGAAATTATTATGTTCTTAATTTCTCTCTTGATGTTTTGAGTATTCTGAGATTAAATTTGCGCATTTTAAAAGTCAAAAAAGTCATACACCATTTAGGTATAATTTATTTAGAATTAAAAATTGATTTGATAGTTTTCGATTTAATTACTGTACATCATTAAAATATTTAAAGCGTACTGATCTAATGTTTTGAGTAAAAAATCATTCATTAACATCACTATGTAGCTGGCAGTAAAAAAAATTCAATTTAATAATTAGGTATATCTATATATTTTATAAGCAATCAAATCATGTATCAAACAAATATTTAAAAAAAGAATTATTTTTATGTAGTTTAATTTTATTTCTCCTTGTTTACATCAAGTCATTTCATACATACATAACAGTGAGAAATAATGAATTTTGATAAATACGAAAGATCACATTAGACTCAAATAGAAAAATAAACTTTGCATTCGCTTTAATTACCATTAAATCGCTCTAGCAGATAAACCTTTCAAATTTTTTTCTTATCTTCAGTACCTTAATATTAAACTTTTGTATGAGTAGAGAATTTCAACCAGATTCCAAAATGAATTGCATTTTGTGTTGAACTTCATTAATTTTTTTAAATCCATTTTGCAATAGCTTTATATTAGATTTTTTTAACCTTTTCGTAATTCTTAAGATCGAATTAAAGTATAATTTGAATAGAGAGTAAATAAAATTCACGTTATTAATTTGAGAAATGATTTTGCAAAAGCACTTTTTTTATAATAACTATAGTAAATTTGTTTTAGCTCTTTTTATGATTTCCAGCATAATTGTAAAAAATATTTTTCTTTTTCACATTTACCAACAAGATTGTTAAAATTTTCAAGCATTATTTTTATTTTTAACAATGATCTTTTAATATTGAATGCAGAGCTTCTTCTTAAAACAATTTAACCTAAAATTTAAAATCAATTTCTCTATATGATTGAAGGGTCGCTTCTCACATATTTCATAAGAATTTTACAATATTTAAATTTTTAAAAAATCTTGGACTTTCTCTACCTTCCATGTACCTTCCATTTTATGATCAAATAAAATTAAATAATAAAAGTATAATATAATGTCTAGGAGATTTAAAGCTTAATTTTTTCGAGTTATTTTAAACTTCTTGGAAGCAGCTCTGCAATTCGAAATGTTTTAACATTCTTTTTTATTTTATCTATAAGTATTTGTTTATATCTGTCATTCTACCTATTTAAATTTTTAATTTTTGGTGAGCATACGTTGAAAACTTAAAACAAAAACTTTTCGTGAAACAATATAAAAAAAATATTATGAATAATTTGGATAAAGCGTGATAGAAAACTTGAAAACCTAATGCATAAATTGGGAAAAAACAAAAAAAAATCGTTATTTTTCAATTAATTTCCATTCTATACGAATATATTTTATCATATGTATATGTTAAATTTAGATGAATTAAAATAAATTAAATGAAATCTTAATTAAAAATTCTATTGCTTGCAATGAATATCTATTGTATTTGGCAAAGACTTGCATTAAAGGAGGATAATAAATAATTTTATTTTAAATAAATAACTTGAAATCTTAATTGAAGAACTTAATTTTCTTTTTTAAGATTTATTTTATTTTCTCACTTTAAAATAAAAACCTCAAACTACCTGAAATAGAAGCAGAATAGTTTATTACTGATTTTTCCTTTTTTAAGAAAAGGATAAATTCAAATTTTTCTTTTGTCTTGATTTGATCTAAATCCATATTAAATAGTATTATAATGAAATTTTAGAGTGATGATGTGGGTACAAAAACGCTTGGTACTATACACGCACAAGGCGGTAAGGGCTTTTACCAGTTTTTAAATGGTTTTGTGTTTTATTTTAAATTAACATCTACTAAAAAATAATAATTACAAGTTTTTGAATAAAACATTTCAAAAAAATAAAACACTAAGGAAACAGCAACATTTTTAAAATAAGAGCTTATTTTCTTTACGTAATAACAAATAGCTTTTTTTATAAAGTTTGATAGTAACAAGTTTTACGTAAGATTTGCGCAATAAATGTCTGATTATTATTGATTTCACGTTATTGATGATGAAAAAGCTAAGATGGTAGTGAATGGTAATTTATAAATAAAGAATAAACGTGGTAAAAAGAACATTAGCTGTTTTATAAGACAATAAGATAAGATTAGCATACAAAAAAGATTCAAGTATTGTAACTGAACAAAAATTTTGTATGATAATGTTTTTGTTTAGAGCACAGAAGTGGGGATGCGTACCATCGTTATGCTGGATGAACAAGGAGGTAAGAATAAAGAAATGCCAAAAAGATGAAAAACAACAAAAAATTAAATGAATCTACAAATTTACACATAAAAATATGAAAATCTATAAATTTATTAGATATTGTAAAATATGCAGTTTAGCTCTTCTTCCTTTACCATATTAAATTTAATGTTTTCATACCAATATAAAAATTCGGTCATAAATATAAAATGGGCTGAGGTTTTAAAAACTTTTTGTGCTGTAAATGTTTTTTAATGTATGAAATGTGTATTAATTCATTAAGCGGGGAATTTTCGATTTAAACTACTGAGAAAATATTATGCATTACTTATAAATCTATTAAAGTAATCCTCAAAATTTTAAATCGAGAATTGCCTAAAATACAAAACTTGTAAATTTATCTAAATTCACGAGATTACCAAAACCACTCACAAACCATCACAAAAATACTTTTTAATTTTCAAAGAAATTAATTTAAAGATATTAAAGCTTGAATACAAAATAAGCTTTTAAAAAATAATAAAGAGTTTTTAAAAATCTTTGAAAGACATTCAAAGAAAAAATGTCATTAATTTTTTTATTACGAACTTTAAAGCTAACACCAGAAGATCAGTTTTGAGCTTTGGTTTAAACACAAAATTACTATCCAAGTGTAGATAAAAAAAAATAAGAAGGAAATTTCAACTAGTTAAGGTTCATTCATAAATGACTTTTCAATTGAAATGTTGTCGCGAAACTCTTAATTTAGAAAAAGTGTGAAAATATTTTGCCAAAAACATCCTTAAACCATACACAATGTTTTTTTAAAAACATGTCCTTTTTGAAAAATTAAAATTTGTTCACGAAAAACTGGTTTGTCGCGTAGCATAATTTGAACACCTATTCGAAAAGCCATTTTTGAATGATTCCTCCATAGTAAAGTTTAAAATAAACATGATAAATTTATAAAGGAAACAATTAAAACAACAAAAAATATCACCTTTGCTATATTGATAAATTAAAAGTAACATACACTTACCTACAGGATATACATAATTTTTAAACATCAAGATGAATATAAAATTCTACAATATTCCTAAATTGATCATAACAGAAGCAAATCATATAAAATTGTATGACACTTAATAAACCAAATAAACAGAATGTAATACTTAATGAGTCAATGGAGTAATCGCTAAAGTAAAGCTTTAAATCAATTTTATAAAACAATTTTAATCAACTTATTAGTATTGATTGCTTTTTTAATTCATTTTTTCTGTTTAATTTTATTTTGGTTAAAAAGCTTGAATGAAAACAGATTTTTTTCATTATTACATTTTTAGAATAAGAATGTTGGATCAGAAAAGAATCAATGCGGCATGTGGAATGCTAAACAATTTGCTTAAATTTTCGCATTAAAAGTTATTAATATAAATTTAACATTAAACAATCTACAAAACAACAAAGTTCTTTTACGAAGTATCAAGGCTCTCGCAGATTATAATCGTTTAAAAACGAAGATTACAACCATTGTATGGGATTATTTAAAGATTATAATCTGCAAGAGCCTCGTGAAATATATAAATGTAACTTTATAATTTAAAGTTTCGTGAATTTAATTCACCAAACGGTTGAAAATATAAATTTATTAAATTATAACGGTGAACGTTGTCATAATTGAGGATGTTTACAAGATTCTTATGATCATAAATCAAAAGTACATATTAAATCAAATGCAATTGGTGTTGAAAATTTCATTTAGTAAACGCTTGTGATGGATATAAAACTATTCAATGATCATGTTATAGTGATCGTAATAATTATTATTTTTAAATCAATTTGTTCCTTGATTTTAAAATATTTTTCATGAGACTTTTGATTCTTACTTAAATTTAATTATAATACATTGATTTAAAAAACTTTGCGACTCATTATCATGATTCTTTACATAAGATCATGGAACAAATTTCACACTTCAATCATAAGTTTCAGCAAACAAATTTGAATTGAAAACACTTTTTATTGATAATGTAGTGGTGTGTTAGTTCATTAATCTCCCTTTAATAATAATTTAAAGTAATTTTAGAATTATAAATTTCATTAATCTTAAATAATAAATGGTTTTCATGGTTTTTATTTGAATTAACATTTTTTGGTATAATTTTTGTGCTTTTAATTTGTTTGTTTTTACTGGGTATAATTTAAAATTTTGCTTGATTCAATAGCTATATTTAAATCATATGTCCTTAAAATTAATTTAATGAATTTCATTGAATATCATAGAGCAATTGGATCGTATTGAGGAGGGTATGGATCAAATTAATGCTGACATGCGAGAGGCTGAAAAGAATTTAAGTGGAATGGAAAAATGTTGCGGCATTTGTGTTCTACCATGTAATAAGTAAGTTTATTTTTATTTTTTATTAATAAATGTTTAATAAAAATGTAATGTTTATAGGAGTGCATCATTTAAAGAAGATGATGGAACATGGAAAGGAAATGATGACGGAAAAGTTGTTAATAACCAGCCACAGCGCGTATGTGACGATAGAAATGGTCTTGGACCACAAGGAGGATACATCGGAAGGTTTGTAGAAAAATTACTTTTAAATCATCATATAATTGTCATTGTATCAAATCTTTGTTTTCATGCATTTGAAGAATAACAAATGATGCTCGTGAAGAGGAAATGGAAGATAATATGGGACAAGTAAACACAATGATTGGTAATTTAAGAAATATGGCTCTTGATATGGGATCAGAACTTGAGAATCAAAACCGTCAAATTGATAGAATCAATCGTAAGGTAAGTGATCAATCAATCTTGATACAAGTGTGCCTGTTGCTTAAAAAATTAAACTAACAATCAATTTACATTGTAAATATAATATTATCAATATATTTTGTGTTCTATCTTTCTCTTTACTAACATTGCCTATATCGAATCTACTTCATGCTTCCTTTCAATGGTGTAGGGTGAATCTAATGAGACGAGGATAGCAGTGGCTAATGAAAGGGCACACGATTTACTTAAATAAGCTTGTCAAAAGTTTAACTTGAATTTGCAATTCTTCTTTCTGACAGAGAAAAGAGTCATTAAAGAAATTATCAACTTTACACTCTTTGCTAAATACATTATCTATCTATATTAACTCAAAACAGAAAATGATTGATAAAAAATATTTATTAATTACAAGAAACAAGTAGTGATTTATGCAAAAAAAATCTCTTTAAAATTATAATGCCAATATATCTCCTAATCTCCCACACTTTCGAAATGAACTAAAAATTAATAAATTAATAAAGACAATTACATTTAAAATTCATCATCATTAATTTTCTGGCATCAGAATAAATAGAAATATAATTTATAGAAGCTTTAAAACTCCACTGCTTTTATTTTTCTAGCAATCAGCTACAAGTATGTCAATCTTTAGTATACACTAGTGTAACTCTAATCATAACACTGTATGTCCTGATTGCTAGATATGCTTTTGAATCAAAGGGTGCGGAACTGATAAATCACGTTTTGATCAGATTCACTCCCTTATTTGATTCAAAGCAAGAATATTGCTTACCCACCGAAAGAACGAATAAAGTATATTTTTTTAAATTTTGGTTTTTAAAACCTTTCATTTAAAAATATTCGAAAATCATTTTTTTAAAATAACAATCCAACATTCCTTCTTTCAATGTATTTGAAAAAAAAACTACTGCATTCATTTTTATTGTACATGTTTAAACAATGCTTCCTTTTAATATTTGCATTAATTTTGTGTTTAAGCATCTCATGACGAAAAAAAATTATGATTTTTTATAACCTCACTTATTTTAATTTTGCTATTTTTATGTAATATAGGGTGAAGATAATAATATTCGATTAGATGATGCAAGCAAACGTGCTGGACAATTATTGAGTAAATAAAAGCAGATATACCACGTTAAATTGCTTTTGACTTCAATTCATAAGAAATACTTATAAATTTTTTGATTACCTATATGATAAAATAAGCTTCCTGGCTAAATCAATCTATTCCACGAAAGCAACGAAAATATAAAATAGTAATTCTCGACATATTTTTAAGCCTTGATTTTGGAATCATTTTATATTATTATTTTTATTATTATCATTTTTTAATTTTATAATTTTGGCGCATTGAATGTAAACATTTAATAAGATGACATTTTACTCAATTAACACTAAACATAAAAAAATATTTTTCTAAGTTTCATTACTTTGTTCAAAACACATTAAAGTTTTAATCAATTTGAAATTATGAAAAGATAAATTAATGATAGAAATAAGTATCGAAGAAAATTTCCTAATGCTTGAAAGATATAAAAAAAAGTGAATTTGGTTTAGGATCGATTCAATATCCGACAAAGAGATTTGATTTTTTTTAAAAAAAAAGCATAGAAATGAAAATATAAGAAAACGAAACTCAAACTTTAATTGCTAAAAAAATTAAATTATACATTTAAAAAAAATGTTAATTTTTTGCTAATTGTTATTATATATACATTGAAATTATGTAGATTTAATCGAGCCGGTTTAGTAAAAAAGAAGGACACACCATAAAAATAATAATAGACAAAAGTTTTTGAATTATCTTCTTTAAAACGTGTGATGTACAGCTGTTTTAAAAAAACAGATGATAAACAAATTATTAAAGCCGTTTTTAAATAGCTTATTTTAACACTTTTCAATCCGTAAGCTCTTGTCCACGAGAGCTTTTTCATATCAATGCATGTTTATTACATATTTGAATTGAGATTTAAACATTTTATGTAGTTATTTAAATATCTTAGCACTTCACAAGTATTTACCTTTTTTGATTTAGAGAAATAGACAGAACATAATGATGTGGATAAATTACATTTAACTACACAAAAAAAAAATACTTTTTTAAAATGCATTATTAGCAATAAGGAAAAGTTTATTCAATGAATTTGGAGAATAAATAATAGCATGTGATATAATCGTAATTTTTTACTTTTGAGATAATTTTCGTGAAATTTCATTACGAAAGAGTTTCTTTGTTCTTCTAATATTCATTGGTCTTTTCGAAACAATTCAATTGTGGGCTCTAAACTGAAAGAATTATTTTAAAAAATTTCAGATTGAAAATATTTAAAATTTTATTTCAAATGCAAAATATTTTTTTATTTCGATATTTGGATGTTGCTACAGAACTCTATATTTTTTTGAAGTTTGTGTTCTTCCTTGATATTTTTTATTTCAAAAGATGCACAAATGTCATCTAATTTCTTATTGTGTTAAGAAATCTTTGAAAATATAAACATTACCGTTTTAAAGTCCGAAAAAATTAAAAGCGAACAAAGTTAAATAGAAGTGATGTGAAGCTTTCATAATGTTATAGTTGAAAATGCAAAAAAAAATGGTTGAGGAAAGCTTTTTCGCATGAAGCTGATAATGATAAATTGTTAAGTTTTTTATTCTTCATCTTTATGTAGTGCGACAAATGTATTGAAGTAAATAAAAAAAAATGCAATATAAGATTTAACTTGAAAATGCAAGAATTAAAAAATTTTGAAAAATTTAAAATGTAAAAGCTATCTAATCTTCTCTTATTGTATTTTTGGTGCAAAAAGAACAGTTCTATGTGTGAATAGTCATTTACTACATACTTGATGAATTACTACTATTATTCTAGTACTGTGCAAATGAATAATCAAGATTTAATAATATAAAATGAAATTAAATTATGCTCGATTTAAAACTTAATTTTTAATACATACTTAATTATAAAAATACTAAATACAACAAATTAAACTATTTTTGCTCCATTTAGTATTTTTCGCTGATTCTTTTTATTTAATGTCTTTAATAATTGTATATAAACAAACTACAAACATATTTCAATTCATAACTTGTAAGATTCATCAAAATTTGACAGTTTTGTTCAGTTATCATCAATAATTAATATATTTTATGCAAAATTATAAAAAAATATATAATAAAATAAAAAAAGTATCAAAAAAAAAATTCAATTGATTTTATTTTTAGACTTATTTTTCAGCTGTTCAGTTGTCAGCATGATGATTTACATATTTTTGGTGGTATGAATTGTTATAAAAAGGAAAATTTAAAAAAAACTCTTTAATTTTCTTAAATCATTTATTTTGAGGAATTAAAAAGTGAATCATTATTATTTTAAAATACCACGATTTTTCAAGTTGAAAACTTAATTTAAAAAAAATTAATAAAGCGAGTAAGGCCAAAATTTCTAATAACACTTATGATGATGGAGTTGAATGAAATTGAACCAAAATAATTTGATATGATACAATTCCAGTGGTAATGCTTGCTAATAACGCCAAATTAATATTATAGAACCCATACGCTGTAAACATAATGGGCTGCTGACACAACTGCATATAAAATTTATGAATAAATTCTCTAGATTCCTCTTTTAAACCTTCATAGTTTTCACATTCTATTTTGCTAAGAGCTGTCGCGAGTTTCGACATCTAAGAAAAATAATTTTATAGAATTTTCATTATAAATTCGACAGTAAGTCTTACTATTTTCTGAGTATTTTGACAAGCAATCACGATAATACACAAAACTGTTTGTCCAAGAACAAGAAAATAAACTGTTTCTGTAATGTAAGTAAATAGTCATGGGTATAAAGTAAACCAATTTAAAGTGAACTTACCTGGAATTTTTTTCTGTTCTTTTCCATCAACTAAAAGTACGAAAATCACATATCCTGATGAAGTTATTGAAATAACGAGAACAATGAGTAAATTTAAAATTGTTAATCCCATGCTATCATTTACTAAGCTTGCATTTTCGTATAACATGTTGTAAACTTTTTTTGCATTTATTAATTTTCTAGACACAATACTAGGAGAATATAGCTTTTTTGGTGACATTACACTGTCATCGCAATCAGCACCGATCTTGAATGGTTGTGACTTAAAAATATTAACAATTATTTTCTTCAATGACTCTAACTGATAGTTAACGATGACAACATAAAATGTGAATTTGTAAATTGTTGTCAATAAAAAAATTACAGGAAATATAGCAACTGCTAACAAATAGGTTCTATCACTCTCAGACTGGACAAATAATACAGAGTGTATTAGACAGAAAAAAGAAATTATTCCAACTAGAATAAATTTTGAAACTCTGCAAACTTTTTTGAAATCAATAAACATCTTGAATTCCACAAACATTACTTCCAAGATCAATTCGACATTTTTATAAAACTGCTTTATTTTCTTTGTAGCAAAAAAGGATTGAGTAGTACTTGTGATTATGACAAAAATCATTCCGAACTTCATTGAATTCTGTACAGCATAGGTTGTGATTTTTTGATCTAAGAATTGTTTCAACATTTCTTCATAATCTAATAATATATATAAAGCAGCAAAACATAGAATAAGCGATAAAATAATAATAAAATACACTCCTCGAATTAATGAAGGGCGTCCAGAAGATTCATCGTCACCAAATGCTTCGAGAGAAAAATATTGAAGGCCCATAAACTCAAACAAAAATCCAAAATTTCTTAACGTTCCCACAAATTTGCTATACTTTGTTTTGCTCATTTTTAACGAAAGTTTTTGATCTTATGCTTACAAATGATCGACTAGAAATGAAAAATAAAAATAGTTTTTGTGACAGTTTTTTTGAAATTAAAAAACAGTATGAATGAGCACTTTTAGAGTGTGGTTGTAATTTCTTTCAATTAATTAATATTTCCATCGTGAACCTAATTTGAATAATGCATTGCACTATTCATACATGCTCCTTGAATATGCAAAAACACTTCACATGATTAATACGAAGTAAAAAATTTGAAAAAGCTTTTTCTGGTTCTTGTCTTCACTCCATTTGTTAGCAAATTTCATTAATTATGAATGTTAATGCATCGTTACATGGGCTCCAGTGTATTTTTATGACACGTGTTTTGTTTTAAAAATGTATAAAAAAAATTATTTTTTCAGTAAAAACAATACGGATAAAGCTATTTTTATCCATACACACACTTTAGAATATAATTGAAAATTTATTGAATAAAATATAAATTTTTTGTATAGATCCGTTCACAATCTCGTTAGAAATTTTGTTTCCTTTGTTTGAGCTGTTATAAAATTTGAGACCCCCCTCCCCCTAAAAAGTGAACATAATTAATAAACTGGGCCATTTCACATTTAAGTTAAATCTTATTTTTAAAACATTTTTGTAATAAAATACAGACATTTAATCCTTAAGCAGTGTTGCAAATGTAGATGTCTACACTAGATGAAGAATGTAGATTCTTCAATAGTTTTTGTCTAGCTAAGAAACTTTCTTCTTAAAGATCGATTCTATATGAAGATAGAAAATCTAATCTACACAAAGATTATTTCTACATAAAGATTCGATGTAGATGTCTACAATTCTACATTTTTTCCAGGTCTACATCAGAGAAGAATGTAGAATTGTAGACATCTACATCGAATCTTTATGTAGACAGATTCTTTATGTAGAAATAATCTTTGTGTAGATTAGATTTTCTATCTTCATGTAGAATCGATCTTTATGAAGAAATTTCTGCCTCAGAATTTATCTGATCTAGACAAATGGCCAGAATGCAACACTGTCCTTAAGCTTTAAAACCTTTTCACCTGAATAAATATCTATTTTAAGCGAGACAACATAAAAAGACCTTGTTCAAAATAAAACTCATTTTAAATTGGAACATTTTTGATATTTCATAGAGACGCAATAGCTTAATATTTTTAAAATCAAAATGTATTAGTTTATGCATTTGAAAAATTTAAGAAATTAAAAATTTTGGATTTAAATTGGTCAAATGTCATATAAGAGAGAAATTTTTGAGGCTCTTTAAATGTCTTCTTCAGATCATTTTCTATATTCTCTGCTCAATTTATCACGTTCACTTCTCTCACTATCGTTTAATTATTTATATATAAAGGTTTCCAATTTATACAGTATGAACAATACCAGTTGTTAAAAATTAGTTTAAATTAAGGCTTTGAAGCGTTGATATTAAATTCTCGGAAGCTCGATTTTATCATTTTAACAAAAATAAAAAAAAAATAAAATAAAATTTAAAAGAAAATGATTGAATAAAACTTTGAAGTCAAAATAAGGTGCGTTAAGAATTTTAAAGTTTTTTTTTTAATTTTATGTAGCCTGATGAAAATAAGGTGCGGTAATAAATTTAAAAAAAAAACTTTTGGAGGCAAAAAAAGTCATAATACAGAATTAAGTTAATAATTCTTACATAGTCTACATCTCTTTCTAAACTCTTATGCAAGGCACTTAAAATTATGAAATTTAGCTAGACACGAAATTTAAAATCGTGACTACAATGCATTTGTGCAAGCAAATACAAAAATTGAATTTTCATTATACTGTCTCAAAGTAATTAATATGCCGCAAATTACTAATAGTAAGTTTTTAAGAACTTATATAAAGGCATGAAAAATTTCATTTAACTTTTCAAAATGAAACAGAACATTACTGTCCAAATTAATTTTCAAATGATTTTATTTAAATGTCCAACAAGTGAGTTAAAAAAGCAAAACATAAATTTGTTAAAAAATAATAATATTTCGTTGGCAAGTTTAATCATTTAACGCAATTTAATCAATCAATACACTGTAAAATGCAGATACATACAATAAGAATTTTAGTTCTTACGTGTCCTTTTTCGCTTGTCGTAAATGTGTTCGATTAAAGTATTTGTTGTTGCTTAAAAAAGTTCTAAGATTCACTTTTCTTATAAAGTATTAACACATGTGAAAAATACAATGAGTTCACTTATTGTTTCACATAATTTGTTATATTCTGAATCAGTAAAATCAGATTTAAACGAATAAAAAAAGTGTTTTCAAAGGAAACTTTTTTGACCAAATTAAAGTTGAACATTTGGAAAAATCTTCAAGAGCTATTAAGGTTTGTGCTATCAAATTTTAAATATTAAATTCTTAAGCAAAATTCTGTTTTTATTTTAAATTTGCAAAAAGATAAAGATCTGTACTGCAAATCTTCTTTCTCATATTCTAATTCTGTAATGAAATTCGGTGTTCGTTTACTCATTTCTTCAAATTAGTCACACACAAAGTTTTTAATATTATCTCTTGTATCACATTTTTGTTGATGATCATGTTTCGTTTTGTTTATAGATGAAGAGTTTTATATTTTAAGTGCTCTACAGTATAAAATTAAATGATAAAAAAACAGCTTAGTTTTTATTTTTTGCGCAAATAAAAAGGACTTTTTTTCGGGAATTAAAATTCATAATATCATATCATAAATGTTTATGACTTTTTTTAAAAGATTCAATATTTTTGTTGAAAAATAAAAAAAAAGTTAATCTATTTGTGCCATCCGTGAGTTAAATGCGCTAATGACATTTTATATTAAATGTCAGTTTTTTATTTCTTTTTTCAATTATATTCGATACACACACATCATTTTTCAAGCATGTGTAGTAGAAGTGAGAATTCCTCTTCATAGTGTTTACAATATTAACGTGGCTTTTAGCCTATGGCTCGACTCCCTTTATTGCATACTCTAACCATTTTATATAGCGTGGGAATCACTGTGAATCATTCACATATGATTTTTAATGGGTAAAATAATGTCCTTTCATTTGTTAGTAGTATGTAAAACTTCAGTAAAAGTGGACATACATAAGAAAAAAAAGTTATGAGAGCAAAAGTTATCGGACTTATCATTATAATAATCAGATAAGTAAGATATGTTTTATTGTTTTAATTTAATTGAATAGAGTAATTAATGTTTCTAAAAATACAACAAATCACAAAATCTCATTAATAACTACATTCCAATACCGACTGTCAAGCAAATCCTTGTTGGTGTTTTCTTAAAACACATTTTTTATTTTTTCTTAGAAGCTCATTTCAATATGTATTTCAAAGAATGAAAAAATATTATGACTTTTAATAAAAATATAAACAGCCTGTGGCATTCCTATTCTCATTTTGTTTAAGTTTATTAATATGATTTTTAAGTTCTTCATCATTAAGAAAAGCAATCATATTTTAAAGAAATAAGAATATTATTTTAAACTTTTGTAGCTTTTGTAGCTTTAACATTTTTTAAAGCATCTGTAAAATTTTGTGTAGAGCAGCTCAGTACACATTGAATTATAACTCATAAATGAGGACTAAAGTTGATTGTGAACTGCCTTTTATACAATTTGCCTTTGTCACATTCGTAAGTCGCAATCACAATCGTATTATAAATTAATCTGGATGTTATTCGCTTTTATTGTGTCAGAATGGGAGACAAATGAATCGACAAAAATTGATAACGATAAGCCTTGAGTTGGCTAATATTAATCAGTAGATTTAATTATTTTTAAAATCATAAAAAAAATTGACACGTTTTAAGATTTCAACTTTTTTGAAAAAAAAATGACTTTCCACTTTGATACAAAAATGCTCTCACTATCAATGCATTATGCCTATCATATTTTTTTAAGAAGGATGTATGTTTTGAAATCCCTGGGTACTTACCTTTCCATCATTTCTATTAAATTATTTATTGCTTTTATCGCTTTAAATAAATAAACTTCAATTTATCTAATCTACACGATAATTTTGTCAAGCAACTTTTAAATTTATAATATGAAAATTCATCTGACTGTACTTTTGACTTAATATTAATTTACTTTAAAATATATTCAAGACTTTTTATTTTGCAATTAAAATTAAAGCTTTTTTTTGGAAATATAAGGACATATTGTTAAAAAAAATTTTTAAGGTACATCCTGCATAATCAGATATAACTCTTTAAGTCATGAAAAAATATTGATGACTATTTAATTAAAAAAATGCGTTAAAGCAGCACAAATTAGATCAAAGCTGCTTACTTGCTCGTTTTCATACATACGAAAAAATTTCTATGGATTACTAGCCTTATCACTCTGCACTTACAGAGAGTACTTGAGATCTTTAGAGGGAGTATTAAAGAGTGTGACTGAGTGCGGGCGCGTTCAGTATAGAAGAGAAATTCATTTGTGTCGTATAGAGACTTGAGTATTGTTTTACATAAATTCATTTAAATACAATCATATTTTATTTATTTTAAATTGAGTCAGAAATTTTATCATTCAAAATTAATTTTTGTTTCTCATTTACGAGTCATTTTAGTTTAAAAAAAATTCGCAACAGACAAAAAAAAAAGATTCGAGAAAAAGATGAAAATAAAAATTGTGTTATATTGTGTGGTTTTTTTGTTATCACTTAACAATTATGCAAACATTTTAAATGAAATTCAATACACTGTCATAATCTAAAAGTCTCATGGATGAACTCGAAAATAGATCAAAAGTGAATAGATTTAGAAAATTCATCAAGAAAAGTGAAATCTGTCTTATATTAAAATATTTATATTTGATTGTATAATCGCGATAATAAATTTACTATGAGAATTATATTTTACGGAAAACGAAATTTTTGATTGATAAGCCAAAGAGAGGAAAAACGGATGATAACGCAATCTTATCAGTCTTAAAATAACAGAAGAGAGAAGAAGCTTTTAATGTGTTAGTGAACATATGTCGATTAACGTCTATTCAGAAAAAAAATATTCATCGTTCTGATGACGATCTAGTGCTATTTTCTGATATTTGTTTATATCGCTAAATGTGAAAAATATAAGAGTACAATAATATAAACTATACGAATGAGATTTTTGATTGAAATTGAAAAAGAGAAAGAATACAAAAATGAGTGACGAAAAAGTTGAAGAGATATGTGAATCACTAAATAATGTGATTAATACCTCAACAATAATAACAACTTCAACGGTCAATAAAAATTTTTCTACTTCAGTACAATCAACTAGTGAAATGTCATGTAGTGTTGTATCAAAGGATACTTTACTCAAAACCTTATTATCTACCTCCATAGCTTTATCATCTTCAGTAATTGCACCACTGTCAACAGGAATATCAACAACAGTTCCTTTAGAAAGTATGATAACAAAAGAAGTAAATGATACTCAACTTAATCTAAAGAAAATTTTATATGAGCCTGAAAACGAATCACTCAAAGACAAAGATCAGGAATCGTCTGTGCAGAGTGTTTCCCAAAAGAACTTTGCGGATACACAAATGATAGATGATGACGATCGCCTTGTGATAGACATATCTGATGAAGAAATTGAAGGTCAAAAGAAAAAGAAAAAAAATAAGGCAAAATCTATGCCAATATTAGATTTTGGGATCGAAGGAAATAAATACACAAGTAAGTGAATATAAAGTTAATTTGTCGGTCATGAATACTCAAAAATTAAAAAAAAAACTGCCCAAAACAAAGTTCTGTACTTATTTTATTGACTCAGATGCTTCAGTTTATTATTAAAAATGTTCTTATTTACCTTTTTACGGTATACATACAAGTAATTTTTGAATACACTTTACTTTTTAACAATTTGTTTCTTTATAGACCGTATGCCTAAATCAATTACGTACAGTGTTGAAACGACTGGAATTAGTAGTAGCTGTGTAAAAATTGATATTCTTACGTCAACAGGATCATTTTTTAATTCAGATTCTGTTGAAATATCCAAATTAGCAACATCTATATCAAAACATGCAAATATTTCTTTAAACGATGAGCTCAATATATTAAGTCATGAAATCGACAAGCAAATGAATAAGAAGACTATGGAGATCTTAGAATTGGTTAAGGAGTATTTAGGAAATGAGTTAAGTGAAGTTGAATTTCACAGCAAAATGAATGATATTGGAAATGTTTCAGTAAGTGATCTCTCAACAATAGCTAAGAAATTGATAAAAAGACAAAAGTTTGAAGCAAATCCAAACCAGAAAGAATTTATGAGAATGAAATTTCTTCAATTTCCCACAAGTTCAAAAGATTTAGGTAAGTGAAATAGCAAACAGCTAATTTGTATAAATAACTGTCAATGCTAATTCCTTTTTATTTTTTTACAGTAAATTATTTTAAGAATCTTATTCCATCAATGAATAAGGATAGGTTCGTGAATATGATTAAGTTTTACGAAATAATAATCAAGGAAATGTTCAATTTAAATAAAACAAAAATTCTTCAGTACCTTATTGATTTCATGATCAAGAGAAAGAATGCTCAATTAGATTTGTTAAATTTTAATTATGAAACAAATAGTTCACCCAATTTAAAACAAAAAGTTTCATCGACATTTGAAATGGCTGATTCTACACAAAGTATAAAATCAGAAAGAAAAATAGCAAAATTGCATGATACAAGCTACAATTTTGTCATAAGATCAGATCCTATTTATCTTACGGCTGGTTCTACTTTCATGACAAATCATCGGGATGTTATCAAGTGCCGCTCATCTCCTTGTGTTCAAAATAATATTTTTGAGAAAAGACCATTTGATAATAATATTCTAAAAGGACGTAGAATTGGTCGACGGATTATGAATGAAATTAATGAAGGAGACATAAAAATCCAAAATTTAATTGAAGTTAATAAGCAACTTGACTCTCCATCAGCTGAGATAAAATCTCAAATTAAAAGTATTCCTGGACTACCAGTGTTGTTATCAAATGTAAGTTCATTAGAAGAACAGTTGTTAAAACCACAGTTTGAAAGTGAATTACTTTCAATATCGAAGTTCTCGAAAGCAGATTCTTCTTCTCCAATATTGGTCGATACACCATCATCATCTCCACCCATTCATAAGATCATCAAACCACAAATAATATCACAACAAATTCTACAAAGAGCTTTCAGTGAAAGAATTACTGATGCGTCAGATAGAGAACAAAAGAAAACTTTGGAAAAGTTTCCAATTTCAAATTTTAAATCATCAATATCTATTCAAAATAACGTCTTCGCAAGTCGTCAATCATTTGAGCAACAATTGGGAGGATCTAATTCGGTAACAAACAATCGTGAACCAATAAGTAATGGACAGCTATCAATGAATGAAATTAAAACACTTAATCAAAATGGAACCGAAATTATCCCTACACCAATATTGCGCAACACAATTACAACTCGTCGTAAAACTATTGATGCTGATCATGCATCCATTGTAAAAACTCCTTTAGAAGTAAGAAAAGTTCAATCGTTTCCAAATGAAATAATGAACTCACCATCTTCTTTACCAACAACAAAGACTAGTTTAAGTTTTTTATATGAGCAGTCACAATTAAATAAGCAGGCATCTAAAATTTTAAAGAGACGACAAAGCTGTCATGAAAGAATTTTTGCTCCCAAACCATCAAATACAAGCAATATTGAAAGACATTTTATGAATTTTATGAATGGTGAATATGAATCAAAAAAGCGAGAAGCTGAACTGAAACGTATGCCAAATTTGGCATTAAATGATGCAAAAGCATTACAGTTTCATCATAAACATCAGGATATTCAAAAACCAACACCACCACTCTACACACAGCAAAAACGTGTGAGATTTATTAGCGATAACTCTTCTGAGCTGCCTCAGAGAAGTCCTCAAACAGAAAGAACACAACTCACTCCGAATTCTCAAAAAGCACATCAATCAGAGAATCTTTCACCTCGCGCATTATTTCGTGAATCTTTACAAAATACTTTGATGCATCCACCATTAAAGCCATATCAATCACCGATTGACTATCAACGTTATCAGTTATATTTTGAACGTGAGTTACGGGAAAGAGGTTTTGTTGATCGCGTTGAAAATTTACAGGATAGAGATGCAAATCTAATATCTATAAATCGTCCATTGGAGTTGGTTTCACATGTGCCACCTGAACATTATCTTCAACATTCAGAACCAACACAATCCAATGCATTCACTAGTCCGAAACTTACAAGACCTTCAGATAAATCTCCAAGAATGCACCAACGTACACCCATCATGACAAATGACGAAAAAGCAACACTTGTGGCATATAATCAATTACAGAGTTTGCATCGTGATCCATCAAATTTAACAGCTCAACAATATTCTGAGCATTTAAAACAGATTCATCAATTTAAACATATGCAAAAAACATCATTAAATTCTTCGCAAGGATTTTATCAAGATCATCCAAATCAACTATTGGAAACGAGAGATAAATCGTACAAAAATCTCCAACAGTCCATAAATCAGCAACCAGAAAACACAACTTCTCCAAGATTCTTTTCTTCACAAATACATGATGTGTCTAATGATAAAGAACAACAAACATTGCAAAGAAAATTAAAATTAAAAGCAAAGTCTACAAAGTATGTGGAGCCAAGTCAATTATCAAAAGCCTATCAAACTACACCGCGTTCAACTTATTATACTGATCCTTATACAATGACAGCACATAAAAAACCTCCTACGCCTACTGTTTATAATCATTCGCAAGATAGACCTATAGAGCAACATTCGCAAGAACAATTATCTGCATTTTATAATATGAGAAACGAAAGCTCAATGAATTCACAATTACAATATCAATGGATGCTTGCTCAACATCATCAACAACAGCAGCAACATCAGCAACAGCATCTAAACTTAATAAATCAACCGGCTCGTCCTATACCTCGTCCAGCAATTCCTTCTCCATTCAATGATGCAAAATTAAATGGAATTCCTGCAAATCACAATATGTTTTCTCATAACCCATTGCAAACATTTTCAAACCAACAGTCTGATTTTTATCGACGCTATTTCCCAAAGAGTTTCTAAAGACTGTTATTGTAATCTTTTGCATTTTATTTTTTATAGTTTTGTATGTAAATTTAATTTTCTAATTAATTAAGAAATATCACTTAAAGAATTTGTCTTACATGTGATAAGATTTAAGCCAAAATATGTTCTTAAAATAAAAATAATAAATTTTCCTATCTTTTTGAATTTGCACTTTTCGAAGAATGACTTCTCTGTTCAATCTACTCAAATCATATTTTTCCAATAGATTCTATAGAAGCAATGCTTACGAATTTTTTTTTAATCTCCAATCAACAAATTCCAAAAAATATTATCTATCGATTCCAGAGAAATGTATGTTCACAACAGGAGTTTAGTTCAAGAAGGAAAGGTTCATATCTTCATAGAAGCCTAACAACTTTAACATAAAACTGAAGTCGATGATTAAATAAACTAGTGTATCGGGTAGAATCTTAATGCTGAGATATTCACACCGTTTTATGGAAAGTTTCGTCGATAGAATAAGCTTCGCTCAGCATATGTTTGAAGATTTAAAGCTAAATGGATTTACCAAATGTTGTAAATGTTGATATGAAAAATCTTAAAAAATGGATGTTTTTTACTTTTTCTGAAATAACGGCTATTCCTACCTCTCCAAAAAACAATACGCCTCTTTTATAAGAAATCTAACAGTGAAACTGCATCTCAATTAACAACGTTTTCTGTTGTTTTGCAAGTTAACAAGATTAAGTTATTCGGTTCGATAATGACTCGATTTGAACTCAATCTTAAGATTTACGTTTTGCTTAATTCATTAGCCTGTGATTTTTGAATACCTTTGGCTCATTTGCATGAATCGATTAGAAAAACTGTACGCTTTTAAAATCAACGATGAACATGAAAAAACTATGTTTAGAATTTATCTTCAAATTTTGCTTACCTTTAGATACGTTATTTCATTAAACTGAACACATAGATTAAATATGAAAAAGGAAGGTGTTAAGAATTTTTTTTTATCGTGCATTGATAACGATAAAATTGATAAGAGATAGTAAAGCTAGACCTGATAAGAAGGGAAAAAGTATTTATAAAAACATCAGTTGTGCTTAAAATTTGAAGTAAAACCGTCGTTTGTCTTTTTGTTGAAGCAATTTATTTTTTTTATAGAAATACGATTGCATTTTAGAAAATTTACTCAAATTTTCATTAGAAATAAAATATTATGGTGAAAAAAGTGAGCATATTTTGCTATTTATTTATAAACTGCTTTGAATAGTCCAAAAAATAGTTCAGACATATACGGCGTATTCGTTTTTTTTATCTTTCAGTTTTTTGTATGTTATGTGTTTTTGTTCGTGTCATTTCTTTCACTTGCAAAAGTGGTGACAGCTGAATCTGATGATAACAAATATGAGTCAGAGAATGAAATATGTGAAAAATGCAATTGCACAGATATTAATAAAGAGAATGAAACTAAAGAGATTTTTACCATCGATTGCTCAATGAAAACTCTTGAAAATACATTTTCGGAATGGCCAAAGGATTTAGATGATAGTTATAAAGGTAATCAAATTAATCATTAGGAAATATTAAGTTGGTTTAAAACTTTTTTATTTTTTCGGCAAAACAGAAATAATTTATATAATGTCATTCAATACAATAAATAAGCTGTCACAGTTTCCTTCTACGGACGCAACAATTTTTTTTACATGCAAGAATTGCAAGTTGTCAGAAATAGCAGTCAATGCATTTATTGACGTTAAAAATATTGTGTCCATAGACTTATCATTCAATGAAATTACTGGAGATTCATTGCATCCTGACATATTTAGAGGACCTCACTCTGATACAGATAATTCACCAATAAATTTGCAGATGCTTGACTTGAGTCACAATGACATCAGTTACCTTGACGAAAAATTATTTGAGCACACTCCAAATTTAAAGAAGATTGTTTTAAGCCATAATCAGCTGAAAAACATTGCTGATGGTACTCTCCAAGCTTTATCTTCATGTCAGTATTTAGAGGTAAAAACCGTAAAAACTACTTAATTTTTTTTTGTTTAAAATTGTATCTTTAAATTGAAATTTGTTAACAGATATTACATTTGGAACATACTGGAATTTCAGATCTTCCTTCTGAACTATTTCAAAACATGAAACATTTATCAGAAATTATTTTAAATGACAATCAATTTTTGGAAGTTCCAGCAAGTTTGTCAATTATTGGATCAAGTCTAGAAGATCTTCAATTCAATAAAAATCCTATTGAAGTGATTAATTCTCAAAGCTTTAATGGATTAGAAAAATTGCAAAAATTAAGCATCAATTTTATGGACAATTTGAAATCTATTGAGAAGAAAAGCTTTCATAATCTTAATATGTTGGAAGTACTTCATTGTAGTGAAAACAAAAAATTAACGGATATGGACTTGGAAGATTTACTCAATTTGATTAATTTAAAAGACTTGGATCTTTCAAATAATCAATTAAAAACATTAAGTTTCGGTGAACTGATTGAAATTGAAAAGACAGAAAATTCTACGGAAGTAAGAGAGTATTTTAAAAAGTTGCACAATTTGAAGCTGTCAGGAAATCCATGGCATTGTGATTGTAGTATGATTAAAGCTCTAGAATTTTTCAATCATAATTCAACTTACTTTAACAAGGCTAAAAAATCAGACGATTCAGATGCTAGATGCAAGAGTCCAACAGAAATGTCTTCAAAACTTCTTTATATCTTACCATTCGACTTTGTGTGTGCATCAGATTACAAGTCAAAACCATTAAAAATTCCCGTTTATGATCCTCCACAGTTTCTCCGTCCAAAATCAATCATGTTGACGGTTGTCTCAATTGTAATTGTCTTAGTTCTTGGTGTCATAATAGGAATTTTGATTGTTTGTGTCTCAAGACGTTTGAAATCAAACAATGATATAACTTCTAATCCAATTCGTTATTCGGCTGTAAGAAATTCAACAATTTCAAATGCCGTCAATGTTCCTTATCAGCAACCGTAACACATAAATTAATACAAGTTTATGATTTTATTACTTGATCTAGTATTACTTACAAAGTAGTTGTATACAAAATAGGCTTATCATTAATTATTTGGCAGTGAATTTAATATTATGTCTATTTTAAGATCACTAAATTGTGCAGTATAATCATAAGCATCAGAAACAATAGATATTTTGTAGTTTTGAATAGTCTTAAAAAGTACAATTTTTATGTGATCTAGTGCAAAATCCATACAGAAGCACGATCGCGAACCAAATCCAAATGATAAAATCGGCTCATTTCTTTTGCAATATCTGTCAATATCAAAAGCTAATGGATCAGGAAAATATTTATAGTCATTGTTCATATGTATTATAGGTACTTTAATAAAATCTCCTGAATAAAATTTTAGTTTTTCTCCATTTTTAGTTTCAACTGTGCAATTTTGATTACAAACTCGATTAATATTATTAATAAGAGGCCATTTCCTTAAAGTCTCCAAAATAAAAAAATGTAATAATTTAGAATCGCGATATTGTTCAAAACAAATAAAAGATTTCCTTAATTCAACTTGAATGCTTTCATTTATTCCTAATTCATAGCAACATGCTTGAAATAATTTTGATGTCAGAAAAAAACCGTCAATAAAAAACGCAAAAACTTGAAGAATTATTTCATCGTGCTCATTTGAAGAAATTTCTTTGTTTTTCAGTATAAAGTCAAGCAGCCCAATCTTATCTTTATCACATGTATAATTCATTTCATTGTTTGCATAATCTTTAAAAGATTCATATGCTGAAGAGTTTATTAGCTTAATATGGAACAGTTTAGAGATCCTTGGAAAATAGGTCAAGAAAATAATTTTTGTTTTTCCACTAAGAGATGTCATATCGTGTTCAACCTGTTTCATAATTTTCAATAAAAAAACTTTATCTTCATTTTTTGGCGATTTACTTCCGAATATTATATCACAGTACATGTTGACTAGAAAAATATGAAAATGTAACATAATACTGTTATTTTTAATTGCTGCATTATCTTCTTCGTTTAAGTGCTCTTTTAGTGATTCTGAGTTTAAAATATTTTGATCATTATGAAAACTTTTAAAATTTTCATTTGAGAAGTAATTTATCCTGAAAAGAAGATTATTCGTTAGAAAATCATTATTAAAGGATCTATTCATGAATGACGTCTTTCTTAAAATGTTGACACATGTTGTATTTTTTTCAACGGAATACTAAATAATCTAGTATAAATACTAGACGTCATGGATGAATGACCCTCATGTAATTAAACAATAATACATCAAGTTTCTCATACGCTTCCGGTTTTCACCTCTTTGGTTGAATAATGACTTGTTTAACACATGATCGATTTCATAAAAGTCACGATCTCTAAAATTATCATGATAATCAATGGTAATTTGCTTTGCCAAGTTAAGATCTTTGACTATAATTGTTGGACGAAGGAAGTTGTAGATGCCGAAAACCCTTTCAAACAAATTTCAAATACAGTTTTAAAAGACAAGACAAGAAAATGTATGCAAAATACTTACTTCTCGGTTTTGAAGTAATTATAAATCGAAAGTATTAATTTTTCTTGATGTTCTAATTCAAATAATGCACTATAAAAGTTTCCAAAAAATAATGTTGGCTTGATGTAGGCAATTCCTCTTAGTTTAAAAACGTTATGATTTTTGGTGGTTACCAACCAACCAACCAAACAAATAAATGAAACTATAAACAAGACTATTCCAAATTGAACCTCCAACATCGTCAGCTACTATCACATGACTGTATACAAAATATATCAGATACAAACGCCTCAATTTACTTTAATGAGTTTAATTGGATACATACATGCATTATATTCGTTGTCAAATTTATTTCAATTGTATTTGTTTAACATAATTCAGAATCATGCCTATTTATTTATTTGAGAACTAACTGTCATTCTATTTGATGTGTAAAAAAAATAAAAATAACGGAAAATATAAATTTAAGTTGATGTGTTTATATGTAAAGTTACTTTTGATATGTAAATTTAAAGGCATTGAAATCATATTTTTTGTTTCATCGAAAATGGTTAAATTAAACGTACTTAAAAGCCAAATTGCATGTGAAATCACTCAAAAGGACGTAAGTAAAAGGATACATTTGAAGTATTCACTAATCACATTAATATTAACTTAAAATTTTGGTTTTAAAAAACTAGGAGCTTCAAAAAAATTTAATTGTGCAAATATTGTGTTCCAAACGTTTGTTAAGTGATCATTTGGAGAATTTAGAGGAAGTTGTTAATGATTTTATTGTCGAAGAGACAACAAAGTCAAATTATTTTACTTTTTTGTCAACATCCAGCGCTGTTCTATCTTCATATGGCATTTTTCACTATCTCAACAACAAGTAAGAATTATCTACATTAACGAATAAGTTTATTACAAAATTTTAAATGCGTTTATATATTACAGTATTCGCTACTTGATTCCATGTCTTACCGGCGCAATTCCTATCATATATTTGCATAAACAGATGAACATAAAACAACGTATATTTTATGAAACTCAGATGAAAGATTTTATCAAATCTTTGGATGACTTTGAGTTCTCCGTAAAAAAAGCAACAAACTATATCAATGATGCTCAGTTTTTAAAGGCACAGGCAGATAATTTGAAACGGGTTAATAAGAGTCTAAATATTACAATTGATATTTTAAACCTTACAAAACGTGTGGTTCGAGCTTTATACTGCTTCCTCAAATATCTCGAATATTGCTACAAGATTGATGATAAATATCATTATTTCTACCAAGATATTGATGATGTTGACAATTGCAAATTATTGACTACAGATTTTGAAGAAGAAGAAAATGATCCTCATACTTTGCTCAAGAACATGTTTGGCTTATTTGCTTATGTTCAAAGTCATTTGTTGCTGCGCATTGGATTTATTTTTGCAACAAATCTTCAGGAAGGTAAATTTATTATAGCAAAGAAACTCTGTGATATTACTAGCAAGATTAAGCACCAAACGACTCTTCTTCCAAGTTTTCTTTTATTGCAAAAGGAAGAATCTGATTTACAAAATAATATCCAGAAATTGGTTGACACTGAAATGAACAAGGCTATATCAAAAGAACTAGTACACATTCGATCATCTACAGTTGATTTTACATTGAAAGTTTTATCATTGGTTTTAAACTTGAAAGACTATCAGGAAATGTTGATTCAATTAACAAACAATTATCAAAACTCGAATAAGGCTGAAATGGATGATGTGATGAAGTTATTAGAAGCAATTGGCTCTAAATTATCAGATTGCTCGGATGAACAGAATCGCATGTTGATTTTGATGAAGAAGTATTTGAATAAAGATACTGAAGAAGTCAAAATTATCGCAAAGGAAATTGAAAATGCAGAAAACGAAGAAAAGCCATTAAAAATTGCAGACGAAAATCCTGAACAAAGCGATGACTTCTTTTACGTAGATCCCGATAAAGAAAATTTTGGAGATGATATCGAAAATGAAAAGGAGGAATCTGATGTGGCTGCTGATGATTTAGAAGAGGAAGACTTACAAGTTAAGATTACTAAAAAGTGCTTTAAGCCAGTCTTGGCCCAATTAAAGGAACGTATTGTAACAATCGATGCAAACATGAAAGTACGTGAAAAGAAAGTTCTGAAAGAGAAAGGCATTGAAATTATTGAGGAACCTGAAAACAAACTGGATCTAGCTGATTATGATTCGGACGTTGATTCTGATTGGAAACGCCAGCAAAAGTTTGAACGCAGTCGCCAAAAGTATGATCAAAATCGAGAATTTCTGCAAGCTAAAGGTCCAATCAATTTACTTTCACCAGGAAAGTTCCCAGTTATGAACAGTTTCTTAAGTTTGCAAGAAGAAATATTAGAATAATTAGGTACCTCCTATGTAGTCAAAAGTGATCTGCATATTATTTTATTACACATTTGGAAAATTGAAGCTTTAAATTGAAAAATATAAAATCGAAGTTAATATAATAAAGAAAGCATGGAAGATTAATTTAGAAATATTTAAACTTAATTGAAAGCATAAACTCGCTTATTCTCTCTTTCCGGTAAGAGCATTGCATTTAAAAATATACGCAAGTGTGTATGCACACTTTAACTGCATATAAAACATTAAAGAAACGAGTTGTGATGAATGTTAAATAAAATAATTTTTTTTTATCTTTTAAACTAAACCAAAATTAAGTCATAAGAAAAATGGAATTGGAAATAAAACTTGCTGCCTCGACACCCCTGATTTTCAATTGAAAAAAAAAATAATTTTAATAAACAGAATCTCATTTTTGAACTGCATTGTTAGTTTAAATAAGTTTTTACAGCAGATCAGATACTGGAAAAAATGGTTGAAGATATAATTGAACTATTTCGTGATGCTGATCCATTTAAGACATGGTGGCCATTTATAATTGCATTCTTAGTTTTTATAGTGATGACAATAAAGGCTTATATGGCAGGTCAAAATTGTCCAACTGAAATTACAATTAATGATTCAGTTGTTCTTGTAACTGGTGCTGATGGCGGTAATATTTAACTCTTAATTTAGAATTTAAAGATTAATGTATTAATTTTCAAAAGGTATTGGAAGAGAAATTGTCAAAGAATTGGCTAAACGTGGGGGTCATATTATCATGTGCTGTAAAAATTTTGATAATGGAGAGAACATAAAGAAGAATATAATGAAATGCTTACCAAAAGCACGTATTGATGTTCGTCAGCTTGATTTATGTTTATTTGAAAGTGTTACAAAATTGGTTAATTCAATTGGTAAAGTGATCGAGCATGTTAAATAGACACAGTGCATACATATGTTCCTCTTTATATTTCAGAAACGGATTACAGCAAAATTGATGTAATAATAAATAATGCTGGTGTTACTTTTCATCCATTTAAAAAAACTGCAGATGGATTCGAGACACATTTGCAACTGAATTACTTGAGCCATTTCTTATTGTCATATCTCTTGATCCCCATGCTAAAAAAATCCAATCAAGGACGTATTATAAACGTTGCAGCACATGCATACGCGACAGGAAAAATGAGTATTGATGATCCTTTATCAAACTTATCAACATTTCATCCACGAGATGCGTTTGCTCATTCAAAATTAGCAATTGTATTAAGCACAAAAATGTTGGCTAAACTTTTAAAATCAACACAAATTACTGTCAACTGCTTGACACCTGGTTTAGTCCGTGGAACCAATCACATGAGACAGTCACCAATCATGCGATCCTTTTCAGCAAAAATTTTAATGCTTCCTTGGATGTGGATTTTTATGAAAACACCTAATCTAGGTGCACAAACAGCTATTTATCTTGCTACTGATAATTCATTATCGACCGTTACTGGAGAATATTTTAAGTAAGTTTTTCAGTTAAGATCTATATTGTACATTCATCCAATGTAATTAGAACTCTTTATCATCGTTTGAACTTTTAGTGATTGTGAAAAGTCGGATGTAGTCGATATTGTAAAGGACGAAGAACTTGGAAATAAACTGTTAACCGAAACCTTGCGTGCTTTGAAACTCGATGGAGCTAACCTGAATAGTTCGATTGAAAAAATTAATGACTCAAAGAAAAAAGTTTAATTTAAGTGTAGTAAACAGCATGAGTAATATTCTTTTTAAATAAACATTTCTAAAATAAATGGCGTAAAGTCGGTGTGAATATACATGATTCTATCTTATTTTATTTTTTTATGTAGTTCTTGTTTGCACATGTTTATTTGTTCTGATAACTCTTAATTAAATATTGGTTTTACAAAGAGTGTTTTACAACCGTGATTCATGTAAGGAGCATCACCTTAGAATGGCGTGGTTTTCTGACGAAATTATTTTTTCCAGATACCATCACATGTAAAGGCTTATTTTTATGTATGTAATGTGTATATGTACTGCTGTGTTGGATTTAAGATAAGATAACCAACTTTCAATATCGTCGTAATTTACTGAATGTGTCAATTAGGTAATGATTTTAGTTGGTGTTATACCTTCAGTTCAATAGGACGGTTAATTTGTTAACGTACGTACGAAGAATTTAATTCACATCATAAGAAATGAAATTTCTTATCAATCTCGTGGTTATCATAGCAGTGACTAATGCGGGAACCTTAGCTGCAAATATTTTAGCAATTTTTCCCGCACCATCTTATTCACATACAATTGCGTCTAAAGTGCTAACTCAAGCTCTCGCAGAGCGTGGTCATTATGTTTATCTAATAACAACAGATCCCCGACCTATGAATCATCCAAACATTACTCAAATTGATTTGAGTTTTAGTTATAAAATGTGGGAGGATGGGTTCGATTTCGTGTGGTACAAGGAAAATAATATTGGAGTGGAAACCATGATAAATGCTTTTACGACAACAATCTATGATGTTTTAGTTAAACAGTTAAACTCCACCGGTGTTCAATACCTTATTAATCATCGTGACGAGTTAAAGTTTGATTTGGTAATCATTGAAGCAATGGGTACGCAATAACTTTACGTTATATCTCTTATCTACCATGATTAAAATCTTTTTTAATTCTATTTAGGCTTTTTGCCATACCATGCATTTGCTGATTTATTTGATGCACCATTAATTGGATTCAATTCATTTGATGCACCAATGGAAGTTCATTTAATGCAGGGCAATTTTGTGAATCCATTTGTGGTTAATGAGGCTGCATTATTTCCATATGTAAATCATCGCCTGTCATTCTTTGAACGCTGGAATGTGCTGAAAACTTTTGTAAAAATTATTTATACAATATCTATAAGACCTGATATATGGAATCGATATACTAGCCTAACACAAAGATTTTTTCCAATGATTGATGCTTCTCCACTAGAATTGCTTCACAAAATTGAATTTCTAATGGTTAATACACATCCGGCTTTAGGATTTTCACGACCGATGGTGCCAACAACTATTCAATTAGGTTTTATTCACATTCAAGATGCTAAACCCTTACCAACTGATTTACAAAAGTACATGGATAATTCTAAAAATGGTGTCATATATATGAGCTTAGGATCAAATGTGAAATCATCTAAACTCAATCCAAAGTTTGTAAAAATATTTCTTCGAGTATTTGAGTCACTTGACTACGATGTGATTTGGAAATGGGAGTCGAATGTAATGGAAAATCAACCAGACAACGTTTTAATCTCTAAGTGGCTTCCAGTGAGTTTCCTATTATTTTATCACATTTATTTTTTTTTATGCTTTATGAGTCTCTATAACATGCTTTCTCAAACGAATTGAAGGATCAAACTTACTGCTTGTAAATTCTTGGTCATTATTCATTTATAACACCTTTTTATTTATTACTTTTCCATTATCATAAGCAATAAAGTGTTTATATGTATTATGTACACTTTATAATACAAACACACTTGCGACCCATGCATTTATCTATAGTTTCTATAGTTCAAATTTCAACAACTAGACATTCATTTATTCAACTATTTTATTGTGTTCTTTAGTTCCCGAATGACTAATTTACAATAATATATTTTTTTGCTTGAAAAGGAGATTAAGAAGCACATGTGTTAAATAAGACGCACTTCTTTCAAGTTCTTTTTTTTTTATTCGAGAATAATCCTGATTATGGATCATCTTTATCATCATTTTAACTTTTCACGGTTGTTTGAGAATTTAAAAGTTTCAATGTATTATTGAGTAGGTTACCAAGGCATTATTAACTGATAAATGATAATTACTCACAAATTATTTTAAAAATAGAGCTATTAAGTTTCATATTTTGTGAAAATGTTTAAGAATCTTATAAAATGATTTTAAAACAATTCCATTTTTTTTATTAATTTTAGCAACGAGACTTATTGGACCATAAAAATATAAAACTTTTCATTACTCAAGGAGGACATCAATCTATGGAGGAGGGAATTCATTGTGCTGTTCCAATGCTTGTCATTCCATTTTTGGGTGATCAGTATGCGAATGCTAATCGTTTAGAACAAAGAAAAGTTGGGAACCAAATCGATCTGCTTGAGATGAGTGAAGAAACATTAAAGGATAAAATTTTAGAGGTTTTAAAGCCTGAATATAAACAAAATATGGTTAAATTGAGAGATTTAGTTTATGATCAGCCTATGACATCATTAGATAAAGCTATCTTTTGGACAGAATATGTGATTAGACATAAAGGAGTCAAACATTTAGAATTTGCTGGTAGAAATGTTCCTTATTATCAGCAATACTGTCTAGATTTTATAGCAATTTTCATATTGTCTGCTATTTCAATAGGATATATTGGAAATAAATTCTATAAAAAGTTTTTCAAAAATTTCATCGATAGGAAGAATAAAATTGAGTAGAGATATCAGGATTCTTTTAATCTCCTCGTCTATTATGCTTCATTTCAATCACAAATTTTAAAGACATAACGAGTTTACTACTATATCTGGAAACTAAGAAGTTTATAAAACTGCAAAGATATAGTTTAACGATACTTTTGAAATCCATCTGTTATGTCATATGAAAAGTTCAAACCACTTAATTAAATCATATCTATTTCAAGATTTTCAATTTTATGGATTATTAACAAATTTTGTAAAAAGAATTTACTGTGAGATTTTTTTTAAAAATGAAATAGAATTTTATTTCAAAAAATTGCTTGAGTCTCGCCAAATAATACGAAAATCAGCAGAATTGTAAAAATAGTTTTTACTTAAAAATTTTTTGATAAAGCGAAAAAAAAGGAAACAAATTTTAAACTATCTCTCTCGTTTTTATTGTATTAATACACATTTAGGTTAAGAATGAAAAACTTTAACATAGTTAAATAAATGAACATTTATTATTATTAAAAATATGTCTTTTGTTGATATTGTAAGGCAGTAGAATGCTGCTTTTATTTTTTGCTCAACCGGAAAGGTGTTGGAAAAAAGCAGGGACCAAAATAAATGAAAAATATCTGTGATGAAAAACATCATTATTTTTGATGATGAAAAAAATTATGATTTTTTTCATTTACGTAAATTAGGTATTAAGTAAAATTTCATCACGTAAGAATCATTTTAAGGTAGAACTTCATCACGCAAAGCAAAAAATGACGAATAAAAAGTTTCTATACAAGTTTTTTAATCAAAACTAATCTCTTGTTCTTATTATTTTGCATTATTAATTCATTTTGTGTGATTTTATTGCATTTTTTGCTTTACGTGATGAAATCTTACGTAAAAATGATTCTTACGTGATGAAATTTTACGTAATACCTAATTTACGTAAATGAAAAAAAATAATAATTTTTTTCATCATCAAAAATAATGATTTTTTTTTCATCACAGATTTTTTTCATTCATTTTGGTCCCTGGAAAAAAAGTACCCTATTTTTGTGGTTAGAAGCCACTATTCGTTACTAACCCACCCTAATAGCCACAATCGTCCATATTTATTACATTGATGTTCCTGAAAAATGTCGATGTAATATGTATGGACGATTTTGGTTACTAGGGCAGTAGCTTGTTAAAGAACTTACCCAGTAGCTTGTTGTTTTATCTTTATTATGCTACTTCAAATTTTCCATTAATTAAACTACATAAAAAATTTAAAAGTGATTTAATGATAGGAAATAATAGCTAGAATAGTTTCAAGATAGTTTGGACATGAAAAATTTAAGATTTCAATCTATTTCAATGAAAATTATTAATTTTTCATGTTTCTTGACATTTTTTTACCGAGTCATTAAGCGTTTTTTCCAAAACTTTTTTCATCCCATTAGCCACTTTCTATTAACGTAAAAATAGGGTAATGCGAGAGAACAGAAAAGAATGTGACTTATATATGGTATTTAGAGAAATTGTCTGATATAACTAGGGTTACCATCTAATTTTCATAAAAATACAGGACTTTTGGTAATTTTTTTTGAAAAATACAGGACATAGAGTAAAATTCGAAAATTAACGAAAATTTTCGTGATAAAAATACAAGACCTGGAACAAAGTTTTCAAATTTATACGGGACAGGGTTTTGAAATACAGGACTGTCCGTTGTAAAACTACGCAGATGGTCACCCTAGATATAACCATTTAGCCCCCCATAGCTCAATGGAAGGAGCAAGTCCTACTTGGGATATGTTCTTTGGAATTATTCTTTTTTTTGTTGTTTATTTGACATCTTGAAGTTTTGTGCTTTACCGTCTAGATGTTTCAATTAAAGGAAGACTGCTTACCAACTTTAAGGACTTCATGAGCCTGTTGAAAGTAAAGTTTCAGCAATGATTAAAGTTTGATATTTATATAAAGATGTTAGCTTTAAAAGAAATTATTTGATTTTGAAAAAAAAAACTACTTCGTATAATGTTTTATTGTTTCTCAATTTTTTTTTATTTCTTTTTATTTTAATACTATATTATAAGTTGAAGATTTTTCAAATATTTTTTTTTCTCTTTTATAAAGCTTTGTTGAATTTTAGGTGTCCTACTTCTACAAGTGTAATTAATCTTTCATACTCCTTCTTTTCTATGGAATTTAGAATCGTTTTAAAAACAATTTAATTTTTTCATTCATTGTATAAAAGTTGAGATAAAACAAAATTGAAAATATGAAAAATTTTTAAATATTTTTTTTAAAGGTTTTACGATTGTATGTATTTAAAGATGTGAAAGTAAATAAATTCGAAAATCGCATATTTAGGATATCAATCACTTAAATCTTTGTAATAATATAATTTATTCATTTTATCTAAACATTAGCGTCATAATCTAAATTTTTGAATATGTACTTAAAGGCTCTTGCCTTTTAATCCAAGTTTTCAAATATATATATTTATATATATTTAGAATTTAAAAATTTAATGATCTGTTTCTTGATAAATTATCTTCGATGGAAAGTTTTGCTACTTGGAACATTTAAAATTGAGTGTAGAAATTGAAAATTTTGATCAAAGCGCGAAAATAATTTTAATTTTTTAAATAACAAGATTCCATTACTAGATTTACTACGAAAATCATTGTATGAATTAAGTACAAAACAGTTCATTTTGATAAGGCTTGTTGAACTCTTACAGAATTATCTAAAATTTAAAAATAAATTATAATTATTCTTGTTTGTTGGTCCTTTAATGCACAACGAATTAGTTTTCTAAAATCATCGATAACTTTCTGAAAGCTTATTTAAATAGAATTTTAGGATTGAGTCCAACATTCCTTTTTGAAATTGCGCCATTTTGCTCTTAACTTCCAGAGTATATGACTCATTTTTCAAAAAAAAAAAATTAATTGCGTTCTGCTTCGGGATCTCTCATACGATGCTTTTGAAACGTTTTTGATAAAGTTTCATAAATATTTTTGTAAATGCAAAAATTTGCAGGCATAGCTTTTAAATTTCTGTGTTTTAAAATGGTAATGTTATTGGTCTCATATAGGTTTTTTTTAAATATTTATGTCTTCATCTCCGAAAGATGCTTCATTCATATTTCTAGTTCAAAAAACAGATCAATTATGTCTAGCTATGTGGTTGGTGTATTACTATTAGATGAGAGGTTATTATCGGATGTTGACAGTGGACGACATAAGCCAATTTGTGCATAACCTAATGGTATACTCTTGAGAACTTGAACAGCTTCATCTAATGTCACGTTGCGAAGATTATGTTCATTGACAGATATGATTCTGTCACCTGGAAAAATAACATTTGCACTTTCAGCTGCTCCGCCAGGAATCAGTCCCCTAACAACAATCACTGTCGCATCTGTATCAAGTGGATCTTGATAGTCAAGAATGGAGAAACCAAAACCTTTTTCGGTCTTTTCTAGTGACACATATGTGATGTCTTCAGTCCAAAGAGCCAATCCGGATACATTTTCCATCGATCTAAACTTTTGTTGATCTGTTATTGTTGCGGTGCTTGAAGTATAAAGTGAACTTTCTGATAATGCTTTCGTGTTAAGCGATCCCGGCATAAACAGACTTTGTAAGCCAAACGCCAAAATGTTTCTTGTTTCAAAGGCCTCAGGATTTTGAGAAGTATTTATTACTTCACGTTCATGTTTTCCACGAGCGCAAACAATTTTTACTTTCTCCGGAAGATTCTTGATAACTTTAACAACATCAGTATGTCGTAATCCTTGCAATTTGTGTTCATTAATTTGTAATAGTTCGTCGCCTGTTCTCAAACGACCATCTTTACCTACTGGTCCATCAATAAGTATTGAACGAATATAATGATGAGGACGTAACTCGACGCCCATCGCTTGAATTTCTACAGTGCCTTCAAGGCTTATACCTAAACCTGACAGCTTATTAACTTCTGCCACTACAATTTTGTAATCGATATTTATTTGATCTTGCCAATCTCTAGCCATTGAATCTAAACTAGGCGATTTTACAGGTGTTTCATCATCACTTCTTTCTTCGTCATCTTCATTTTCACCGTTATCACAAATTCCATAGTGGTGGTTGATGTCATTTTCCACCTCGTCAACTTTAGTATCGGATGATTCTCGTTCATCTTCAATATCATAATCATTTCCATTTTCAACGACACTATTGGAATCACCACTAGAATACTCCAATTCAGGTTCAATTTCACATTCTCCGCATTCAGTGACAATTGAATCAGCATCAGAGCGTGCTTGACAAATTGATAGAGTTGTCACGGACGGTGACGCTGGCAATGATTTTTGAGAGCTTCGGTCTTCTTTAATTCCATCTACTAATGCTACTTGAAGATGCTCATATTTTCTACCGCGAAGAAATCTTTCTAATGTTAATTTAACAGCTATATCAGTATTTCTAAGGACTTCGACTGCTTGATGATTTGACTCTCCTGATAATGATCTTCCATCAACTGCTATTATTCTATCATTAATTTGTATTTTTCCACTCAATTCGGCAGCACTTCCCTCAATAATACTTTTTACGAAAATTCCAGATAAATCTTCTTCCTCACAAACATAGCCGGCAACAGTAATTCCAAGGCCATATACATTTTTTCTAAGTTCTACATCATATGTTTCAGTTTCAGGTGTATCTAGATATTGTGTCATTAATTGCGATTGACTTATTGAAGTTGGTGAAACAAGGATATTATTTTCATTAGTGCTAACAGTAACCACCTCAATATGCGTCGAAAATTGCTCAATATCACATTCATCTATAGTGCTCACAGGATTACTTGTGGTAATATTAATTTGTGGATTATAAAATGACGAAGCATTCGTCATCGTAGATGTTGATGCGTTTGTGGCAATATAACCGGCAGACTGTAGTGTTTTATCCAATTCCTCTGGATCACCTGTTAACATTTTGGTTGGGATAATGGGGGCTGTACTTGATATCATTTGATAATCTGGAGACGTTGGCTCTATTGGTCTTGCAACAATGAGTCGTATACTACCATTTTGTTGACTACCACGCAAAACTGTTGCAACCTGTTCACTGCTAAAACCTTTAAATTAAAAAATTATTTCAATGTACATTAGGGACATAATTTTGTTTCGCTTAAAATGATATGATTGATACCTCGTAAATTAACATCACCAATTTGAAGTACATGATCTCCGCATTGGAGACGACCATCCCTTTCAGCAATTCCGCCTGGTATAAGTGCTTTTATAACAACCTAAATGAATTTCCATCAAAAGCGAATTTCCATTAATGAAAAATAAAACAAAAGATGAGAATATTAAAAGATATTCTTCAATACATTAAGAAGCACGAGGAAATCTTATGTTTTACGAATGAATTTAAATATCCTTAATACAATAATAAAAAAAAGTCAAGAGACTTACAAATGGCACGATAAATAATGATAATGAATGTAAATGGATCAAAAAGTTGAGAGTTTTTTTTATTTTTGTATGTAATTGTGATGATGACACTTACTCCGGTGCTGCGTCCTCCGACTAAAATAAAACCGAGCCCACTCAAATTTGTTCCATCGTTTATTAAATCTATCACTTCCACTTGTGACCATTCACTGCTCAACACCATTATAGCATGGAGCTTTTATTGCAAATTTTTATTAGATTTTTTGTCGGATTGTTCATAATTCGTTCAAGTTGTTATGGTTGTTGGAGTTTTATTTTGCCTTTTTGTTTAACATAATCTAAACAATTTCTGTAATTAGTTTCAGCAGCACTATTTTAATCACTTTTCCTTTGGCTATTTCGCTTGTGTATTAAAAACTAATTCTTCTCAGTTTTTCTGCACATTCAGCACCGCTTTTAATGCATTGAATGAATAATTCATTATATAAATCATCGATTCCTCAAATTATTTTTTCATTCTTTTGTTCAATTCTTAAGAAATAAAATATGCGCAATTTGTTAGCTTTTTGCATGTGAGTCAAATGTTTCTGCTTTAAATGAAACAAAATGAAAAGGATAAGAGCAATGAAAAGCGTTTGGATTCATTTCAGCATCATATTTATAATTTTTAAGCAAGGATATAATGAGATGAAATATGGAATAAAAATTAAATTAGGAATGAAGGATATAAAGCTGTGAATTATTTTTATAGGAATAAAAATTAAACTCAAAAGTGGAAGTTCAAATGAGATCAAGTTGTGAACAACAAAAACAGCAAATCTAGTTCAACAAATGTTTCATGCATCTAATTAATTTTTGATAGATTTCATGTTCTTTTTCTATCTTAAGATACAAGTACATGGTGAAAGTAATAATTAGTAAAGTATTAATTAATATGTTGCTATACGAATACTTTACAACTTATTAGACTGTCTCTTCAATCCTTGATAACTTTTTGTTTTAGTTTTGATTGTATATCTTGATGTTTGTCACGCCTATTTCATGTACATTATTTATTGATTTATGGAAAACTTTGATCTGACTCTTGAAATGTTTCCAAAATGTGTACAAAGGCTAAGTATATGTTAAGCTAGTTAATATCAAATGTTAAACCGTTTACCATAAATATTTTTCAAAAATGAAAAATTATACAAATTTTCCGAAAAGTCATTTCCTTTGGCATTTATATTTGGCATCTAGCAAAAAAAAAGGATTTTAAGGTTGGTTATTTCCTTTTAAGAATTGGCTTGCGTGAAAAATTTAATTTTATAGACATTTCATCACTGTGTTTCTCAAGATGTTCTTCTTCTTCCTCTTAAATGTTCTTTTTTTCTTCTCAAATACCTAAAGTAAACTTTTTGGCAAGTTTTTATAATTCTTTTACTCATGAAGTTTTGGAAATTAAATTGAATGTCGTGAATGATTTATTGTCGACACAAAATATGTGAAAGGAGAAATACATTCATAGCAGGCAAGTTGCAGCATGTATAATTAAAAAATTAATAAACATAAAACCTTAATAAGAATATCTTGCTTTCTGGTAGCATACTGGTGAAGCTTATTAAATGTTAAGGGTTTCGGAATGAACTTTACAAGCTGAATGAATCCTGAACATTAATACATATAGAAAATACGGTCAAAGCATTATATCTGATTTCTGTTTTCACAAGGAATGTCTAAAGTGTCGTGTTATAGGCTTATCACGAATAAACAATTTAACATCTGTAAAGTTAAGCAAAGACAAGTGGCAGTTGAATCATTCTTGACATATAAAATTAAAGATACAGCTGCAGATAAAGCGAAACGAATCAGTTTTGTAACGAAGAGTTTAGAAGTATCCTCGAGATATTTTCAAATGATCAATGAAAAAAAGAACAAACTTTCATTTTAATTAACGAATATGATAGAACGCCTTAAAGAAATATGAATATCATTTTTTTTCTTGCCAAAAATAAAGTCTTTCCGACCTTTCATGTCATATAAAAAAATAGCAAGTATATACTGATAGCAGTTTTGTTATATTTGAAATTTAATGACTATAACTTTGCAGAAAAGTTTGAAGCGTTTCATAAGGCAATAAATCTTGACCAAATAATCGATAAGACTGTAATATATGAACGTTTTCTCATGAATATTGAATGTCATGGTCATAAAAGTTTTATAATTTTTCATATAAAATCATATAATTTGGGATGATAGCTCATAGTAAAGTCATATAGTACAACTTTGATGATTCTTAAGATTTTAAAAAGAAACTAGTGTATCGGGTAGAAACCCAATGCGGATTATATTCACACCGTACTATCATAAGTCTTATGGATAGACCAAGATTTACCCATCATAAGTATGAAGGTATGAAGCTTGATAAGTCAACTAAGCTTCGCTCAGCATAAGTTTGAAGTTATAAAGCTATCGCGTAAGCTGAGCTACGCTCAGCATAAGTTTGAAGATATGAAGCTAGAGAGGCAGCTGAGCTTCGCTCAGCATAAGTTTGAAGTTATAAAGCTATCGCGTAAGCTGAGCTACGCTCAGCATAAGTTTGAAGATATGAAGCTAGAGAGGCAGTGGAGCTTCGCTCAGCATAAGTTTGAAGATATAAAGCTATCGAGTCAGCTGAGCTACGCTCAGCATAAGTTTGAAGGTATAAAGCTTGACGAATATGCCAAATATTCTTTAAAAGTTTTTTAAAAAAAATTTTCATCCAAAGTTGAATTTTATAAAAAGGACAGTCAACTTTTGTTTTAAAAAATTCGTAAGAAAGGAAAGTTTTTTGCCATTTCTGAAGCAACGGCTGTTCCTACCTTGCCCAAAAACAATACAGCTCTTCTATAGAGCAGCACGGATCAAATGTAAAAAACTAGAAGTCTCTACGATGTCTCGTTATTGAGATTTCTTGCTGATTAACTTGCTTGCTTGTTTGCTTGCTTGCTTGCTTGCTTGCTTGTTTGCTTACAGAAAGCGTATTTTGCGATTTTCTCAGCAATGCCACAACCAATTTGAAATCTGTTTTTTGAAAATGATGTAAAATTTCAGGCACAAACTTTTCTTCTTGCCCTTTTATAACCAATTTTGCTTTGTTTTCTCACAAAATGCGAAAAACTGATTTTTCAATCTGAACAAAACCAATAGATTCACACGTGAAAACGGTGTGAATATAAAAAAATCTGAAAGTTTAATATTGAATATTTATTTTTGGTTACCGCCTGTTTTTATGTCAATACTAGATTCTTTGTATAAACTTAAACTTCCTCTTTTTAAAACTGCCAATTTATCATAGTTCGCTATTTCACTTTGTATAAATTAAATATCGACTTTAGGGTAGTTCATAAATGATGTTTATCATTTGTGGGTGAGAAAATAAAATTAGAATGAAAGTTTTGGTGATAGACGGAAGATATTTTATGTGAATATCATACAAATCGCAGAAACTATATATTGATAAGGTCTATGATATTTATTTAATCAAGTGAAGTTCATTAAATCTTGAAGTTATAAAAGAATGCTTAATGATTTCCATTTTAAAGTTACCATTAGATTTTATTCAAGACCATCAACAGTATTATTAAGCGAGTATGTGGGAAATGAAAAAAATTGACATTAGGATAATAATGATAAGGGAGATTCACTCGAAAATATATTTCAGTCACAAAAGCTTTTCATTTTTCTAACCTTGTAGCAAAAATATTAATCATAATCATTAAATGTTTAAGCTTTATATAGACATTTTTCAAGCTTATTTCACTAATGTACATGTATATGACACCGAAAAATCAAAATGTGAACACACAATTTTTCTTCCGTTTTTTTCCTTTTTTCTTACGTTTTTTTTACTTTCACATCAATTCAAGCGATCGATATTTTTTTTCTTTCCTTTTTTATATTCACGTTTGTATTAAACTTAGTTTGACTTGAGATATTTTTACAACTATTCACCTCTGTATGAAAGTTTTTATCTATTCAAAATATCTTTTTCAAGTCCTGATTATTTTATCGAATATTAATCGTATTTATGTCTGCTTTCAAAATTATTTAATTCATTTAAGTTATCACTTATCACATTTTTATCACTTAAATTATTTTATTCATTGCATAGATTTATGCTTTTTTGAAATTATTGTAAAGAAGATAAAATTTTCTTTTTTATCAATTTTCAAAAACGATGAAAATATAAGTTCTTAGTAGCTTCATATGAGAACATCGAATGAGAGAAGGAAAATTTCTCAATTAGAAAATAGCGGCTGTGCGTTGAAAGCTTTATGTTTTTCCTCTAACCATTGAAATATAAATGTCAGTTTTTCCGCTATGTGGCGCTGCTCATGCTTTTGCAAGCATTCAAGATATTATGAAAAATTATTTCTATTTCTTCTTTCTTCAACTTGATTACTGCGAGGGAAAACTTTTGCTAGGTTAGCTTTTCCAGAGGATATGAATTAATCCATGTTAATCATTCATTAATTAATCTCAGCTAATTTAATGTAATTAATAAACATAATCAGAACATTTTTAATTTAACAGGATGGTTGCATGATAATAACCACTGATTATTTTATATTACCTTGAGAGATGTAACATGTTACATTAAGTAAAAATGCTGACAATGTTTCTTTTTAATAAAATTTTCACACAAATTTATTTTTTTGAAAAATTAATACTTTAAGTTTTATCCCAACGAACTTGAAACGGATGCACGACGAGTTGCAATTTTATCAAGTTTGCGTTTCAAAAGCTGATTCTCATAATTTATTTGGTGTTGTTTTTTTTGTCGATTAACTTCAGCTGCTGATTTTACTTTCTTTCGTTGATTCTAAATCACAAAATTAGAAAATAAGAGTCAATCATTTTTTTTGCCATGTCTATAAATACTGTATTATTACATTAATCCTCGACTGTTGTTTTACAAAGCTGTCACCCAAAGGACCATTTCGCATTATTTTCTCTAATAAAATACGATTATCCCTTTCAATCTCCTTAACTCTTTGATTTGAAAATGTCAGACTAGAACGTGTTCCATTTTTGTATCTGCATTAATAGAAAATTCTCAATATAAATTTTTAAAAATATTGTTGAGATCATTCACAATATAACATCTAGGATACACAGACCCTAAAGACGATAAATGTGAATGATCCCATGAATAAATTTCATACTTTTTCTTATCAGATATTGGAATTTCGTCTATGGCATCACGAAACATTCTAAAATTGAATTTCACATTACACGTAGCATCTTCTTCTTCATCATCAAAGTCATATTCTGAATAATCAACATCGTCGAATGAAGTAGCCGCATCATTGTCATAACTTGATGACTTTGAGTTGACTTTATCCCCTGTACTGTCCATGTTATCAGTGTCAGGCAAAGCAGAAGCAATTGTCATTAGGCTCATAGATGCTGTATAATCCTAATAGAACAAAAGAAAAAAGAAACAAAACAGAAATTCGACTCGTCATTTTCATTATTACTAAACGACTTGTATTTCTGTAGATGACATACCTCAGGATAAATATATTTTCTTAACAATTCTTCATTTTTGTCATAGTCAGTTTTAGATTTTTTCATGTCATGGTGATTATTGGGTTCATTTGAAGCAATTGATTTTGTGTCTCTTGTTGATTTAGCTAAACTATTTCTTTTTCCTGACATTTTTTTTTAAATAAACACGAGACTGATTTTAATAAATTGAACCCTATTTGAGGAAAATTTTAACACAACTGAAAATTAATGAAAATAGATTGAAAGCAGTTTGCTGCGATGTGTACAAAGCAAAATACAAAAAACTACTGTATTTTGAACGACTAGTAATGTTTGCTTCGAAACCTAGCTTAATGTATTCGAAAACGTTATTATTATTCTTTTTACTTCTATCCTTTTTTCGCGTTTCATTCATGCTTGTGTTAATTCCACATGTTTTATTGATTAATTTTTGGATATTAAAATAAATATTTTTTAAATTTACTTTGTACATTCGTAGATTTTAGAATTGTTTTATCGAATTAATTATTCATAGATTGTAGACACGTATAGATCTTTTGCTCAGAACAAGTTGGCCACAAACATGTTTAATATTAGGCAGAAACTGCTGGAAAAGTTTCTAAAATTCATGAATTTTTCATGCAGACTACTTGAGTGCATTTTGTTGTTTCATTTCGACATTTTCATCAAATAAATATTAACCGTGTACCTACATGAAATTTGTGTGCCACATTTTCCCTTTTCATTATTTATTCTCAAAAAATCGATTATAAACCTATATAAAATGTGAAATGAAAAGGTTTTTATTTCATGTTCAGTTTCCTGCATTTTATTCATCAAAACTTGCTTAACGTTTTGTCCAATTTATTTTAAAACCTTCTTATGGGGGAGGGGGGAGTTCTGAGATTTTCTGACAGTTCAAACAAAAATAAATTTTTCTCCATACAAATTTTGTGTCATGAGTGAAAGTGTGGAGGGGGGAGGGGGGGAGGGGGGGGGGGTTAAAATGTCCTTTTTTGAATTACATAATAAGAGAACTATTTCTTCAACACCCACCGCAATGATGCCATGGTGGTTATTTATAAAATATGTGTATGACGTTGATGATGAAGTTTCAAGATTGATCGATGAAATTTACCAGCGTACAATTTTACATTTTTTTTTCTTGGCGTATCAATAAAAAGAAAAGTTTTAAGTTTAGTTTTTTTTTGTTTTTTCACCCAGTTTTAAATTAATATGAAATTTAAACCAATAAACAAACAAGGCATCTTATCATATGAATAATTTCTGTTTTGATTGAAATAAACGCTTATCTTTTTGTTAAACTTTTATGATATATTAATATTTGCAATTGAGATTTTAGAAAAGCTATGATAAAGTATTGTTTAGAAAACCTAAGGATAAAAAATTAAATCGAAAGATAGAACAACATGATGACATTAGAAAGAAGCTAATAACATACAAAGTTTTGTTTTGGTTCTTTAAAAATACGTCATTTGTGTTGCTATGCAAACGATATAATTAAGAATCATTGAAATACGTCCATTATTGGTATTAAAGAACTATAATTAGCGTTATTTTTCAATGTTACTTATTAAATACAAAGACGGTTCAAGCTATACGCACAAAAATCTTTTAGCTGTAGAAATACTTTACACAATTCTTAAAAATTAAAGTGTTCGTGTGTCTCATTGCAACAGCTTGCTTAAAATTGCATTTTTGTATGTTCGTATATGTTTTAATGGTTTAGTAACAACATAATATAATTGTAATAGTTTCATCAAAAGTTAAAAAAGGAAATTAAACACTAAGTAGTAATGAAGCTCAAAGCGAACCAGCTAGACTGCTGTATTCGTTTAAAATAATACGTGCTTTATCATTTTTCAATAAATTTTCAGGTTTGTCAATCATCTGACGCATTTACAGTCAGTCTTTTTCATTGGTAATCTTCTGTTATTATTTTGTGAGTATACTTTTATTATTAGTATAATTATAAACAAAAATATCTTATTGGAATCAATCCAAACTATGGATACACATTGTCATTGAAAAAAAAAAATAATAAAATTAACAGGTAGAAAGTTTTTTCAGTTAAAAATGACTTTAATTTGAAACATTTTTAAGATTTTAAATTTTAAAATTTATTTAAAATCAGGTACTTAAAATAAATTATCAAGCACATAAAATTTATTTTAATGAACGAAAAATACTTTGTTGTATTTTAATGATTAAAAAACGACATTGCTGTTAAGATACATTAAGTTCTTTTGTCTATGTGTTATGCGTAATATAATTTTCGTGCCAAAGTTCAGACTATACAGTCTGCATAACCAATCTTATGAAAGTTTAAAATGTTAGCAATCAATCGAAAATTGTAAGGATTTTAAAGCAAAATTTTGTCAGTAACGAAACTTAATTGAATGTAAATTTATTAATTTTTTGTCAGTTGTTACTTTAAGTATGGGAAATGCGGTTTCAGTATGTCGTCATAAAAGAAGGTAAGAAATGTGTTTTTTATAAACAACTGATAATAAAAATAAGCTATTTTTAAACAACTTATTTGTGGTGATAGTTCATTTTTGTACAACCATTATTATAAAAAGTCTACTTAGTGTGACAGACCTTGATATCTAAAATTAGCTGATAATATAAAAAGGTAATAAATGAATTCGTTAACATAAATAAGTCAATAGCCATTAATAGTATTCTATTAATGTAGTATGTCTAGCTAAGATGTATGTTATTTTCTTGAAATATTAAACGAAATTCATGAAATGAACCAATATTATTATAAAATTTTACATTTACATGAGTATTGACCCCCGAAATGCAAACATTTTAAACAGCTGGTTTGAAAACAAGTTTACTGTAGTAAAATGTGACGTCACGCGCACTTTTTATAGTTTATAAACGCAGAGAGAAAAAAATCGCACAAATTTTACATTCACCTTTACTGTGGTAGACAGATGCGCTTTCGATTGAGGAAATACTGTCTTGAATTATATTTTGTGCATGTATTGCGATTTTAAGCATCAAAAAAGACAAAAACAAAAAATTCGCGACCACAATTTAATTTACTATATTTAAAATCCAAAATCACCTTGCTTGTTTAGTCTATAGGAAGCCTTTGAGTCGAAATCAGTTGTTAGCTTTTTTTTTAAAAAAAATTACTAATTACTTATTCTGTTTTATTCCTTTCGTGAATTGCGGAAGTTTTTATAATCGTTGAACTTGAACCTTTATTTTGTCAATTTTTGTTGGATATAAAAAAAATTGTGATCATGTTGTCAACTTATGTAAATGGCGATTCCCAGAAGCACCAAAATGGATTTAAGTAAGAATTCCCAAAAAATATGCGAATCATTCATCAAGTGAATAACACTTAAGGTCTATATATCGTTATAAGTAAAAAAAACGAGAGAGAGTTTTACTAAATTACTCTCTTTATAAGCTCAATTAGGAAACATATGATGTTTTGGTTTATACTGCTATTCTTGATGAGTTTAAAAATAAAAAAAATCGTTATAACTCATTTCACTCATTATCATGTGTTAACTGTTGTTTATAATCTAATATAAAGTATGACTTACACTCGATATTTATTAAAACTTTCTTAACGATTTTTCCATATTTGGACCTGTGAAAGGTCTTTATCTCGACTCACTTAAACAACACGACCCTTATCGAGTGTATATATACAGAAGAATGTGGAAACAAAGAAATAAAACAGACTGTCGATAACTTTATTATTATTATTACTTAAGACTTACTTCCAATTGGAAACTGATCGTGTTAACAACATCAGGCACTTTTGTCTTAAATTTTTTTTCTTTACATTGCTAAGAAATAAATAGCCGAAAAGTATTTAATCCAAAGTGCTTATCATATATTGAATTGTCACACTTGAAATAATTCGATATCTCTCTGACGAGTTCAAACCACAATGTTATCGAAAATTAATTTTCATCAACCACTAAAATCATATGTGAGGTATTGTAGCATAAATTTAAACTTGAACAATAAACCTTTCAGAGTCGCTACGGAAAATAAAAATGAAAATCACGATGTAATGAGAAATAGTGAGCGCTTCAAATATAAAACACAAACGAATGAAAATTTTCTCAGTCAGAATCAAACACCCGGACAAAACACAACAGTTGTTGAGAAAATCCAAGTTTTATCGTCAACAGAATTAAAGAATCAGAAATCGGAAGTTATGTGTGAAACAAGAGATAGACTCGGTCAGTGGCCAATTGAATCAGAAAGTGAGATAACAGGCTATGGTTTACAACGCATTAGAAACGGACGATTTAATAAGGTGAGTTGAAAAATTATCGATTAAAAATATTTCAAAGTGCAACATAATCCAGAGTTATGAAATGAGGATTTTATGTCAACTAAGGACTTTTGTTGATATAGCAACAGAAATTTCAAAAAATAAATAAAAACTGCAATATAACATTTTATTTTATCTGGATCATTGGAAATTTCCTTTGGTTTGATGAGATAGCAAATATTGAGTCATACGATTTTCAGTGATAGTGAAAGTATTTTTGATAATAAAGAAAAAAAAGAGAATGATCATGCGCTCAACGATAGTTCTCACAGTTCTCACAGTTTTTAGCTTCGTGTCCTTGAACTTCAAAGAGAAATGCATATGCATTTTTTTCTTTTCATGAAAATGCAATATAAAAAATAGTATCATCCACCTCGAAATATAAATATAGATATCCTCATATTTTTTGAACAATCCTATGCTTTTACTGTCTCTCTTTTTCATACATTTTAAATTATAATTAAATAAAATAATTTGAAGGACATAGCATTTTTATCTACGATTAAAAATAGAAACCACTTTAGAATACGCACGATCATTACAAAAGAACAATCAATTAACATCCAGGCACTTGACAATTCCATAGAACAGTGATATAAAAAGACGATAAAAATTTAATTAATAAATTGTAATGATAAGCAATTAAAATAAGTCCGTATGGCAATTGTTTTGAAGAGACAGATTAGATTATTACCCTGTCTGACCTGCGCAAGTCGGAAGATTTTTCTTTAATTTTACGCTCGAAAGATGAGAACGATTTTGTAAATAATGAGTTAAGTATGGTGACGTAAAGATGTTGGCTGTAAATTCCCTTTGAATTTTCAAGGTCAATTTTACCTCATCCGATGTGCGTGCTTATACTCACAAGTATTGATTTGTGATAGACCATATTTATTGCCACTCAATTATTGATCTGTACTTACTAAATTGATAGAGATTTAATTTCCTTTATCGCACTTAAGTGGCTCAAAATATAATTTATTGTATATGGGTCACAAGGTATGGTTTTTTGCAATAAATGCGATGATGGATATATTTAAATATGATTTATTTGACACTATTATCGTTCATCCTTCTTTCGATAGATAAGTTGTGTTGAAAAAATTACACTTTGCTGTATGAATGTGAGCTCAATGTCAATAATGTTATTAGCATTAGCCTTATATAACATTATTCGCATTCTCCAACAGATTGCAAATTTTGATGATCTATATACCTGCACGATTTCATAAAATAATTTAAAGCTTAATTAAAAAATTCCATCATAGATCAACTCAACAGTTTGTTATTTTCAATGGATTAACAAACAAATTTGTTTATTTCAATGAGGATATAACATACGTAAACAGTAACCGAGTGATAAGCTATCATCATGTCAATTGATAACAGATATCATTTCTAAACAAAAGGCTTTTCCTTCTAGTTTTTTTGCACGTTAACCGATAGCAACCCAAAACAAGAATCTTAAAAAGAAAAATTGCTTACTCATACGAGTTAAAGTTACAGCATAGATGACTTTCACTTTTTGTTCCACTTACGCTTTAGCAATGACATAAATACCTAATTCTTTGAATCGTACTTTTTTATGTAAAGGTGTTTGGTTTGAAAGTAAAGTAAAAAAAATATGAAGAAGTGACGTAACTATAAACGAGTTTTTAATGATTTTATGCTTGCAATTTTCTCATATTTTCTTCTTTCTTTTCGCGTTTTAAAATTTTCATTCAACTCTTTTTCAACATGTCACGTAATTAACTTGCATAAGATCTACACTATAGCTTAACATGATAACTGTTAACTTGAAACTTTTTTGACCTTTATGACTTACATTGATTTTTTGTACCTAATCGATTAATTATTTTTGCGTGTAACATTGCACTTAGTAAGGTGTTCCTCATTTCACTTATGTCATTGCACAAAATAATTCAGATTGAACATTCACTTTATAAAACATTTTATTATTTTTATTCAGGGCTTAGCATACACTCGAGAAGAACGACAAATTTTGGGAATTCATGGCTTATTGGCACCTGCACTTAGAACTGAAGAGGAACAAGTAAAGCATGCTCATATGTTATTAGAAAAGTGTGCTACAGATTTGGACAAGTATGTTTACTTGATGGGACTTCAAGACCGAAATGAGCGTTTATTTTATCGCGTACTTGGATCGGATATTAGTAATATGATGCCTCTTGTTTATACGCCAACCGTAGGATTGGCATGTCAAAAGTTCTCGTTGATTTATACAAATCCAAAAGGGCTTTATATCACTATACATGACAAAGGACATATTTACGATGTTATCAAAAATTGGCCAGAACATGACGTAAGAGCCATAGTTGTAACTGATGGAGAAAGAATTTTAGGATTAGGAGATCTAGGTGCTAATGGAATGGGAATTCCAGTTGGTAAATTAGCACTTTATACTGCTTTAGCTGGGATTAAGCCTCATCAATGCCTTCCCATCACTCTCGATGTTGGAACCAATACTCAAGCAATACTTGATGATCCTTTGTATATTGGATTGAAGCAAAAACGAGTAACCGGACAAGAATATGATGAATTTGTTGAAGAGTTTATGACTGCGGCTGTAAGAAGATTTGGTCAAAGTTGTTTAATTCAATTTGAAGATTTTGGAAATTCCAATGCTTTCCGTTTGATTGAAAAGTATCGAGATCATTATTGTACATTCAATGACGATATTCAAGGAACGGCTAGCGTTGCTGTTGCAGGATTGATTGCTTCACTACGTATTACAAAAACTCGCTTATCAGATAATAAAATATTATTCCAAGGCAGTGGAGAGGCAGCATTAGGTAAATATCAAAATTTAATATATGATTTTTTTCTTCCAAAAAAATTACTTAATTTTTTTTATTGTTTAATTGTCTTTAGGTATTGCTGAATTATGTGTAATGGCAATGGTTCGAGAAGGTATTTGCGAGGAAGAGGCAAGAAAACGAGTATGGCTTGTTGATAGTAAAGGATTGATTGTTAAAGATCGACCAAAAGGCGGTATTAATCACCATAAGAGCAAATTTGCACATCCTCATGAGCCTGTCGATACATTAGCTGAAGCTGTAAATATTTTAAAACCGACTGTCTTGATTGGTGCTGTAAGTGATTTTGCCTTTTGTTTCTTGATTCATGAATTAATTCAAACCAATTTTTCTTAGGCTGCAATTGCTGGAGCTTTTACAGCTGATATTATTAAAGCAATGGCTGATTTTAATGCACGACCAATAATTTTTGCATTATCAAATCCAACTAGTAAGGCTGAGTGTACTGCAGAACAAGCATACACGAATTCTAATGGAAAGTGTGTCTTTGCATCTGGTTCTCCATTCCCACCCGTTGTTTTCAACGGAAAGACATTCTATCCAGGACAAGGAAACAATTCTTACATATTTCCAGGCGTTGCTTTAGGTGTCATTGCCTCAAGCTGCTCTATTATTCCTGAAGATATCTTTTTGATATCCGCAAAGGTAAAATAAGGATATTTTTTTTTGAATTTGAATAATAATAAGCAAACATATGTGTTTATATTTTTAGGCACTAGCTGACCTTGTTACTGATGAAGACTTGGAAAAGGGTTCATTATATCCACCATTAGAAAATATTCAAGCTTGTTCACTTGAAATTGCTGAAAAAGTCGTTGAATATGCATACGAAAATAATTTGGCTACCGTTCGCCCAAAACCGGAAAATTTGCGACAATTTATTAAGGATCAGACTTATGATGCCTCTTATAAATCTGCTATTCCACCAATTTATAATTTTTAATATTCAATGGTATCATAAGCAATTTTGACCACATGCATGCCAATCATGTAGATATTATAATTCTCTGAATGGATAAAGGACCTTTGTATTTTTTGTTAATTTATTTTTTTTTTCTTATTTATATTTAATTTTATTGAATGAATAAATGAAGGCAAAAAATTAAATTTTGATTTATAATCTTTTGGAATGAAGTTTTCAGAGATTTCAAATTACAATTTTAAAGGAAACGTATTTAATTTTTTTTTTAAAATTTGTAAACAGCAAGTGAGTGTAGAAGTTTAGCTGCTCTGTTCAGTAATAATGTATAAAAACTTTTTTGTTCATTCCTTACTAGTTCTTTGTCGATATAATAAGCAGGTACGTCATTTTTGAACAAAGTTTAGTCGTGTACTTAAAGGAAAAAAAAAATTGCGATTTATGATTCATCTCAAAGAAATTAAATGAGTGATGCAATTTCTCCATAAATAGACACAACATCACAAAGAAACACAAATCGCATCGAATTAAGAGTGAAAAAAATAGCAATAAAAAGTGATTCGGACAGTAATCTTTAAAAATCAATAACAATGACAACATCAATGAATAATTTTCAATTTGCTCCACTGAGGACTCTTGATGACTTTCTTTTAGAATCTGCTAGATTTCAGCTACCTAATTTTGGTGATTTCGAGAAGTGGGGAAATCGTGTAGTTAAAAATCTGCTATACTATCAGACAAATTATTTTGTTTTGGGATGTATGGAGCTTATCATAATCGGACTTTTCCAGCCGGTTAAAATTGCTCTAGGAATGGCATCAATATTTGCTGTGATTTATGCCTTATTAATGATTTATGGACCGAATCAAAATCCTTCAGTTCAACAATTACAATCTGTTAATAAATATGCAGTTTTTGGATTATTACTAGGAATCACTTACATCTTCTTGTACATGTTTGATGCAGTTCTACTCGTTCTTTTTGCTGTTTTGCTTCCAATAAGCAGTAAGTTATTAATTGTATTGATAAAAAAGATTATTAATTAATTTATTTATTTATCAGGTGTTTTCATTCATTCCTCATTGAGATTAAGAAACTTGAAAAATAAGCTGACATCCACAGTAGAATCAATTGGAATCAAGCATTCACCAATGGGACAATTTTTAGAAGCTATGGGTTTAATGCCCGATACATTTCAGTAAAAGAATGTTTGACATGCTGACAGATTTTATCGATGATTTCATTTTTTTAATCACATTAAACTATTATCAATTGTTGAGAAATTTTAAGGAGTATTATACGAAGAAACGCGTTAGTCAAAGGCAGCAGAAACGAAATTTGACATAAATATAATGAAGCATAATTTTTAAAATACATATTTCATATACTTTGCTGCTAAATCTATAACCTATGATCTTTTTTTTCTTAAAGGAATAATTTTTTTTAAATTAAGCATGACTTGGAATCAATAAAAAGAAATTATATTTTTGAGTTTGAAATATGACTTTGATTTTTATAAAGCAGATATACAGCAGATAGCAACAGATTATTTAAATTCATTTCGAAAATTCGAATACGAATGTGAGAATACATTTTATACATTAGTCTGCATACTCAGTGAAAAATAAGAGAAAGGAAAAAAAACATAATCATTTGTCTTTCAAATTTTGAGGAATACGAATGAATATCTCGGGAAAATAATTTATTAAGTTTAGTGTGTGGATATAATTAAGTAAACTAAATGATAAAGATATTGAAATGTCTATAAAATATTATTAGATATGCTTTAAAAATTAAAAATTAAGCATTAGTGCTTAAAAATTATTTAGTGGTGAACTTTGAAAGCTTTGTGTAAAATTTCAAAATCATAGATATTTGGAATAGATCAGCCCAGGTGTATATTTAATACATTTTTGTTTTATAATTCTTAACCAAAATGAAAAAAATGTGAATTTTAGGCATCTTTAAATTATTAGCAATTATTAAATTCCTTGGTTTTTTTTAAAAAAAAGAACTTTGGTGCTTAATATTTTTTTCATATTCCTCTACATTTGTCTCGATACAGTTTATTCAGAGAAAAAATTTTGAAAATTGATGTTACTAGCTGACTCATGATTATAACTGCGATCTCTTACCAACCTACTCTAAAGTTGAGAGTGATGATGTGTGTGCAGTTTAGCAAGAGTTAATATAGTTTTTATGCTATATCCGCTTTATCCCTATTTTTTAATAATAAAATAATAATTTAAAATGTTGCATAGTAGAATATCGTTGATATGCTTAATTTTAAACTATTTACGCAAATAACAAATGGAAAAGAGAGAAAGTAAAGCTGTTTGGATTTATAACGGTACTCGAGCTCAGCGAGTAACATTCTTTTTGTCCAACAGTTTGGTATTCACTCTTTTATAAAAAGTTTCTTTCTATGTCTTTAAGAATGACTGACTCACTGCAAATAAAGAGAGAAACTTTCTCTCTTCTCACATGTAAGCTATTATTTTCTGTATGCACAATGAATGATCGTACCAAACTATCTTTATTTGAACGAAATATTTAACTTTTACTCATATATGTAAAAACAAAAAAAATGGTCTTATGAATCACATGTGCAAGTTTAATTTGAAATATCAATAAATTTCTACTTCTACTCAGTTGTGATAATCAATGGAATCTATTAGTATCTACGTACTGATTGTTTAATTGTAAGATGAGAAGAACAAACTTAATTATCTTGAATCATCAATAAATATGCTTTTAAGCTTATTTCCAGCGAAGTCATCAATAAGTTACAACTAATTGCTTATGCAGTTTAAAACTATAAAATTTGATTATTCCTTTCGCTACTAGCGTAAAACTCCAACTAATATATATTGATTATATATAATCTGAGTTTTAATTGATGTTTATTTATGTTGGCATCAGACGAACTTTCTTCATCTATAGAACTTTAAGGGTCGATAAATGCTATTTTTTTTTCTTTTAAAAAGGTTTGCAAACCTTTGTTAAAGCTATTTTTGCGTTATTAATTAAAGAATTGATGTTGCAATTTCATTCATCAATTCTATTTATTTTTTAAATTAAAATAATCTTAATTCTTTAAAATTATGCAAATCAATAAAACTCAATTAATTTCATGTGAAATATTAATCCTCAACTTTTTTGAAAATTAACAGATGGTCTAGAAATTAAGTTCACTACATTTTCAATTTACTAATTATCTTTTTGCACGGATTTATTAAAATTTCAGCATCTTTAATACAGCATTAAGAAATTTTTTTTAAACATGTATGAAAATGCGTTTAAAGACATCCACATCTTGAGGAGATGATTATCATATTAGAAATTTACAAAATTTGTAATGAAATAATTTGATTATTGTGACAAGATTGATTAGGTACTCAGTATTTTTGATTGAGCTCTGTAACATTATCAACAATAAAAATTTAATACGTTGTTGACGACTTGGGAGAGCGTGTGGGTGGTTTTAGCTTTTTGAATATGTCATTTTGCATAAATTTAAATGTTTTGTACCTAAATAATTGTTGTTTACAATTCATGAAGCTATCAAGTATATTAAATATTAACATAACAAAGCATATTAATCAACAACAATTATTGTCAACATTCTTAATTTGCACTTTCTTTTCTTTAAGGTAATTAGAACATGAATTAAGAAAATAGAATATTAAATGAGTAAAGATATATCGACGAGCTCCTGATTCCTTCAGAATTTATAAATGTATTGTACAATAATAGAAAATTTCTGAGTATCTGTTCAAGTATTTAAATGTATGTATATATTTGTAAACAGCTTTACTGCCTTTTTTAACGATGAAGGCGGATGGTATCGTATTCTAATGTAAAAAAACATAATTTATGTCCTTAACAAACTAAACCAAAAAGAATGGAATCAGTTTTATATGAAACCCTTTGAATTAAAGATTTCAATTCTTAAGACCATTTAAGAGGCAGGGAAAAAGTTGGCTTTTTGCGTTAATATAGTAAATTAAGAGACCTAAAATTCACTTTTTTGCAATCCTGTAAATAAAGATCAATGAATAACTTAAAACTTAATATTTTCAGATCATCCTTGCAAAGAGAGACAAAATCATTACAAAATTACCTGTTAGAGTAAATTAAAAAAATCTCAAATTAAATTTATGTCCTTTTTACAACAAAAAAAGGATATAGAAGTGATAAAAGCACATCTCATCCTAGAGCAAATTTTAAAACGTTAATTAAACCCTAATGGAAATGGCCGGAGTCGAAGTAGCTTTCTTATTTCAATTTGGTAGTTTGCGTGATATTGTTTCAACAAATGTTGGATCCATGACATTGAACAAATTAAAGGAATTGGCGAGCGAATTCATCAATTCTAAGGTAAGTGAAATACCTCAACGTATTCTTACTTATTACTTGTGGCGCTTACCCTAGCAGACAAGTGAGTATACTCATGGTGCCGTAACATACTCAAGAGTATGTTTAGAATATATCCTTGAGTATGTTACGGTACCATGAGTATACTCATTTGTCTGTTGGGGTTAATCTGCAAATTAATACTAGCAACGCAATTTTAGGATGAAAGAAATATTCATGTAAATGGAAATGTTTTCCCCATTCATTATCAGTCGTCCTTATAATACAATAGAAAAAGTTTCCTTAATGGATGTTTTATAAGTCGCCACTTGTTGTTCAAATGCCTCACACTACTTGTTGCCTGCGCGATACATAAAATAACATGCATACCAAAATGATTGATTTTGTTTCATGACAATAATTTATTCAAATTAGGATGTGGCAAATTCATTATAATTCTCATTGCGAAAATTTTCTTTATCTTTGAAGGATGTTTAAGATGAACTTTTATTAAAGTAATGCCGTTGGAGTAATTTCAATCTTTTCCACCAAAAGGTCTCGGATATTTTTATGAACAATATTATCAAAATATTTACCAAACAATAGCCTTAGGAATGGTTCTAAGGATTTTTATTATCTTTTAAAGTCAATTTTAAAAGCATAAAATTTTGATCAAACAACATTTCAGATCTTTTGATAAATTACCTTGACATTTATGAAATTTTTAATGTGAGAAAAATTCTTTTGTGTTTTAATTCATCACTTAATCTGTTCGAATTTTATTCAAAATGATTTTGAGTCAAACTTCAAAGTTACAAAAAAGGTAAAAATCCTAAACGATTTTAAAATGTATTTTGGTACTTTTTCTTTACCCCGAGCACTTACAATATTAGCATATGGGCAATTCCACAGATGAGTGGAATTTCAGAAAAAGCAAATTGTAATTCTTTTTCTACTTGTAGATTTGAATTTCAAAAAACCGTTAGATTTTGGAATAATAAAAACTTGAGAAACAAACAAATTCGATTATTCTACATATTTTATAAATCTTGCTCAAAACCATAAACTTATAAATTAACTTGTTTTCGTCTTTATTTAGTTATCTTTTAACACTTTTTTTTCCTAATCTTTCTCACACTCAAAAATCGTAAACAATCACCTTAAATTTTATTGAATTAACTATAACGTATTTTAAAAGTTCAAATTTTACTAAAATTTTGAGGAGACGCTTTTCGTTGCACTATTTCAATACATGTTTTACAAAATTCTATTTTTCTGATTAATAAGTGACTTAACGGCTACAAAGACTTTACAGAATCATAAAGCAATTCAGGTTGTACAGGAAAAAAACATTCAATATTTGTCTAGATATTTAAAAGGTAAAAAAAAACTAATTTTAAAATCAGAATTCCATATTTTGAAATAGTGCAACGCTCGCGAAAAATCAAATATTTGCTTAATTAATGCATATAGAAAGAAGCAGTAACATCCAGAAGATAGAACTGGGCGTTTTACATAAGTATGCACAGTCGTTGGACTGTCTAGATTGCCTAATTAAGAGAAAAATGATCTCAAACACGAAATTTTTGAAAAAATCAATCCGTGGAATTGCCCATATAAGAATCCTAAAAGGGCACGTATTTAATACTTAGTCTATTATATACATGACATTTATGTTCTTTCAAGGTTATTTTAAAATTAACCTTATTCTCAAAAACAAGACTGGTAAATGAAGAAATATTTTAAGATCACAAAAATTTTTAGGAATACGGGGAAGTTTGAGAAAGTTTTTGAGGAAAAATGTTCATTTTTTTTTTTGGCTTTAAATTACCTGCCATAATATTAAGTGCATGCCATAAATTATTTAGCATCTCGAAGATTTGTGTTTCAATAACCTTTTATCAATTTTTTTTTGAATGTCGTAACAAAGCTTTTGGGCTTCACTGCTATATTTTTTGTTTGTTTAGTGTTATACGAAATACTGTCCGAAGTTTTTGAAAATGGAAAACTTTTGTCAAGTTCAAGTGCAAAAAGTACTTTTTCAATATAAGTACCATGATGTATACCCATGAGATATAAATTCTACTCAATTTTTTAATGTAAAATCTGGTAAAATCATTTGTTTCTTCCTTATTGTGCATACTCTTAAAAGCTCTTAATAAAATCGATGAATTCAATAGATTCTATTTTAAACCGAACATTCCTTAATTGCCTTTTAATTTCAATTTGATTGAAACAGTGTTCAAAATTTAAATCATCTATTCTATAAAACAGTAATTAAATTATGAATTTGCTCAAATTTTAAAAAAGAGGAAATTAATGTCAATATTTAAATGTTGATACATATTTTTTTTATCAATATGCTTCAAATAATATTAATAATAATGTATTCATCCAAATATTCATTACTTCACACATTGCTTTTTTTGTATAAATATGCATTGATAAGATATGATTTCCACTCACGCATATCCCATTACGTGATATTTATTTCAATGTCATAATCATTAACATACTTGTGATGAGTATAATTTTGAAAAGAGTTCTTTATTAAAGTTCTATATACATTTATCGAAGCAAAATAAATCTATAAGCACACTTCTTATTAGAATGTCTTTTTTTCAAAAAGAGTAAACAAATTAATTTTGATTGAATTTATTTGATCGGTTCTTTTCAATATCAATATTTTTTGGAGCAATTATTAGAAACCATAATTCGATTGATAATTTGAGAAAACAAATTATGATTGCTTTTTATTAAATGAAGATAATATAAAGCAGAACTCGAAGTCGATAGGGTTTGAGTCGACTCGAGTTGACTCGAGATTAAGTAATTAAGATCATTAAAACGAAAATTTTCTTCCTGATGATTTTGTAAATGTAATAATTTTATTTCACCCACATAATAAAATTTTGCTGTAAACTCTGAATTTGCAAAAGTTAATTATTTGGTGTTATCGGTGTTATCATATCTGCACTACATCTGAAAAATTTAAAAATTTGAAAATAATTCTATTAAAAAATAGTTTTTTTTAAGATATTCATCATAATTTTATTGCAAGAATATTTTTCAACTTTTTAAATTTTAGCATTTTCAAATTTGTTTTTGCTCTTTCCAATTGTACAAACTAAATAATGATATTGAAGGACTTGAAGCAAACTTTCTATTTCAAGAAGCAAATATTTTTTTACGCTTAAAGTTTTCAATTCTATATTGTGTGCTTCATTTAAGCTGTAACATAGTTAGCTTTCTCAACATTGCATAAAGTATGCTTTAAGCCATTAATACTTTCAACAGTATTTTCTTGATAATATGGATAGGGTGTGACAATTGGAGCAGGAATTATTGCTTCTTCTCGTAACTTCGCCATATGCTTAATAATACTGTAGTATTGAAATACTATAACCCAAACGCACAAATCAATCACTGTATAAACTGCACAAAAGGACCCTGAAAATTATTAAGCGAATAAAAATTTATTTCAATATTTTAAATATTATACTTACAATAAAGCCAATTGTTAATTGCAAAGCGCTCATATAGCATACTCGTACCAATAATAAGCAGTATGCTATTAATTACTAACGAAATAATCACATCAAATATCATCCAGGGAACAATTAACTGTGCACGATTTTTCAGTACACCCGTAAAGAGACTCAAACAAACAAGCAAATAAATTGTTGCGATTACAGTTCCAATAGTTAATTTAAAAATTGTACCCGATGCCAATTTTGTAGCTGAATTAAGCTGGATAATATCAAGAGTTTCTCCACGATTATTGATCGCAGGATAATAATAATAATCTTCCATTTCTTTTTGATCTTCTATGTCTTCTAATAGAAGTTTTTGAGCCTTCTCAGCATTTATCAATCCCAAAAGCATCACAAACATTACAACATGAGCAATTAACTGTGAAAATAAAAAATTTTGAAAGAAATTTTTGATAAAGTACAATAAAAAATGGCTAAAAATCCAATACTTACGATTTCATATATGCTGATTAAAATAGCACCTAATCGCAAATTTTTCGGGGATATTTGAACCCTTTCGATCCATTTATATGGAATTAGGATCATGTTGATAGCTTTAAAGTTTTCAAAACTCCAAAATAAATGGAAAATAACTTTAATTCGTTATTCACAAAGTCTTCATTTTTCAAGGAACAAAGAACGCTTGCGCAACTTTTTATATGTGTTGAAGACATCTAGCGGAAAAGCTTTTAATTTAAAGTTCATTTATCCTTAGAGAATGATACAGAATGAATTTCAAAATTGACACGTTTTTCAGATAATGAAATAAAGTATGAAATTTTAACCAGTTATGGATTTTTTTATGCGAGAAAATAATTAAAAGCTTTAAAAGTACATGGCAAAAAATTTAAATTTGTCAATTTTCTTCTTTATAGGTGCCAGATCATGGAGTCAATCATCTCTCAGATCGTTTGCTGCTCTTCCGTCATGACTATAATTCCAATAATATATTGCAAATGATAAATTCACCTTCAGACATAACTGATGAGACTCTTGTAGAAATTGTTTTGACTGCTAACCGTAAGTTTATCTCACAAATCGATTCTTATTTTGCTAATTTTTTTTTCAAACATTTTAGCTGTCGTTTATAATTCTTTGGATAATGAAATTCCTTTAATAAGACCCCATGCACTTGTTGTTCATTCCTATAAAACCCCAACATTTTGTGATTTTTGCGGAGAAATGCTTTTTGGTTTAGTTCGTCAGGGATTAAAATGTGAAGGTAATATTTCCTATAAATAATATGCAAATTAAAATTATTAATTGAAACTTTCTCTGATCTCAAAAGGATGTCAACAAAATTATCATAAGCGTTGTGTTGTGAAAGTACCAAATAATTGTAGTCGTATTGATGTAACCAGAAGTCGTGTGAGTCAGGTGAGAAGTCCATCAGGGAGCTCAAATAATTCGAACAATATTGAAGATCAACAATCTCCTTCGTCTTCTTTGGTAAGAAAAATGCAACAATTGATGCATGAAATTAGCAACTAAGTTTTTTTTAAAATGAATCTTATAACTTTCGCAAAGCATAAAAGACAAGTAATTAAATTTCCGTCCATTTTTTTTATAAAATTACTCGAAAGCATTTGCATACTTTAAAATATAAAAAAATAGATTAATTAAAAACTATGCATTATCAAAATATTATTATTGTTGTTCGAATCTATTTTCTTAGATCTTAAAAAAATTTACGAAGAATCTTAAGATAACTTAAAAGTAATGCACTAATTTTATTGGTGGTGGGATCTGTGATAATTTTACTTCTTTATCTTTTTTAATAACCCTCATACATGCATAATTTGTTTACAATAAATAATTGTAAAAGAGACAGTTTTTTCTTTGAATAAAATTTATGGTTTTTTTTTCTTATTAAAAATCTTATTTGCATAATTATTTATGATGAAAAAAAAGTATTAGAAATGAATTCACAGATCCTTTGCCACTACACTGAAAAAAAAAAGTTACAGAAAATTGATTTTTTGCTCCGAATTTTTCCAGCTTGTACCGAGCATAAGATTATGTAACTCTTCTTCAAATGGAAGTCGTGTTGGGTCAGTATCAAGTCAAAGGATGAAAATTCCTCATACTTTTCAAGTTCACACTTATACAAGACCTACAGTTTGTCAGTATTGTAAGAAGCTCCTTAGAGGACTTTTTAAACAGGGATTACAGTGTAATGACTGTCATTATAACGTCCATAAAAAATGTGTTGAACTTGTGCCAAAAGATTGTGAAAATAATTTACATATAGATGTAACAAATGACGTTGGAAATAGTAACACAACGAATGAAGAACGAGACTCAGTCTTTAGAGAGGAAAATGAAGACAGTGATTTTGACGAAGCTACATTTAATAGTAATTTTAATGCTACAAATCGTGACAGTTTACAATCCTCCATCAATGCTATAGCAAAACTTAATGGAAGCAACAAATTGGATGTTAATGACGACAACTTTGATTCTGTTTCCGAACAATCAAGACATTCAGAGTAAAGTTTTTTTATTTCTTTTAAAAAAGGAGCTCACTTTTAATTGAATAATTACTTCTTTATTCCTTAATTAAAATAGTGCATCCTCATCGCCAAGTGCTAACATTCCATTAATGAGAATTGTGCAGTCAGTAAAGCATACAAAGAAACGTGATGGAAAGGCTATAAAAGAGGGGTGGCTTGTTCATTTCACTAATAAAGAAAAGACTATTAAAAGACATTATTGGAGATTGGATTCGAAGGCTATAACGTTGTTTGTATCTGATCAAGGTAGCAAATACTATCGCGAGATTCCTCTAAATGAAATTTTGACCATAGATACAGCTCGTAATATGCAATCAGGTAGTTTTAATTTTGATTTTAAAAAACTATTATGTTGTATTGTGATATATCTATGCTTTATTATATAGATGTCTTGCATTGCTTTGAAATAAGAACTGCAAATGTGGACTATTTTGTCGGACAGGATCCGTTGTATAATCTCAAGGAAAATGAAGCACTACTAACATTACCTCCTCCAGATTCAGGTGTTGGAGCATATCTTGCGAAAAGCTGGGAAACAGCAATTCGTCAAGCAATTCTTCCCGTTACCAATTGTACAACATCAAAAGATCAATTAGGCGAGCCAGAAGAAAGAATAACAGATATAAGTCAATTATATCAAATTTTTCCTGATGAGGTTTTGGGTTCTGGCCAATTTGGTATAGTTTACGGTGGAGTTCATAGAAAAACTCTTAGACCTGTTGCTATTAAAGTCATTGATAAATTAAGATTTCCAACAAAACAAGAGGCACAACTTAAAAATGAAGTTGCAATTTTACAAAATCTTCAGCATCCAGGAGTTGTCAATCTTGAGAGAATGTTTGAAACGCCTGAAAGAATATTCGTTGTTATGGAAAAACTGAAAGGAGATATGCTGGAAATGATTTTATCAGTAGGTCGACTTAATGAGCGTGTAACTAAATTCCTTATTACACAAATTCTTGTGGCTATTAAGCATCTTCATTCTCGAAATGTAAGTCTCTTTTTTTATTTCAAGTACTCATGTAAATAAGGTCGTTCTTATTATTATTATTATTATCTTTATTTTTAGATCTGTCACTGCGATATGAAACCGTAAGAAACAATCAAAACTTTAAATACCTGTTTAATGTTCATAAAATGTTTATATCTGATTTTTTTCGGTATTTTTTTAACAGAGAAAATGTTCTTCTTAGTTCAGATGCTGAGTTTCCTCAAATTAAATTATGTGATTTTGGATTTTCTCGTATCATAGGTGAAAAATCATTCCGACGATCAATTGTTGGAACTCCAGGTTTGTAGTCATTGTGAAAAAACAAAAATCTAATTGATGAATTATAACTTCCGTTTTTTGTCGATACAGCATATCTAGCACCTGAGGTTCTACGCAATAAAGGTTATAACAGATCATTGGATATGTGGTCAGTGGGTGTAATAATTTACGTTAGTTTATCTGGAACATTTCCTTTTAACGAAGATGAAGATATTAACGATCAAATTCAGAATGCTGCGTTTATGTATCCGCCAAATCCATGGAAAGAAATTTCATCATCAGCAATCGATCTTATTAATAATTTATTGCAAGTAAAACAAAGGAAACGTTACACAGTAGACAAAAGTTTGATGCATCCGTGGCTTCAAGATCACGTGACATGGCATGATTTAAGAAAATTGGAAACGCAAGTAGGTGTAAGATATTTGACACACGAATCTGATGACAGTAGATATGAAGAACGCGACGAACAAAATGCGACTCAGCCATGACCAAATAATGCAAACATCGGAAGCGATAATATTGAAAATGATAGCAATAACAAAAGTCGCTTCATGGAAGCAATCTGTAATTCATTTCGTTCATATTTATGTCGTAACGTAAAGGCCTAACTTTTTACTAGCATTTAATCTCATAATTTTAATGGTAAATTAAAAGATACTGTTTCTTCTAAAGCTCAAAACAACGAATTAGATTGAAAGAATACTCAACATTCCATTACTTTTATTAAGTACCTTACTATAAATAATCTCTTTCTGAATAAATAAAAAAATCTTCCACTATTTATGAAAAAAGTAAAACAAAAAGAGAGTAATTGGGAAAATACACGTGTTATATTTTGATATTTTAGTGTCGTTTTAAAATACTAAAAAAAAAATCGATAAAAAGATATGTCAGATAATCAGCAATTTCGTGCATTTCATATCGTCCAAAACTATAGTGAAAAATGAATAATGTCATTATTTTTGTCTTCTTTAAATTTGAGTGAAACTTTTCACTTATGTTAATTATTTTCTCTCAAAGTGCCTAACCAAATGAAAATAATAAGAGTAATAATTCAAAATAATGAAAAGATATGCTGTGTATATTATATTTTGGGAAGACACCAGCCTTGAGAAATTTCGATTTTTATTAAAATGAATTTCAACAAAATATAACTTTGAAGTAAATATAATAGCTGTAGTCCTTCAAAACCTTATTGGCTTAACTTTGATGGCATTAAGTTTTGAATTGAAAACGTAACAGTAAATGCCAAAAGTCCTAAAAATACGGTTATCAAAAATATTAAAAGACGATCAACAACACTTTCTCAAGGTATGGGTGCTTTAGTCAAATTCATTTTTAAGAGAACACCTATCATTCACATTAATTTATCAAAATTGTTCATCTCATTGTGTTGGAAAATTTTTCAAATCATTAATTACTTTTAATGTTTTTTTTACATGTTTCATAAATGGAGAACACACTTTTTAAATGTTGAATTCTTAAAACAATTTATTTTGAATATATTGTGTAAACACTAACTGGTGATAATAAACATTCTTTGAACACTTCTTCAGTTCAGAATCTGGAAAACATTAAAATATTTATTTCTTATCACTTTCAGCTTAAAGATGAATTTTCAGCAGAACTCTGATTTTCAGTTCTCGATTAAATTTGTTTTTAATTTTTGATACTTTGATAACTTCTCTTGGATCAAATATAATAAATTCATATGTGCATAGCACAATGTTGGAAACTAGATGAGTTTAGAAATTTCATCCACTTAAGAGATTTGCGCTACGTTGCACATCACAACAATTTTTGTACTCTTTTTGATCTAATAAATTTTTAAATTGAGTTTTATGCATGTAACTTGATGAATTATTTTCTCTTTTGAATCATTTGCAATGTTGAGAATTTTTTAAAATTTATTTGAAGTTTGTCATCTCTAAGAAAATGTCGCTTATATTTCTTTTAATTTTGTTTAATGTGATAAGTGCAGAGTGGGTAAAGTTGCCGAATATTTCGCCAACAACTCAAGTGCCAAAGGTCGTATTTAAACTTGCACAACCTATAAAAAATTCTTTTTTATCTTCGGAAATCTTAAATAGTGTAATTTCGTTACCTTCTTCAACAACAGAAACTTCAATTTTAGAAAATAACTTATCCACAAGAAAATCTTATGTGCGACAATACTTTCAAACCACAGTAACATCACATGTTCTAAATGTTTTAGGAAATTTATCAAATGTTACAAACAACGAAGAACAATTAAAACCAGTAATGCTTCAACCAAATGAAAATAATAAAAATCGAGTGATATATTTCAACAAAACTGTGCAAATGAATGTAATTCCAGTAAAAACCTATCAAATAATGTTGAACAAGACTGATGAGAAATTTGAAAATAATAATAGCAATTACTATGAAAGTGATGATGATGGAATGGCACTTGTTGACAACGAAACTGAGGATGTGTACTATGACGATGAATATTATTATGAGGATGAAGATCAAACCACAAAATTTAATCCTTTTTTGAAAAAAGTAACATCGTCTACAACAGCACTGCCACCAAAAACTCATAAAAAGAAGACTTTAAATCAAAAGCTTCAGCGACGTACAGTAATTCAAATGATGAATTCAAAGCAATATAAACCTTTTGGTGATGTTAGCTTTCCAAGTTTTATTAAATTTCTGAGAAAAATTCAAGAATCTTTCGCAATAAGAACAGCTAAAACTATTGGAGATAAAATAAAAATGCTGGTGGGCTTTCGAGATCAATTAATGGTCACAATTAACAAACAAATAAGAAGACTCTGGAGAGGAAATCAAGCAAAAGCTAGTTCAAAAAAGTCTTCTGGAAGTAGAAGATCAAAAAGAACTTTAGGTTTAGATCACGGTCATGGGTCTGGTGCAATGGATTTTCCATCTGCTGAAGGTGCACTTTTAAGTATCTGTTTTTTAACCTTTGCCGTTTTTCTTATAAAGCTTGTTCTAGTAAGTACTTTTCTTATTATTTTTACCAATCTTTTTACTACGTTTTTATTATGTCAATACTATTAAATTTCAGCAAGTTATACAAACAATCAAAATGAAAAAAGCGATGTGGGCAACACAAATGATGATGGGAACTGAAAATGTTGTTATCAAAAGGCAGCGAAGAAGTACTGATGATGATTTACAAAAATTAGTTAATATTTATGATTCGATTGAAAAGTTAAGATTAAAATATTAATGTTAAGTTATTTAAGTTTTAGTATTACATATTTATTTATCATAATACTCGTTTCTGATTCGTAAAATGATTTGAGTTTGATTTTTCAAATTACATATTATTTTACAAATGCTTTTAAAGCTATACATATTTTTAAAAAATAATATAAAATGATATCCTTTGCTATTTAGCATCAAATTACAGCTGCACTAAAATTACAGCTGTAGATTACGTCATTACGTAAAAATCAGATTACAGCTGCAATTTACAGCTGTAGTTTAATTGGTATAAATAACATACAGCTGTAAATACATATGGCGTTTAGAGATTAGACAAGTGCTTAGCTGTACTTACAGTTGATATAATTTTTCGAGAATTCTGCTGGTTTTGACTATGATTTTTCCTTTTACAAAAAGATGGAATAGAAAACGAGGTACAGTAGCGTGCAAAAGTTTATAATCATCACATTTTTCGCTTTGGAGCTGTTTAACCAAACAAATCATACATTTTCTTAAAGATTATTTGAAATTACAGTTAATTGGCTAATAGTTTAATTATTAAAGCTAATTTCATAAAGATTTTTGATTAGCAATCCAGAAAATTGTTTGCCATTTTGAAATTGAAAATTTAGCATGAAAGGAAAAGAACCAAAAACTGAATGATGCAATAAAATAAAGAATATTATGCTAATCTTATGTTTAAGCATAACGATTAATTTAATTCGTGCTAGAAAGCATTAAAAATTGTTAATAAACAATCGTTTATAAACTATTGCACACTACTGTACCAAGTTTTCTATACAATCTTTTTGTAAAAGGAAAACTCATAGTCAAAACCAGAATAATTCAAGAAAAATTACATCAACTGTAAGTACAGCTAAGCACTTGTCTAAGCTTTAAGCACCATCTGTATTTACAGCTGTAATTTTAGTACAGCTGTAATTTGATTTGCCAAATAGTATAAGGTTGAAATGATGTTATTTATAAGTATGCTTAAGAATTATTTTCAATGAATTGTTTATTTGAAAAATAATTATTTATCCATCAGGACTAAATTTAACGATGTCTTGAAGCATCTTTATAATGGAAGATCATTTTATCCTATGGATTTAAAATTATAAATCACAAGCTACCAATGAACTCAATGGATTAATACCGAATACATTCTGTTATATTTCTATATTAAATATAAATAAATAGAGAGTTCTTTTTTAAAAGATTTCTAATCTTAGAGATTAAACACAAGACTTACAATTAAACTTTACAATGTTCGTTCTTTTCTCCTAATTTATCTATTATTAAACAGGATGTATTAATTGTTTAATTATTTACAATCAAATTTCTGTAAAAGTTAATAATCCAAAAATCTTTTGTCTGCATGGGATAAGTATAGGCTCTTTTCTTTCCTAAGTGAATTAACTTCACTTATTAATCAATCACTAGATTAGCTTTTAATGACTTGAAATTTTAAGAAATAAAAAAATTATCAAAATCATTGTAAATTCTCGAAGATCTATTATATTTGCTTGATCTAGCTTGTTTTCTTAAATAGTGTCGTCTATTCCAGAATTTCTGTCTTTCTTTGTGTTCTAAAAATTTTTCTCGATTTTCTGGAAGTTTAAGCTTTTCACGATATTTTCTCATTTTCAGTGCAGCTTTCGAAATTTTCTGGTCCTTTTCATCCAGTTCAAATGAATTGTCCATCGAACTGTGATGATCAGTTTCTTCTAAATACTTTTCAGAATAATCTTCAAAAGTTATATCTGGAAGATCTTCTGGTTCTTGCTTTATAATAACTACATCATTAAAATCAAATAAATTTGCTGATTCATGACTATTTTGTGAACTGCATTTCCACGAAATCATATCAGAACTTTCACAAATATCTGATTCAGGTTCCTCTTTTATTTTCAAGTGATTAAAGGAATGCTGCTGATCTAAGTCTTCTGATATTGATCCGGTTTCATGATTATCTTCATTTGATTCAATTATCAGTTTTCTGTTATTCTCATTCACACGGATTTTTACAATAGAACATTTTTCCGTGTAATTTTTTACAATATCATAAATATTATGAACAACCTTACTTTGTTTGTTTTTTACAGATTTTTGCAATTGGGGAATATTTGTCGGCTTTTTATCGCGAATATTTTGCTTTTGGGTTTCCTGCACTTTCCGCTTAAAATGATAGAATTTAATGACTTTGTCTTTGCAATCTAAGCAAATTTCTGATAAGTTTCCACTTTGAATCTGAAATATCATTTGTTTTTCATAAAATTAAATATTATTATAAATAATATTGTACAGACATTAATGCTGAGTGCCTCATTCAAAATTTCATGAAGAGAGTGATAAATTCCATTATATTCTATGAAATTTGAATTTATGTCAAAATATTGATTGACTCCAGTAAATCTGCAAAGGGTGCACATCTTTGATTCAAATTTATGGATGATATTACTATCCATTTTTTATATTTGAAAACTTTTTGTTATTCTAAGCAAAAAAATCGCACAAATTTTTATGCGATTCGCAAATGTCAAGAAAAATATTAAAGCTTAATTTAAAAAAATTCAAACCGCTAAACAAATTTGTATGGGAATGATAACATCTTGCTGATCTGGTATGAATAAAGAGGAGGAATACTAAAATTGTTAAACAATAAAAAAATACATATTTTTATTAATTAGTTTTCCACAAGTCTTTTTTTCATTTAACTTTATTTCAACATTTTTATTATTTTAATTTACACTATATTGTAAAATACTGATTGAATTTGTGTTGATATTTCTGTTTAACTAATCTAACTTCTTTTATTTCTCATCATTTTTATTTAAATTTAATTTTGGAATTATAATTTAAGTGCTTTTGCTACCAGATTCGTATGCTTTAACATTTCAAAAAACAAATTCATCCCTCAAACGCTCAATATGTTATCAACACGTTACTTCAATCGTTTTTATTCCGCTCAATGTGAGCGATTATTTCTTCATAAGAATAAAATCCAAAACAATTCACTTCCTAAATACACGCAACATACTTTTTTCATTTATATCTTTGTTCACAAGGTTTCAATCTATTCAATTAAATGACACAAAAAAGAAAGAAAAAAAAAATTGATTTAAATTTTAAATGCTGATTTGCGGGACGATAACTTATAGTTGCAAATAATAATGACAAACATGCTCAATTTTTATATCGTGTCTACTCGTTATATTGGGTGATAAAAGTTGTGAAATTTTTTTCCACGATCCCCGCTTAAATATTGAAGATATTTAAATAATATTTGAATGATTTTTAAAAGATTTTACAACATTTTGTATGTGTCAGTCTTGATTAAAGTCAATAATATTATCATTACTCTATATTACTATTAAGATTAAGAAGTACTCCTTATCAACTAAAATAAATTTAAACAATATTTAAGAATTTTGTTGCTGTGCATACGACTTTTTTTCCAATTAGGAATTTCCAATCATTCCATTGTTTAACTTGCAATCATGAGTTTAGCACAGGAACCTATCTAATCATGTTCAAATTTATGTAAAACTTATCGTTGAATCATTTTTCGTTTAAATTAATAACTTTTTTTCTTGACTTTAGAATGTAGACTGTAAATTGTTCTTCTAATACACGTAAATTGTCTTTAGCTGAGGTTTGAGTTCAGGTGGAATTACTGGTGAAGGTTCGTGCGATTTACGTGAAACTAGTCGCTTAAATCGACCACTCAGTTGTTTTCGAAAGCCTCTAAATCCAAGTTTTTCGTTACTACTGTGTACTAACGCGTCCTGTTGAAAAGAAAAGGAAATGTTATATACATGTGACTTACATAGATTGATAATTTCATCATTTCCCCTCGCAAATTAATAGATTTCAAATGTATTAAAGATATGAATCAAATAAATCTCACAATGTTAAAATTGATTTTCATTTCAATTGTAGACGCATTTAGTAATTTTCGCTATTTGAGCTTTGCATTTCTCAATTGCATAACGCGTGAAAAATATTTCTATGCCAAGTCGACGTCTATTTGCTGTTGTCGGGCAATTTCCTTGAAACTCTTTTCTATTCTTAATTAGAACAGTATTTATGTCTCGATTTATAAATGAACATTGGGAAGATGTCGTGTGCAAAAAAATAAAAAAATAAAAAAGGTCTCAGAAAGTACAGCTATTATCAATATACTCGAATAAGAAGCTTGTGTTCTTAAATATTTAAAAAAAAAATTATAATTTAAAATGAAATGAAATGAACACAAAGTACCGATGAAAATGAAATTGAAGCATGTATATTTATTTCACGATCATCGCACGGCATTGAGAAATTTCATATCAACGTGGCGCTTCCGATTTTAAAAACTTAATTATTTTTATCAATTTCCTGTTAACAATAAATTAATGAAGGTATTTTTGCAATGCATTTTTTTTGTGTATACAGTAAATGCGAAAATGTGTCGAAAGTACAGTTTCTATGTGAAGCATAGTAAGAAAGAAACAAAATTTAATTAAGGGAATGTTGCCCTTTGAAAAAAAGGTTTATTGAACTTTTACCCTCTGAATGTGCAATTGCAATCCTATTTTTAGAATTTATAATTTTTTATTTTCTATGTGTATTGAGTCTATTATTATAATCATTTTGAAATCTATATCTGTTGAGTAGGAAGTTTGGATTTATAATTTTATGATGCTATTGTATACTTACTTGACTACTGGCGTTATAAATGTAGAGATTTGGTTGAGGCGGAAGTGGAGGAAAGTGCCAAACACTGGATGGACTCTGTCTAAAGCCAACAGGCTCAACTGTTGAAACGATTTGTGTAGTTTGTGTTGATTCACTATTATGATGTGTGTTGTGTGAAGATTCTTCACGTTTTCTTAATTTGCTGCGAACAAAACGCATTGAAATTATTGTTTCGTTTCTCATTCCGACCATTTTATATTTAAGAACTGTTTTTATCACAATTTTCTTGTTTTGAGTTTTTTGAATCACTTTTTACCACGTTTTTTTAAGTAAATTAATATATTTTATAATATTTAAGTTTTTTGCACAATTTTTCTTTGCATTTTTTTCTAGTTTGTTTTTAAAAAAATTATCAAAAGTATTTTTTTCTTCCTTTTAATTTAATTTTTTGTCTAGTAAAGATTGTCACACTTAAAATGGCACAATCTTAGAAGAGCAGAATGCCTTTCTTTGAACGTTTTAAAGTATTGTAATATCTCATATGCCGATGTAGTTTGCTTTTATAGCTATCTTACTCATTCTCTCTCATTTGCTTAGCTTCGGTTTTTATAATTTGAGAGATGTGTATTTTGTAGAGAGTAAATGCATAAACGAACTCCAAATTATCGTTAAATTAATGTGAAAAAAACCTATATTTATATTGAAATCATATGATGTCTGTATTAAAAAACCCGAATTATAAAAAAATAAATAATATTATCATGGAATATATCAGTTTTTGCCTATGATTCATATTATTTTTGCCGTAATACTCATAAATGAAAAAAAAAGACTCATTTTTCTTTATTATTACTCTCGGACTGATCATATGGGTTCAACAATTGTGATATTCACACGAAAAACTTCGTCGACACTTCAAAAACTGCGAGTCAACGATATAAGATATACTCATTTCGGACTTTGTACTCAATGGAAAATCATACAAAGAAAATATATTTATGACGGTTGGTTTTTGCTTAACTAGAGCACATCTCTCATTTCAACAGACTTTTCTCCAATTAATAGATTTACAAAATAAATAAAAATGAGTTACGAAAAACCCCAGAAAATGACGTCAATATCGCCTCTTAAGATGTAAAACGAAAATGTGAGACAATCATTTTTCTACTAATCGATAAGTTTTTAAAATGTGAAACGTATTTAAGAGATTTCCAAGAAATTTCGTATTAGTATATTATGTTTTGACGGATTTCGAGAGAAAAAAAAAGTAAAGTTCTGTTTACAAATAGAATAAGTTAATTCTAAATGTAAAAAATCTGTTTTGATGAAATAAGTTATTTGCTTAATTTTTATTCTGTTTTACGTCATAACATCACCGGTAAAATCCAACGGATATGAATTCTTTTGAATTTTGTTACACAAGAATTTTTAACTGCAACCTTAACATTATTATTTTGTAATCAGATCGTTGATCTTAAAATTTCGATCGTAATAAGCTAGAAGTAAAAAGCCTAAAGGAAGTCACATCATGAGTAAAGTTAAGTAGATTCATCTATCACAATGGATAATTAATTAAAATAAAAAAGTGTGACAACTGAACGTAATTGATTGATACAGCTATAAATTTAATTAATATTGTCTAGTGAATCATGTTTTTTGGAATATTTTTTAAAAGAGGAAACAAAACAATTTTAGATACGCAATGTGAGGTGACTCACATGGTCAAAACAACTAATAATTTCGTAGATGCAGACTTTTGTAAACATTATCTTAATTAATTTACTTTTTTTCATATGGGTAATTCAGCTCTCAATGAAAGTTTATATCTTTTCAATAACAAATCATAGAAACAGTAAATCTCACCTTGATTTTATTTCATAAGCCTCAATTTCATCAAATGCTATTTCGGAGAAAACCATATTACTCCTGGGTAATTAAAATTGATAATTGCTCATCAGAACATTCAATGTTAAATAAACATAGTTTTAATTATTTTAAATCACATGCATTAATAAAATTTTACGCAATTGAGCTTTAATTCTATGAATTATATTTATTCTCTCTTTTTTCATACTATATCCATTGACATTTTAAAATATGACCATTCGTGAGTCAAAAATCTTTATATGCCAATAATTTTTGTGTTTCTTCATATTTTTTGATGTTTACAAAAAAAAAAAAAACTGGAAAAATTTTTAAAATAATCACAATAAAAAGGAAGGTCAGGAAATTCCGTTGAATTTTAAAATTTATTTTTAAGAATGTTTTGGTGAAATCATCCTGTCAAAACATCTTCTCATGTGCTTAAGATTTAGTTTTCAAGAATATTCTTTTGGTTACTAATACAAACTTATAGAAAAAATCCCAAGTCAGCTGATTTCACAAAATTTAGCGTAGATTTAGGTATACCTGTCTAGGCTTCAAAATGTTATTTTCAGAAATTCTTACTGAATACCTAAATGTTTATGCTGTCATTTCCAACATAAAACATTTCTTTATTTTTGATAAAGTTAATAGAAATTCTTAATACAATTTTCTCTGAAGTATTACTAGTAAATTGACAGATTGCAAAATAATAAAATTAATTTTTAAAAAGCAGCTAACGTCCTTTCTTCGTTTTCTATTCAAATGTTTCTCAATATGCTTCGCTTGTTGCTAAGCGAGAAAAAGACCTGCGGATAATAAGAAAACATTTTCTCTTACTTCTTTACACTCGTCGTCTCTAAATTTTTTTGATTCTACTTTATTCCTTTGTTTCATTTGGGGTTCGTTCATTCCCTTTTATGCAGCAACACGGATCGTTTTCGCAAAGGACAATGACATTGGAAATTGCCTTGAGACATCAACGAATTTACGAGTCATAGGGAATGAAGCGTCAAAAAAGTCAGTAACATAATAGCACAGACGCTTTATACATACAGGCTTGATTTTGTTCTTCAGTTGGTTTAATAATTTGTATTATATTTCGTGGGGCGATTGAATAAATCGAACTGATCAGCAAAATATGTTTAATTTATTTCTTGTCAAAACATTTGCAATGACTTTCATTGCCACGCTTTCAGAAAGCTCTTTATTGATAGTATGAAACCCAATAACATAAAGTTTTTGCCAAATGGATAGTGACGCAAATAGACAAACTTGCATTTGTTGTTGACATGTGCCAACCTTCATAATGTGAATGAAATTTAAACAAGTAATATCATTTTTGAATGTGTAGTGCCTGTCTGTGTGTTAAAAAACCACAAGTAATAGTATCAAAGATATTATATAATTTTCATTGAATTATCAGCATAATCCAGGCTGTAAATGTAGGATGAATTTATCTTGATAACATTAAAAATAAAATTGCCATGTGCATTTATCAGATAAAATGCATTTATTTTCAATTGAATGGAAACATATTGAGGTTAGTGAAAGATTAAATTAAAACATAATATTCCTGATCGTTCTGATTTGATGAGAAATGCATTTCTTATACTCTTTTTCTCTTTTTTAAAATTGGAAACAAGGACAATACGAATTGAAAAGGCACGAAATGAGAGTAAAAGTTTAAAAATTTTAGACACATATTTAAAGCGAAAAACATATGGCAAATTTGTACTTTTACATGTGACTGTGATTGAAAATACACAAAATTTCACCTCCTTTCTTTTCCAGAGTTGATATTCATATTTTGTCTGAACTCCTAAGATCAGTAACGGTGAAATACTAAAATAATTCACAAAGTAAATGCACTTTTTCTTGCTCATATCTCATAACATGTTAAAGTAAGTAATCGTATTGGTTGTTCCACTTTTAGTGAAGTTCTTCACTTGTGTACTTTTGCTCCATATTTTTACTGACTTGTGCTGTTATGCTTTTTAAATATTTATGTTCTTCTGGGCACGTTTCATAAAAACTTATTCATTTTTGACAATTTTTGAGTTTCAAGCTAATTTTTTGTTCAAAATGGATTTTAAGTCTTCAAAAATATTAATGAATATTCATCAACTTGCTTAAAAATATCGCGTTTGAGAGAATAAATATAATTTTAATTGAATCAAGCACATGATGGGTTAATTCCATTTAACTTGAAATAAATAGATGTTTTAAATGAGTATATAACGTTGAGGTCATATCAAGTAGTTTGGGTTTTCTCTGGTTTTTTCCAACAAAAATTAGTCGGGGAATTTGTTAATGCTTTTCTATAGAAAGGCAAATCAACAAAATGTCAATTATAATGCTTAAGGAATCAACTCCTTTTTGTATTGTTTTCAAGGTTTCGCGAAGGATTTTGCATGGATGTTTTATTTAAATTCAAATTTGCATGTTACCTAGTCATATATAATATGAAATAAATTTCCTCCATTTTTTTTTAAAACTGTGGATCACAAATTTTTACACAACAAAAATTTTGCAAATGCTTTCGATTAGTTTTTTTAAAATCAAGTTAATACTATTTTCAAATCACAAAGACTTTTCTCATATCACTATGAACATATTGTTATTCACACTTGACTCAAAGAATATCTGAGAATGATTTACAATTTATACAATTTTCACCGTTACAGTAATTAAACTGATGAACACAAGTTGTGATCCCTTGTGGATCGTTTATGAGACTAAAACTAAACATTCCAATAAAAGTATATTGTTGCTGCTTGCCTCCAACTAAAAGTGATCATTCAACAATCATGATGGAGAAACATTCATTCGAATATACATATGTGTTTAATGTAAAATGTTAAGGCAAGAAATCTGAAGTAACACTACAACAATAATACAGAAAACGAGTTGTAATTAAAAATAGAAATTTTACGGGGGAATCACGGCAAAAACTTTAGTATTTATTGAACAAGATATATAGTGCAACTTAAGAATAGGAAGAAGAAATCGAAATATATATCTTTAATAATGTTGCTGAAATCTTGTTTGTATGGAGAAGCTTTGCATACATATTCAATCCAGGTTTCCTTGATAAGTAAGATCAGTTTCTCTTTAATTGAATTTATACAATTAATATTGAAATAAGTCAACTTTTGAAAGACAGAACTGAAAATTTAATTTTATCTAAAATTTAATATCAATTATGATTACAATTAAAGAGATTCTATCCATAACATCTGAATTTGAATGAGTCATTTACAATATTGGACTATTGACTTTTTTGAGAGTATGTTGGTGTTAATATTTTATAAAACAATGATTGTTGCTTGTGTAGCTTTAAGACAAATGAAATTTAAAGGTGGTGTCGGGGTGATATTTGTTGTAAAACAATAAATATTAATCTAGGAAATGCTTGAAACTATTCCTTATTCATAAGATTAACTAATATTTTACGAATCATTAACTCATTGGGGGAAGAGAGAGACTGCATTGATAACTGTGTAACTGTGTGATGATGACATACATTAATATCTGTCTAGATATTTCTTTCGTCTTTCAGACATCATTTTTTCAAATTAGTAAACAAATCTGTTCCGTGACAATTAAACTATGATTTACACATTTTTACGTAGTTATTTTCATGCAAATGTTTTTCGCAAATAAAATGTCTTAATTAATCTAATAATTAATTTAATTAACAGTTTTAATGAAAAATTCACATGTTCTGAGCTTAAGATTTTTTTTTTGATGGCACAGTTGGTAACAAAAAAATAAATTCATGCGCATGAAATTCATTAAAGTTTTTGTTGCGAGGTCAAATTTTGTAGAATTTGAGAACTTTGTAAATACTTAAACCTACGTATACTAGTTAATAACATTTTCAACAAAAAAGTGTTTTGATTGAAGTCAAAACAAAATTTGAATCCAAAGAGTGTCACATGACATGTACGTTCAAGACTGTCGCGAGGCAACAACTTAATAAAATTAAACAAAGTAATCAAGTAACAACTATTAAGGAAGTAACTTCCTAGAGAAATGAAACAATTATGATTTCATCCAAAAATTTTTTGTTTAAATTTAATAAATCCAATGCATTGGCATGAACAACTTTATTAATTTAAACTTGCGTAAATACTGCATAAAGCAAACAATCATAATATTCGTAAACTCTAAGTTGAAAATCAAGAATTGGGAATGTATACACAATGTGCATTCATCTTTCATACTGCTTAATTGCCTAATAACAAATTTTGAATTTTTTCTGAATACTTTTTTATCACGACTAGTCTTAAAGTCTAGGAAATAATCTGTTTCATAAAAAAAGGCATTCACGATTTTTATATCATCAACGTCTCAGGATGTATATTATTAACGATTTTCTTATGAAAACCCACAGCTGAGATTTTCCACGTGTTGTTACGACTTTTCATTCAATAAAAATAACGTAAAGTGTGAGTTATAACAGAAAAGTTTAATGAGCTATTTCTAGTAAAAACAAAGTGAGGAAAAAAAACTAAAAATAAAGACAGAAACGCAAAATTTATAACGTATGTCTTTTTCTTAAAATAAAATACGATGAGCTAATTTTATCGACAAAAAGTACATCATAAAATTTTCCAAGGTTTATAGACTTTACAAACATTTAGTATTTTTATGTCATATTTCTGAGTATGAAAAACTAATTAGGTGAATTGTTCTTGTAATTATTATTTTTTTAATCCGCTGATTATTGTTTTAATGTTAAAATAATCCTTTGATTATGATCCCATTGCATTGTTTTTACTGATAACATAATGGATAGATATTCTTATATAATATGGAATTGGAAAACAAAACATTATCAATTTATCATCATAATTAATGAGAATTTAATTTTATGTCGGATCGCGCTTGATTCGAAATAGGAAATATCAGATAGTTTTCTTATACTAGCTTGTCTCTTTATATAAATGGATTCGAATTGGACGAACAAGCTATGACTATTTTTATCTATTAGTAGAAATGTAGTTTCGATTAAATGTCAATAATGACAATGCATTATCGATTTTTCTACAATCTTATGATTAGTTTATTTTAAAGTTTCTGTCCTTACTTTATATAAAATCTCCAGAAAAATCTTTTTCTTTAAAAAAAATTGTTTTTTAAATATATAATAAAATCTTGTGCACATTTTAAAATTTATCTATTCATTGATGATTAACCTTAAACTTCTTGTGTCATGAGTTTGAACAACAAAAGTATCAAATTAATTTGGTGATTGTCTCTAGGTAAATACTAAACAGCTGGTCACATTTTGTTTATAATAAATATACCCGTCAAGGATAGTATTATTTTGATCTGAACACAAATAACGGGCTTTTCTTCAGATGATCAGAATCTACAAAATGCGCTTTTAATTCATAAAAAAATTCTCAATGTTTTGTAAACATTAAAGCAAAGTGTAAATGAGTGTTGCCTTTTCAAAATAAGTACTTAATATTTTATGAATCATTCATTATTCAATTGGTTTTCCACATTTATGTGTTAATACTTTTGTAAAATAAACTAGAGTTTCATTCCGTCAAGCATACCACACACAATTTAAATTATTCTGAATTATGATTTTTATCATTTATGGATTTATGAACAATCAAATCAAAATTTTTGTAAACGATAATAAATTGATTGAAATAGGATTTTAATAAATTGTATCTACTGTAAATATTTTCTTCAAGAGTATTTAGTAACAGTTGGTAATAGCTGCTTTGAGCTTAATTATCACCTAAATTCTTTCCAAAATATTTATAAATAAATTTATACATCTTTCCAATACAGGTTTAATCCGAAAAAAATACTTGAAAATACCGCATCATCATTCTTTCATGGAAACTGTTCAATCGTTCATTATATCCTTTATAAATGTCAGAATGAATTGAGTTTTATCTAATTTGAGAATTGCCCAAATGTCATTTTCTAATGGATTTATTTTTGATTTCTTTGTTCTAAAGTTAAATTCAGATTCATGATTTAATAAAAAAAAAATCAAGTTTGAGTCATAAGAATTCGTTGGTTAAGCAATTGTGGGAGTTTGAAAAAAAATTTTGACTTATTCATTTGTAGTTAATTTTTATTTTTTATAACATTACCAAGATATATAGATGGGCTCATACAGAGTATACTTGACCATACTCGACCATACTATTTTTTTTGTACTTATACAAACAAAAATTTTTAAAATTTCCTATTTTCAAGTTTTCATTTAAATATCGACAGATGCAACAACATTTGTCTTAAGTCAGTTTCTTTAAATTATAGCAAAGCATTTGCAATACTCCTGTATCAACAAAACTTAACAGAAAGTTGAAAATTTTGCAAAACAAAAATTGAAAATTTTCTTTTATAGTGTTAGTGTTTTTAGAAAATTCAAATTTTTGACGTTTAAAAACTGCGATATTTTTGTATGAGCACATCTATATATCTTGAACATTACATAGATTAAAAGTAATGACCTAATTTTTTTATACTTTCAAAATTTATTGCAATTAATTTTATTATGTGTTAGATTTTAAAAATAAACTTTTACACGCGACTTATCTCATAGCAACGAGCAGAAGATGCAATGAAGATTGCATTATTATTGCAGATTGAAAAATTTGTAAGATTTAATGATGCTACAAAGGATTTCATTGTACAAATGATCAGATGATAATTACAAAAAATAGACTATAGTCCAAAAGTCTGACAAAAATTGATTTTTTTAAAGCTCTTTTACCAGACTTAAATCGTGTCGCCAATGAAAATAAGTCTGTATTTCAAATAAGAGGTAGTTGATGTTCTATAAATAATGAAAAAATATAGAGAAAAAATATATAAAGAGAGCTCTTTGACTGAAATTCAAGTTCAAAGAGAAACTTGTTGATCAGCATCTAAAACTTTATTCAACTGTAGTGAAAAGTGATATTTCCAACATTATTAATAATTAAGAAAATATGAATGAAACATTATCGCGCGCGACTTTTAAAATTTTAACTTCTATAGGAAATATGTGAGAGCTATGGATCATGTCCGAAGCCACGAGAATGTTTTTAAAACGCTTAGTTTTCAGTACTCATGGAGTTGTAATGATTTTATTGCCCGATTACTCTATTAAAAACATCACATTTTTCAATTTTTATGTTTAATGTCGACAATCGATTTTGATTCAATAATAAATTTATTTTTGTTTACTTTCTTTAGTTATCACCAATTATCACTTACTTGCACGTTTCAAAATCAAAGAATAAGAAAATTCTAGAGGGGTCAATCTTTTGACGTATATATACAAAAGTAAAAAGAGCAAAATATTTATTCGACTTATTTATTATTGTACATGTTCCTAGTTTTAACAAAAATAACTTTCGCGATTTCATTTCGTAATTAATAACTTGGACAAGAAAATTGTGATAAAATAAAAGTTTACTTAATTGTAATTTACCTTATTGTGACAGCTACTAAAATAATTATGATTCCAACAGATAACATTGCTATAATTACACCTCCCAATATATACCAAACATCATTGGGATCATCTGAAATTAAAAAGAAATAAATTTGGAAAAAAACTGTTATTATTTCGATATGAAAAGAAATGATTAACTCATGTGATACAGCAATATAATAACAATATTTGCCACCTATTCATAAAAGTTTTGACGTAAAAGATCTTAAAAAATATGGAAATTCGCTTGTGACGCTATGAAAGATTGTTTTTAGGAAATTTACTCATTTAAATACTAGAAAGAAGCGAGTTAACTTGCCGTTGTCAAGTAAAGAAAAATAAGTGTCGAAAACATATCTCGATTCTGTCATATCATGAAAACAGAAAAAAATAACAATCATTTTTGGTTTAACAGCTGTTTGTTCGTTCACTTAAATGTGTTTTATTGAGTACTGGCGCGTCGAAATGTTAAATAGTACACATGTATTAGAAGTTCGATTACAGTCGGAATACGTCATCCAAAACAATTCTAATATGTAAATAAGCATGTTTGATCATAAAGGGGAAGGTCAGTGAGAATTGTTATTGTCATACATATTTTGATTTTATTTCTAAAGGATAATAACAAGCATCACGCGATCTTGTAGATCATTCTTTTCTGAACGATAAGAACTAGTAAACACGAGACCAAATAGCAAATAATCATTAGGTTTTATAATGGTTATTAAGCAATAATTACAGCACTTGTTTAAAAAATAAAGTTATATAGAAATAAAATTCCTTTAATATTTATTTTGTTTGTGACGATGCCATATACGTAACAAGTGTTAGTTTTATTACATTTTGCACAGAGCTTATCTTAGCTTTCATTTCGCTAGACAAAGATAAATTACAATAATATCCTCCAATAACATTGAGACAGTCTGAAATCGTGTCACGCGTTGCAAACATGAATGTCTATGTCTTCTATGTATGAATATCAAAATTTGATCAGACAAAACAATGTAAGGAAGAAAATAAAAGCAATTTGAACTCTGCATGTGCCACACTTTTGAATGTTGCTTCTAGACAGTAACAAGAGAAGCGACAAGATCTTTTTTCCATAAATAATGACATTGAGTATTATTTCATTTAGAAATAGAAGGGTAAATAAAAGAATATTAAAGAGTGAAAGAACCATGGAAAATATTATTTGTGGTCATTAACGTGGAATTAACGTAATAAGCAATTGCCCCAAATTAATTAAGTTTTTGACGCAAATAATGCTCAATAACTTTGTTTTTATATAAAAAAATTAAAGAAATTCGAGAAGCTACAATATTATAAACGTTAGTAGACACAAAAAATTGCCTTCAACTGGTTATTGTTGGTTTAAACCAACAGATAAGATAAATTAAGCTTTTATAGATTAATGAATGATAGGACAATAAAATATGAAAACGAGAAACTTACCGACATGAGAAAGTAATGACAAATCAGAATCTGCAAAAACCAAAAAATAAATACTGAGAAAATGAAGTGCATGATAATGAAATATGTAAGTTACGAATAAAGTGTCATATAATTTTTGGGTGAATTAAAATTCGTTTAAAAAAAATTATATTGTAGGATTTTCAAGAAACTTTGAGTTAACACATATGATAGAAATAAAAGGAAGCTTTTCAACAAAAAGCTCACCATTGTTGAAAAAGTTTGAGGTGAGTTATGGAAAAGCTTTTTTTTAAATATTCAAAACATTTTAAATTCGTTATTCAAAATAATTACCAACCTTCGTCATTAAGTAAATTAGTAATGTTATTTGGATCATTTACGTCACTCCCTGTTCCGTCTGCTGAAAAGATAAGTAAAAGAAAAATTGTTAAGTCTAAGCATTAAGTGAATCAATTGAGTATTTAACTTTATAATTCGAGGAGATCGAAATTCAGTCTTACAAAACTGAATCGTACTTTGCAAAGTACAATGTCTGTCGTTTATTTGTTAAGACTTTTTTTTATTTACATACTCAAATAATAATTTTATGTGTTACAAAATTTTTTGGGAAACCCATAAACGTGATGAGGTATTTTTAAATGTATTGAATGCTAAAAATGTATTTTGTTTCCTGTTTAGTAATTTTTTACTTTTTAAAATATATCCTGTTTTAATAAACAAACTAGTTTCATAGGATAGTTCTTGATTTTTACGATCACTTTGGTTTATTGGAACTATAGTTTGATATAATTTTTCAAATAAATCCATAATATGTGCAAACATGAATCTTTCAATTGAGATTTCTTTCATGAAACATAGATGAAAAATTTAACAGCAATGCCTTGAAAATGTTCATTAAGAAATAGACATCTATGTATTGATATTTTGTAATTTTTTTTACTTTATTTGATTTGAACAAATGTATCTATTATTTTTTTTTTTAATAAAAAAGAAGCACATTTGATATTGAAATTGAAAAAATATTCAAAGTACATTTCCTATGTCAATAGCGGCATTTCTTGTTGTTCTCTGTTGTTTTAACTGCGGTACTCGTATAATGGATATTAAGGTCACAAAAAATTTACTTCCTCTAATTCTAAAGTGTTTTATAATTAATAAGATTGACAGTAATTTACATGTATGAATATTATGTAAATTTGATACAAACTCTGAATTTGAATTTAATTTTTAAGAATTTGACAAAACGGAATCTTTCTAACCGGAAAGGTGAAAACATTAACTTATATTAGTATTATGCTCCATCAAACAAATATGGTTGTATAGAATTCTATGTGCGGATGAGAGCAAATTGGATTTAAATCAAATTGCATGTATTATGCATTCTACGTAGCTGTCATGATACCATTTACGACTACTTCATATGTATGTATTAATTAGTTTCAACGGATCTGAATGAATACAATGTTCATTATAGTTTTCTCCAGCATCTATTTAATAGCAATAAATTGAACTTGAATAAAAATTAGATCAATCCTGATGTCATTGAAATGATACATTGTCAAAAGAAGGAGCATTCGTTTAAGAATAATGGACTTAGCTAGAAGATTATTTTAAACATTAATTTCCTTCTCAACTTACAATAGATAGTTTAATCTTATTATTGAACTTAGTTTTTTGACAAGATTATGGTCAAATGATAATTTATTTTTGAAGTCATTGCCGCTTGTACTCAAATTACGAACTGTAAATAATAATAAAAAGATGATCTAATTTTACTTTCTATCTATATTCTATTTGCTAACGTTGCAACGAGAACATAAATTTTTCCAAAATTCTTTAGATAATAAAATGAGCTTTCATGAAAACGTGAATATACGTATTAGTATGTGTAAGCATAAACATCCTATATCTAAATTTTATATTTCAATTTTTTTATATTTCGAAGGATGTTCCGTGTGATGCGATAATGATATTATTTCTGGTGCTTATTAATTTACTAATCAAAAATTGCTTATATATTTAAATATTTTGTGGATTTTTATACATTTGGGGATAATTGTTTAAAAGTTAATTACTTTAAACTGTGTACTAGATATGAATTTCATGTTAAATTAATCCTTATTTAAAAGAAGTTTAATATGAAGCATGTGATTTAATAGACATTTAGAATTATTACAAGAATAAGTAAATATCATTCGAAAATTCGTTGAAATGAAACGTGTATAAAAAAAAGGTGAAAACTAAGAAGTTCAAGGTTGTAATATAGGCAAAATCATAAACTCTTTATGATAATGTTAAAAACAGGTTTATCAACCATGTGTTGTTATCAAAAAAGTAAATAAGAATCTATTGAAAAAAAAACCCGCTAAATGTTTTTATTTTTTGGTTCTTTAAGATGAATGAACTCTCTTTATGGTTATTTATGCTTCCTTTTTATCACATTCGAATACAAAAAATTTAGTTTTATGTTTTTAAAAATGTTGGTAACAATTTTTATTGAATATTGAACGAAATATGAAGCAAATGCGCAATGATAACAAAATTATTAAGTATGACTTTGAAATATTAAAAAAAACGTAATTTTCAGAATGTTAGTGTTCATGAACCGTAAAGAAGTCATTTTATCGTAATATATTTTAGTAACAATTATCAAAACATTCCATTATTACTGTCATTGTATTATTCATGTCTTTGTTACTTGCGCAATGTATTTCTTTTGGATTACTCACGAATGGTTATTAAATATGATAATTCTGTTCGTTGATTTAGATTATACTTGGTAGATTCTCTATATTCAGTAAAACAATACATAATCATTCATCCAACAACGCATTCGTGCCTCTTCTAATACCACATAGAATCAGCTCAATTAGAACTTTGTCAGGGTTCACCCGTATTACTTTTTTAAAAATAAGTTTAAGGAACAAGAAACTTTTATGCATTCATACGATTTAGGGCTATAATTTAAATATTCATCAATGATTAATGAAATTTTTTAAATGAATCGTTTGATGTAATTTAGATTTTTTAACAATAGAGGAAGTTCAATGCTAATTAGCTCATGTGAAATGCTCACGGATATCAAATGATCTGATAAAAGATTTAATTACATTCGCAAAATACTAAGCACAATGCATGTGTCTTGTGATTAAATTTAGAAGTTGGTTCAATAATTTTAAGTTTCATTGGTCTTTTTAAACTATCACATAATTTTAATCTATTGAAATATTATTATTTTATTTTTAAAGACTTTTTTTTTCAAATGGACGAAATTGTATTCTCGAGTTAAATCTAATCACAACGCTGGAACTTTCTTACATTATTATTTTTTTATTATTATATTAATGTAGACATTGATTGCTTTTTTCCCGTGTACTACACAAACCAATTCTAAAGGCAATAAAAGAAGAAAAAATTACAACTTTTCCGTGAGAGCTTTTGTCATATTAATTTTACAACAGAAACAGTATTCGCTCTCGGAACTCTATTTTTAAATACAATCGTAAAGATTTATTCATTGAAGAGTACTTCATTCAGAAATATCTCCAAAAAGCTGAAGTGGTTAATCCGAAATTGACATTTTCAACTTTTTTGGAAATGTGAGAAAATATTCATTCAAATTTAATGGGCACTTTTTTGGCTTAAACCTGTATTTTCTTTTCAGTACTTCAATCTTTCTTATCAAGTGAGTCATGAAGTATAACTTTAAAAGCACTATTTTGTGTAGTTTAAACAAGTGGACGATGAGGATTAAAACTCAAAAAAATCCAATTCAAATTTCAAAATATTTTTGTTAAACTAGTGTATCGGGTAGAAACCCAATTCGGATATATTCACACCGTACCATCAAAAGTCTTATGGATAGACCAAGATTTGCTCTGCATAAGTTTGAAGGTATAAAGCAAGCGAGTCAGCGCTCAGCATATGTTTGAAGGTTAAAAGTGTAACGAACGTTCTTTAAAAGTTTTTTAAAAATTTTTCATCCAAAGTTTAATTTTATAAAAATCACAGTGAACTTTTGTTTTAAAAAATTCGTGAGAAAGGAAAGTTTTTTGCTTTTTCTGAAGCAACGGCTGTTCCTACCTTGCTCAAAAACAATACATCTCTTCTATAGAGCAGCACGGATCAAATGTAAAAAACCAGAAGTCTCTACGATGTCTAGTTATTGACATTTCTTGCTGATTAACTTGCATGCTTGTTTGCTTGTTTGCTTGCTTACAGAAAGCGTATTTTGCAATTTTCTCAGCAATGCCACAACCAATTTGAAATCTGCTTTCTGCAAATGATGTAAAATTTCAGGCACAAACTTTTCTCTAGGACCTTTTAAAACCAATTTTGTTTCGTTTTCTCACAAGATGCGAAAAACTGATTTTTCAATTTGAACAAAACCAATAGATTCACACGTGAAAACGGTGTGAATATAAAAAATGAGAAAAAAATTGGATTCGATTTTTTAATAATACATATTTTGAAATGCACTTTGATGGTTGAATTACATAAGTCAATACAACAAAAATACAAACGAAATGAAAAAAAAAACTAATAAAGATTTGAGAATGAACAACACACGATGCTTTAAGTATCCGGTAAAACAAGAGTGTCTCCTAGGAAGATATTTATTGCATAATAATGAAAAAAAAAGTATAATATTTTCTATTCCTGTTGCAATATTAACGTTTATGCATAAACCGGTTTAAAAGTTAAGAAAACACTCAGGTTGAACTTTACTTGTAAAGTTTATAAATTATAAGAGAACAGCCGGAGGTCGATGGAATCTGTTTACACGTTCTCATTTTCTCATTTTCAGTCACATGATTGAGCGTTGTTGAGTACATATTTGAAAAAAAAAGAAAAACAATAAAACTAAAACCTTATCACAACAATGAACTTGAAATTTTGCTGAACAAAAAGCGCATTTGGCATGATTTTCATAAAATATTTAAACTCACACTGTATATTAATTAAGGGAATCAACGACATAAAATGATTGTATATTGATAAAAATACAATATTTAAACACGTGATGTTCAATAGTCAAATTTCGTGACGTGAAATGAAATTATTTACAAATTCTAAGTCGCAATACTATTTTGAAACTCACCATTTGAAGCCGTTGAATTAGACATGTTTTCATGAAAAACATATCCAAGTTTATCCAGAATTAGTATGATAGCTTTTTAAGTCTTAACTTTATTTATTTTTCTTTTAAGTGTTTACTTTCTTCACAAAACTAGCACACAAAAAAAATTCATTCAATTTCACTTAATTGTAGTATTTTAATTAAAGATAGATTAATAATTGAAATATCAAGAAAATATATTCACTGAGAAATATTACACAACAAAATTTTATTTCAATTTTTTTCACGAAAAAATTGCTGTTGTTTTTTCAAATTCACTG